TCTGTAAGTGGAAAACACAGTGCCTGCTCGATGATGTGTGTTCGAGAAGGAGAATATCGTGGAGTTTAGGGTAACGAAATATACGTCAAACTCCACTGTGACAGCAAGCTAAAGCAGGTGATGTTTTGGTTAGATGTTGTTCGTTAGTTCTGCTTGACATGGGTTACAATTAAGGTTTGTGACCTCGTCTTTGTCTTTCAAGGAAACGACATGAAGCTGTGAACTTCTGTTCGTCTGTTGAAAAAGATAGCACAATCAACAAACCGAGGAAAAAATGGCAGCACCGTCTTCGTCGTCCTCTTCAGCGTTCGCAAGATCTCCGCTCAAAGATGCGCGTGGGTCGTCGGCTGCTCAAGAGCTAATCAGTACACAACAACTGCAAGGCCATGAACGTGCTGCAAGTGGTGCACCAGTAGGAGGAAGGTCCTCAAACGGGTCCTCCGGGATCTTAGGGGCACAGCGCCCTCGCGTTGCTGGCATAGGTTATGCAGTAAGAATGTTCGACCGGATTCAACAAGACAATGTGCGATGGGACTGCGATAAAATGTGGAGACAAAAGTTATGCCATCACCACCCGCTTGGTAGTTTCTACCAAAAAAAGCCTCGAACACTAGGTTCTAGGTATCACCAGGTTGCTAGCATCTATCAAATTCAAAAAATGTTTAGTAAACAGCTTCGAGATGTACAAAAAATGATCACGGATTTGTATTAGGGTTTTCGCCTCATCTTGTCTGAATGAAACAAGAGGAACAAGCAAGTTCTCCTCTCTAATAAGAGAGCTGAAGGCGGAGATGGATGAGCGACATAAGCATGGCCGAAGGAGAAACGGTGAAGACTCCGAGATAGACTCAGAGGATTCGGATGACTATGCGCGCGCTCGCGCCGAGCAGCAGGCTTTGAAGCGTAGACAACTCGCTAAGGAAGGGACGAGAGACCGCAGTGGCCGTGAAGATGCGAGTTCGTCTTCTTCTTTCGCACACCGGCAACGCGTCAAATTTCAAGAAAAACCGCAACGAAGTAAAACGGTAGCCGTACCGGAGGAATCTCCGAGGAGAAGTAAGCGGTACTCATCGCCGACGTGGAGAAATGAGGACATCGACAGCTACGACGGACGCCCTCCGAAGAATGCGCTATCGCGGAAGAAGAAAATGCGGAAACAGAGAAATAAAAAAGAGCGAGAGTCGTGGGATGAAAATACGAGTCATGATGATGATGCGCCCGTCGCTGTCAAGCGGAGGAGTCAGCCTCGTCGGAGAAACAGCAGAAGCAGAGACCGTAGCACAAAACGCAAGCGGAAAAACAAGGAGCGCGAGAGGCACACCGCCTTCCGCTCGAGTTCGTCCGAATCTCAATTCTCTTTTTCGAGCGCATCCTGTTCGCGAGCTCGGACACGACGCAGGAAGGACAGACAGAAAAGTAGAAGCAAGAAACGACGACGACACAGAAGCGTTAGCGCGTCTAGCAACAGTGAGTTTGAGCATGATGCTCGCAAAAGAACATCAATAAAGAAGCAAAAATAACGGATCGACGATACCTAATGACCCTTTTCCACACGCTTTCAGATCATGCGCAATTCTTGTCCTTTATATCCGAAAACTGTCCTTTTTAATTTCAAGCACATCTTCAGCATCGCATCCGCATGACCACGTTTCGGCACATTTTGGTTCGATTCTGTTGTTCAGGATCAAGGGGCGAATGTGGTCTACATGGAGTAATGAGAGCATCGATATTCAAGATGAGGTTGAGATGTAATATGCAAGACAAGAGTGGTCAGACTCTGAATGGTTTTTGGATTCCAGTAGAGTGAGAGAAAAGAGATGGAATATCCTAAGTACACTACACCTGAGAGAACACATCTCCGTTTCGGTCTGTGCTTGACTATTTCTCGGATGTGATGTCGACGAAAAATTCAGGTTGAAGCGCTTACTAAGAAAGCAGACATAACATGGCTGCCGCACGTGCTTTGCAAAAGCACGCCTTGCGTAATGCGCAGCAGCGTGACGCGGTTTGTCTCGATGGATCGACGCCGCATTACTACCTGAATCCTGGGGTCGATGCCGCAAAGCTCGTCGTCTACTTTATGCATGGCGGCTTTTGTGGACGCTCTGTGGATGAGTGCGTGCATTCGATACCTTACTACACCTCAATTACACTGCCGGTCGCACTGGATGGGTATCATCTGCTTTCTCCCGTTCTCGCTGAGAATCCAGTGTTTCACTCATACACAAAAGTGCTTTTCGACTATTGCTCGGGGGACCTCTATGGCGGGAACGGTAACCAAACGTCAGCGGTCGGCGTTGCGCTCCACTTTCGTGGATACAATATCGTCAAATTTTTGGTGGAAGACCTGAGAGACGGGTATTTGGTTTCACGTTCGTCCAGCTTCATTATGTTTTTCAAGAAGAAGTTGAAGTCCTAGTCCTAGGATAGAAACGTAACAGTACCGAAAGAACGAATAAGATTCGTTGATTATCGTTGTAGTTAATGGAAAGTTAATTCCCTTGTTGCTGTTTCAGTGTGTATTCCTTCTTTTCACACCAGATACTTGTTAAACCCGGATGTAGCGAATCCGGCACCAACGAATTTGACAGATGTGCTGCTCGCGGGCAGTTCTGCGGGTGGTGTCGGGGTCATGGGACATGCCTGGCGCTTCCGCAGTGTGTGGCCGGCGGCTCAAGTTCGCGCTCTGATCGACAGTTCTCAATTTTTTTCAATCGGTGGCGAATCCGAGATCGTCGCTTTCGCTTCTCAGTTTACCTTTTCTACAGGTACAGGGTGCGAAAACGATGCCGCGGGACTTCGATGTTGCTTCTACGCTTATTGCATGACTCGAGGCCGCTCTGGAGGCTCGTACTTCGATCAGAGCATTCCGACTTTGTGGCTGCAATCGAAGTACGATTTCTACTCGACCGCTTCCGAGATCACCTACGCAGCTCAAGCGGCAGGCGAAACGGGCGGCGTAGCTATGAGTAGCGACTCTGCAGTGTCCATCCTGCTCCGGTGGATGGCCGTCGCGGGCAAAGTAGAAAATCTCAACCAGCAGTTGGTTGTAAACCAAAATCGGTCAGCGGCGCTGTTGTCGACATGTGCGGAGCACGTCTTGCTAGCGCCGACTGTGCTGAAGAACCCGTTTTTCGGCTACGACTATGCGGATGACGCAAGTGGTGGTGTCTACACCGCACGCAAGCGGGTCGAGGTCGGAAAAATCGAGAACCCGGTTAGCTCCTCCGGCAAAGTAAGCCTGACAGTGAATTTGAACGCGGGACTGCTGCGGGGCAGTAATCTCGTACAAGGCCAGAACGTCATGCAGCACGTTGCTGCGTGGGCGCAAGGGGGCATTGATGGGCAAATCGTCCAAAGATCAGACTTCGGCTTTAACGCGGTGGACGAACGTTGTGAATCCGAGCTTGAAATGCGCTTTGCATTAGCGGGTGAAATAGGTGAGGAAAGTCCTATGTTGTCTTTCGTGCGCTTTTTCGACGAGACGTTGTTCTCCGTCTTGATGCTGGTCATTATGGTCTTCATTTTCTGCTGTGGTGTTTTTTTCTTTGCGCAACGTCTGCGGTTACGCTTGCTTGGCGAAGCACATACACGTGTTGCTGCAGGAAAGAAACGAGGAAAGACTAATTCGTCTTCAACGGCAGCATCATCTCGTGAGGCGGAAGATGCTGCGAACGCAGAGTTTGCCTTACAGGTTCTGGAACGTCGTGGCGACAAAGGTTCGCAGTTTCATCAGGCTTTTGCTTCTGCATTGCAGGCGAATCGGCCCCGGGTCGACGCCTCGTTCGGAGATCTGTTGCTCAGCGTGTCGCCTCGACGATCCCAGGGTTCGAAGCGGAAGTTTAAAGCACTTTTGAGTATGCAGGAAGAAGACGACAAGGCATGGGCAGCGATGGAGAGCAGAGGGAAGTTGTTTTCTGGTGATAACATGATCAATAGAAGTATGGGTCTCCGATCTGACGAGAATGGCGAGCATGAAAAGGAAATCTACCCTGACCATCATACGGCAGGTGCTCGCCCGGAAACAAAATTGACTGATAATATTGAAGGAGTGGAAGCGAGTGCGCCTACAACAGCTGATGAATACGCGCGGATGGAAAGAAAGAGACGCTTGCGCAGACTCCTCCTTTTGGCGCTGAAAAAGCGGGCTGAGGAACTGGAAGCCGAGGAGAAGGCGCGTGGAGAAGGCGCTGTTACTCATGCGGACGTTAGATTTGAGATCCCTACAGAAACCAAAGTTTCCTCGACCGACACCGGCAAAACCACTGGCGCTGGTGCATTTATGGAGAACCTCCCGTGTATGATACTGCAGAACGTGACGTATCAGATTGGGAAGTCGCATATGCTGCTTGTGAACGTGAACACTGTGTTTCGCTACGGCCGCATGATCGCGCTCATGGGCGGCAGTGGTAGCGGCAAGTCAACGCTGTGCAAACTGGTTTCAGACCGGCAAGTCGAGGGGCACTACAGCGGTCTCATAACTCTGGATGGCGTACCAATGCAGAACATTCCGAACCGCACAGCCAAAATTGCTTACGTTCGGCAGTTTCCGGCGTGCGGCCCGGACGAGTGCACTGTTGTCGAGGCGTTGCTTTTGCATGCTTACAAAGCTGGCTTAGACATATTCGCAGGAACGTGCACATCAGAGGCCGTTCGTGCACGCTGCGGACGTAGCGCGTCGCAGTGGGCTCAGGCGGTAGAGCAGTTGGGAGCAAGGCTGCAGGGTGCGCGCGGATCGTCGCCAGAAAAGGGGTGTGCCTCCAGCACCCGTACCACAGGCCCGCCGTTGTTTGCAAGGTTGCAAGAGGTCGTTGCGGAGCTGAATATGAGCTGGTTTTTACATCGCCGCATCAAAGATCTTTCTGGCGGACAGAAGAAGCTTCTATCTGTGGCGCAAGCCCTTATTACGGAACCGGGTATCATTCTTTTGGACGAGCCGACGTCGGGTTTGGACGCGATGACTGCCGAAACACTGATGCTGGCACTGTCTAACGTGGTTTCGAAGACCAAATGTTGCATGGTGGTCGTTATTCATCAGCCGAGTGGGCTAGTGTATTCGTTGTTTGACGATCTCGTGTTGTTGTGCAGGGGAAAAGTGATCTACTCGGGTCCTCGAGAACGCGCAGACAAGGCTCTTGACGCATTGGATCGAAAGTTGCAGAGACGCCACGAGCACCGACGAAAGGGCTCTAAAACGTCTTCGGCGCAACAAAACAAGATCATGGGCCTGAGAAGCACGTCGAAGGAACAGGGGTCGCGAGTGGGTTCGAAGGCCTCTTCTGCGGCTGGACGTCCTGGAGTTTCTTCGAAGGATGCACCGGCACCAGTCAGTTCTGATGCGACCTTGGCGAGAGCGATGAACATGTTTCAATCCCCAGAACGGAAATGGGACATGCTCCGACACGCGCTGTTCGTGCCGCGTGCGCCGTCGGCGGCAGATTTCATCGGGGCAGAGTTGGCCGACGTAAAGAAAGACATCTCCTCAATCAAACGTGCGATTGATGGAGCTGATCCCGCACCAGGCAAAGCGGCCCTCCTGATCGAAGTCTTTGCTTACAATCAGCTGAGCGTCGTTCAGAACTTGCCATTGTTGCTCATGCCATTGGGAGCTGTCGTCGTCTGGGGGTACCACAACTATGCTTCATATTTATAAACGTGAATGGCTAGACTCTGTACACTACTTAACTAGTTGTACAGAATCGATCCGGTGCTCCCTCTACAACTTGAACTTCAACTTCGGTCTCTCTGTTGCTATCTTTATGTGCAAACGAACAACTCACTTTCTTGCAGGTTCCTCGAGTCATCGTCTGCAAAACACGATGCGGCCAAGTGCATGCTAGAGGTTTATGTCGTCGGTTTTGCGGTCATTAACATTCTCCTGCCGACGGTCTTTTCGCACCTGCATACGAATAAGGACTGCCTCCAGGATCGCATCTTTCGAGGCCCAGATATGTTTTGGGTTTTGATATTATGAAGCTATACAGCTTTCCAGTTTGACTTTTTCACAACGACAAGAATCGTGTACTAGGAGGAGACTCATCTAGAACCAGTATACTATTAGTCATCTTCTAATGGTGCTTTTTTCACAGCTGTTATCTGTACTGATCGCGTTGATGATGGGCTCCTTGTCTGTGCCTGCCTACAGTTTACCCGCAGACACTATGCGTAATTGCGGTGTTATCGAGCATGTGGCAGTGTGCTATCTTTATGCGACCTTCATCTCGCTTCTGCTGAACACGCTCATGTTCAGGGCGAGGGGACACGAGGATTCCGCACGCATGGCAGCAGTGTTCACCCAGCTTGCGGTCGTCACTGCGGCGTTGTCGCTTTTCAGCGGTTTTACAATTACACTTTCCGAAAGTGCCTGGCTCCAAACTCTGCTCATGCTGTCGCCACCCTTCTGTTATGCTACATCTACAGGATGAAAACGTTATATTCGAATCGAATTCCTCGGATGACACCAGTGGTAACTTCGGATGCCTCACTCAATAGATTCAGAAGATTCACCAGCACCAACAGGATGCACTACCACTAACGTGACATGACCACCATTCTAGTACGTCTACATTTCATCTTTATGCAGGTTTCTAATTTTTGGCGCAAAAAAAGCTCGTGGTTGCGGGTTTTCTGAATGAGAGCTACGGTTGCATCGGAACGGACTGTCTGCTTAACAGTGGCAATGCGTGGATTGCCATGCTTTATGGCGCTCCAGATAGCGAGTGGAGCTACTTTTTTCTCTGCGTCTTTTCTGTGGTGACGCTTGTCCTTGCGCGTCTCATGTGGCTGTGGAAAATGGGCGCGCCTGCAGTAAAGGCGTTAGTACCGCTAGGCCCTGACAAACCGGCATCTTCTGTTAAGCATGGGCACCTTATTTCCATATTTGTCGAGAAGTTTCGTTACCCGAAAAGGATCATTCATTTAAATGTTGAGTTCCAAACTTGTTGCCACGACTAGAATTCGATTACCGCTCTAAGGTTGTCGCTCTCTTTCCGGCGGTTGCGACTTCCTCGTTTGCGGGACTCCTCGACCGCATTATGATTGCTGTGGCGCGCCAGGATGAAGCAGATATTGCTACCTAGAATCTTCATCTTGGTGATAGGAGAATATAAGTAATTATTGCAGGTTTGTTTTTCGTAGAAGTAGTGCTTTTTCTTTTGTTCTTCAGCAGATTTTCATAAATGCAGTTTGTTGATGAAGATCATTAACGATTAGTGATGAGTAAGTTTCGTTTCACGAGTAAGATAGGCTACCGATTACAGTGATGCAAAGGACTAGTAGTTCGTCTTGAAGGATGCAAAGGTGGAACAACATTCACTTGCAGAGTTTGTTAACGACAGGTTGAACGTTCCAGTACAGGCGCTGACGCTGATAAGTAGATCTTTCCGCAATCACAAGACCAGCTTGTATTTTCTCCGATCTTGATGTTGATCCGACGCGGGTTCAATTTTGTATTTCTCTTTTTGTAGGAGATATGCATCACAGGCGTTCTCCACAGGAGCTACCGCATTCCACAGCATTTGTAGAAGAGATGGTCCAAAGCATACTCACACATCAGAAGGTGATTTGCAAAGCATACTCAACTAAGTACAGCTGCGAATGAAAGATGATCTTCTTCAACAAGGTTCCTTGATCCCAGCAGGTGAATTTCACACGATGATCTCCATGCGTTCACGAGTTCTAGAGTAAATAGAATTTGTTCACCTCTTCTTGTGATCTGATTATTTCTGGGACAAGATCAACGGCGTCCCCACAGCATTCACTTGATCGAACTTGAATATTGTTTTGTCCTACAGGATCAATGATCTCTGGAGTGACTAAGTGAGTATCACATGATAGTATCATTTTTTTGAAACCAATAAGTGTCTAGCCAGGACTTGTTCTTGATCTTAGCTGTGATATTAATTCGAATTGTTCAATATAGGCAAGATCTTGTGCTGCAAGTACTCGTTAATATCTCAATCTCCTCATTATCTAGGTATCATTATCATCCTCATTAGAAATTTCTTCTCGACAAAATGGCTTCGTTTAAGCGCAAGAACCAGAACAAGAAGAATTCGAAAGGCCTAAAGACCTATCAAGGTGGCGATGGTAAGCCCACGGATAAGGCCGAGCCGGGTGAGCAGACCAACGCCGCTGGCTATGTCTTGAATAATCCTTTGAAGGGGTACAACAAGGTAGTGGAGATGCAGAACGCTGCTTTCGAGCGCTACTACCGTGACCAAGGCATCTGCGAATCCGAAGAGGAATTCAAAACCTTCATGGCTACGTGTCGGACAGGTCTCCCCTGCGGTGTTCGCGTGAACGGGACTCTAGGACAACATGCGAGGATGCTATGGAAGCAATTCCATTCTCTATTAGCGCTTCCTGCGGAAGAGGAAACATCCAAAGTTACAACAACGGCGAGTGCAAGTACTGCAGAACAAAACTGTTCCCCGACAAGCGCTGCAACAGAGACTTCGCCATCTAAAGCTGAGAAAAAGGCAGATGCTGCAGCTTCTGAGGGAACTCACGCGAGCGCTGCAGTTGACGACAGCAAAACCAACAAAGAGGAAGGAATAAAGACTGAATATGCTCAGGAAGTCGAGGGCAGCGAGAAGAAGCTTTCAGAAACGAAGGGAGCTGCCAGTGCGACTTCTCAAAGCACTCCGCCGTACATGCTACGACCGAAAACGCTTTCCTGGTACCCGCGTGGTTTGGCCTTTCAGTTCGACTACCTGGACGCTCGCGCGATCAAGAAAGACGCGAACTTTCGTTTTCTGAAGCAGTTTTTGATGAATCGCGAAGTCTATGGAGCCATTCAGCGACAGGAGGCCGTGTCCATGATCCCGCCCCACCTTCTGAACATCCAGCCAGACGATCTTGTCCTCGATCTCTGCGCCGCACCGGGAAGCAAGACGTGCCAGATGCTTGAGCGCATGCACTGGGAAAGCCAAGCCTCGTCTGGAAACGCCGACGGCCCGAGTCAGTTTACTGTCGGTCGTGGCGGAGTGTTGGCGAACGATGTTGAGTGGAAGCGTGCAAACATGTTGACCCACCAAGTTCAGCGTATCGGGTCTCCCGCAGTCGGTGTTTTGAACACCGATGCACAGTTCTTCCCAACCATGAAGCGCGCTGATGGCTCAGGGGTTAATTTCGACAAGGTATTGAAATATTCTGCTTTGAGAAGATTGCTGCAGGAGTATGTTTTTTGTTTGCCTCATATTCCCTCCATACTTCGATCACTGTAAGCAAGTAGTTGGCACATTATGTTAATCATTGCACTCGTATTTTGGCATCCTTTCAGACGGATTTTCAAAATGCAAAATCTCAGGTGCTGTGCGATGTCCCCTGCTCTGGGGATGGTACTGTTCGCAAGACGCCGAATATCTGGCGCACGTGGACTGTGTCTGATGGTCTGGGTCTGCATTACCGGCAATTAGCCATCCTATGGCGAGGTTTGGACGTGCTCCGCGTTGGCGGTCGATTGGTTTATTCGACCTGTAGTTTGAATCCAATGGAGAACGAATCCGTGATCGCCGCATGTCTAGAGCGTTGTGGCCTCACTGCTGTCGAGGTGGTAGAAGCCGACTTTTTGAGTCATGAAAATGTTTCGTTGAACGGCCGCAAAGGGCTGACGACTTGGAAAGTGCCGCTTCCGAAAGGGTCTGCGGGCATGTATATCGCAAGCTACGAGGAGACGCCACAGGCATTGCGCGAGAGCAACAAAATTCGCAAGAGCATGTTTCCGCCCCCTGCTGTTGGCACGGACGGCGCGAATGAGAAGACTGCGCAGATTTGCGAACAGTTGCAACGAACACGGCGATTTCTACCGCATCTGATGAACACGGGCGGATTTTTCGTAGCTGTATTGGAGAAAAAGGCTGAGCTTCCACGACAGCAAGAGCGACTCGAGCGTCAAAAGGCGTGGCACGAGAAGCAGCGACTGTTACAGGAAGAAGCAGCAGCGTCGGCAGCGTCGGCTCCAGTAAGCGAAGCTGAGCCACCAACGAAAAAGCTAAAAGTTGAAGACGGAACTGAGCAAGTGAACACTACAACAGAACAAGATGAAAAGAGTAAGGCTGAAGTTGAAAGTGTTGAGCCAAAAAAAGTAGCGCAAGCTGTCAAGGAACAGTCCAGCGACGCTCCCGCAGCTGACGATAACGGGGCGGCCTCTTCACAAGAGAACAATAAAAGCGACGCAGAAGATGCGAAGAAGGATGACAGATTAACCCCGTCGAAGCCTAGCGAAGAGGACAAGTTTGTGCCAATTGACAGTGATGAGTGGCAGTGCATCCAAGACTACTACGGCTTACCAGCGTCTGCACGAACTCACTTTTACAAGCGTCCGCACATGCACGGTGATCACAAGATCTACGGAATCTCAGAAAAGCTCCGTGATGTAGTCGAGTGTTGTCAAAACACTGGAAGCACCAAGGTACTGAATTATTTGATTTTCTGAACTGCCATTTTCATACTTGTCTGTTACAGATAATTCGACAACGGGCTAGGAACCATATCGATATCTTTCTTTCTCGAACTCCAACAGGTGATTTCATGCGGTATTCGGTGTTTTCAGATGTTGAATAGCTTCGGAGGCGAGTGCGGATGGCGTGTGACGCAGCAGGGTCTCTTGTATTTGATCCGTCTTGGCCTCTCTCCGCGCCGTATTCTTAACGTGCAGCCGGGCCTCCTGTTGAAGCTTCTGGAGGTGCGAGAGTTGAAGACACAAGATGTGCTTGAAAAATCTGCTGAGTTTTTCACGTCTTCTGAAGAAGTCTCGAAATTTGCACCCCAAAAACAGGACCAGCAAAGCAGTCAAGACGATAGAAGTAAGATTGCGGTTGGGCAGGGGAGTTATGCACTGTACTGCGCTGAGTTTGACCTTCACGTCTGCGTGATCGTATCTCGCAACTACTTCACATTGTACGTTGACAAGCAAGAAGCCAAAGCGCTGCTAGCGTGCTTGCAAGTGGGCCCGGATCTGGCGAAAGAGATGGGTTTTACCTCATAAGTAAGTAACAACATGGTTAGATTGCTAGAGTTATGATTTATGAATATTTGCTTGCTACCAACCCCAATGGACGAAAACATGATGTTAAAATGACGAAAATGCCGCACTTTTTTCCCACATCATTTTTTACGATTGAACAAGAGAATGCCCTGTCCCGGTTGCTTCGATGCGTCATTGCATAAGTGAAAGAATCAGCCTGCTTATTGCGGGAATGGTCCTCTGCGGCATGCCCGAGGAAAGGAATTTGCTTTATTGTTTGCGCCGTGAAAAGCAGTAGTACTGTACGGCACATCAAAAAGGGAAAATTTGAGAGACGACGAGAGCACCTTTGAGTGAACGCAGAGAAAATTGCTAAAATTCAGCAGTGCGTGTCGTATTGAAAAAGATACTGGTAGAGAAAAACCGTGACTAAGTGCAAATTGTATCCCCACACGAGTTCAGAAAAGATCGAGCGAACATTTTCTAGCGAGTAGGGCCTGTACACGAGACACGAACTTTTATGTTTATCTTGACATGATGGTAAATTTAGCTTAGCCAACGAACACCAAGAGCCACCGATAGCGTTCTTCTTTCAAATCACCAACTGTGCTTGTCTGACAATTATCCGTCAGCCTGAATAGGAGCATCATATTGCTCTACAGTGCAAGCAGTTTCTGCTGTTGACACAGTTTTTTTTTTCGCATACTGTATGCCGGATACAAGTCCGAAAACACGGGTCGGCGGCGATTCCGCTGTCGACTGGGACGATGCCGCTGTAGATGCCTGGGAGAGCATTCTCCGTGGCAACCGCACTGGCGCATCTCCTCAAGGACACGGTATGCCTGGCGCTGCGTCGTCGACGAAAGCGAAGGCGCCGAGTAAGGGGGCGGCTGGCGTACAGTCTCCACGAGGGGAGCGGAGATTTAACAGCATTACCGGAGAGCAGGGCGGCCCTTTTGGACAGACTTCGAGTCCTTCGCGAGAGCCGAAAGATGGGCCATCCGTGCATTCCATGTGGCAGCTGTACCAAGAGGGACAGATGTCGAAGCGACAGTTCATCGACGTGCTTGGCGGGGATCTGCCGGCGTCCACATTGCGGTGTCTAGACCAGGTGGACACGACATTTCCCCACTTTGTCCGTTCGTTTGGACAAGCGGGTGTGCCATACGTCGTGGCGCCCCCTCACGGCGCCTCCGTCGACCACGACATGAAGAAGAAACTGCAGTTTTCCACCCTTGATCACTCGAGGAGTATGACGGGTGCTGCGACAGTTACGTTCCCGTCCAAAAATGGCAAAGTCTGTAGAGATTTTTTTTGAACCGGAGACATTACATACTAGACTTAAGCGCCCGGTAGCACTCCTCCCACTAGAATCCTCCACCCCTGCGCGCACTTCCCCCGCCATTACGTGCCTCCGCTTCCCCGGCTCCTTCTCCGCGCGACAACCGCCTGGCGGAGTTGATCGGTGGAACAGCGCAAGAGCTGTCGGGTTCCAGGCGGCCCGCGGCCATTGAAAAGGCACGCCCGGAAATGGTAGGCCCGGGAGTTTGCTGGTCTTCTGTTAGGTTTGGCATCTTTGCGGAAAGCTGAAGCTTTTAAGTTTCAAAACCTTCAAAATCAAAAATGATCACTCAATCTTTGATAAAATCAAAAGCTTTGGCACTTTCAAACTTGATGAAGTTCCAGCTTAAAATTATCAAAATCCCAAAATTTTTAATTTTATCGCCCAAAAAATAGATTTAGATGCCAGGGCGGCGCGCTTGAGGCTTCAAGGAGTTCAGAAGTTCGTGAGTTCCTGGGTTCGTGAGTTCGTAAGTTTATGAGTTTATGAGTTCCTAGGTTCATGGGTTCAGAAGTTCCTGGGTTTGAGTTTCTGCGTTCTCGAGTTCAGGAGTTTTCGAGTTCATGAGTTTATATATGAGCTACTGGGTTCTTGGGTTTCGGTGCTGGGGATTCCCTCGGGCGCTGGGGGTTCGGGTGTTGGGGGTTCGGACGTGGAAGAGTGAGAGTTTGGGGGGGTCGTTGTTGATTTTTATTTAGCTCTTTGATATTATCGCAACCAACATAGTCGATTCGACCCAAGCAGGGACTACTTCTATTCAAAAAATCCCATCTATACCTAACGAATCAATACGTATTCCCTGCTTCGTCTTAGAAACTTCTAAGGTCTGTTCTGCCGGTGCGAAAACACGGTACAAAGACAGTGCTGGAGGGATTATAGGAGATAATTCCGCACCGGCGCCCGCGGTTCGTTTGGTCGGGGATGACGCTAATTTTCGGAGAGCGAGCAGTGACATCAGTCGCAAAGCCGAGAGGGAACCGACTTGGAAGGTCCGCAAAGCGAACGACGCTTCTCGAAATAACCCACTATTTCTCTCGAGTTCCACAGCGGGGGTCGACGAAGGAGCAGATACGAATGAGACGGAAAGCATGTTGCAAAGCGCGGTATTTGTGTGTGATATAACTTTGATTCGCACGGACGGCGTCGTTTGTCCGCTCATAGTAGATACATAGTCATGCTTGCAGGAGGTTCAATCCTTGTTTTTACAGGTCCGAATGTTCCTCGATGGCGAATTACAGAAGCGTGAGCTGTCGGAGTACGTCTGTAGCCTAGCGAAAGACGGCGCAGACACGAAGGTTTTGACAGCAAGTGTGGCCACTCTTCTGGAAAGGCACGAGGTGAACGGACCTTTCACCTTTCGCTACATTGCGCAGACGCTCCGCGGTATATTAGCGAAGGCGACATAGCTTGACTTGTGATTGGTGACTCCGTCAAGAACGGCAATGATGAACGGGCTTGAAAAGAGATTGACTTTTGCGCTGGGGTGGTCAAGACAAAGGCTAGTGATAAAAAATCCTTTTTTCTTTGCTGTCTTGGATTTTTTTGATCCATGTTTTGTGAAACTTGAAATGTCTTCTCCAAGATGCGGGTGCTATCCTCGTCAATCAATGCAACTTGGAGCTTTGATTAGTACCTCACTGGACGGGAAACGAAAACGAAGTCAAAGAGGATTGAAAAGGCAGACCTTAGTATGCAAAAGCGTGTTAACTGATGCCGCAACAAAGTGATGGATCCTCGGATGTGCATGTGCTACGCAGTATCGCGAGCAGAGTTCCTAGTGGACTCAGAGCATATAGTTTCTCAGTTTGTAGATGAGGATTCCAATTCTCATACGACTGAAGCTCGAACTGTAATCACGACAAAAAATGCAAGCGGCGTACTCGTGTGTCTTTCTGGTTGGTTTTGCGTCTTCCTATCTTGATTGCGCACACGCCAGTTCACCCCTGCTTACCGCTGAGCCATTAAGTGGGCACTCACGACGATCAAGAAGCCGCGACCTTGAGGATGTCGATGCAGACGTTTCCCTGTCGTCTTCGTCAGACGAGGTAGGAGACGCGTCAGATGAAGAGTCGTCATCTTCAGATTCAGACGAGGACTCAAGAAGTGGTGGAGGCGGTAGCGGACTTGCGTTTTTAGTGGGAATAAGCTGCCGGGCTACGCAACGCTTGGTGAATTCAGCGTCTCAAGCCGTCAATTCGGCGAGTGGATTACAGGTGTATGACACTTCTTCCAGTAGTTCGACTTCGAGTAACACTGACGGAGGACGTCATCATCGTCCAGTAGGGTCAGATCATGGGCTCGTTTTCTCTGCGCTCAACCATCCTCCACCATCTGGCGAAGCTGTGCCGATGGACGTGGACCTGGAGGCTGGAGACCGAAGCGAACATATAGGCAACGAAAGTCTTGATGTACTTGTACTACCTGTTGATGCAACTGCAGCTTCTTCATCTACAATTTCTGAAGATTCTGCACCGCAGATTTCAACGGTACAAGCTTGCGAGGTGCCTACACAGTTTAAGTTGGAGTCAGGAGGGGAGATGGAATGCTTCATCTGTATGCGCCGATGGGAAGTGTTGGATCGAAAAGGCCGAAGGGAGCGACGCAGAGCCGCAAGGTCAAGCATTTTGGCGCGCGAAAGAGCAGAGAGACGAAACGCGATGAAAGAAAAATTATTGTGTAGTTCAAAAGATGGACTGCTGCGCTCAGGACCAGTTGCCGGAATTCAGGATGCGCCATCACGTCTCAGGGTCGAAGGAAGCAAAGGCACAGGGTTAAGAATGCCTCGCAACCGAGGTGTACTGGCGATGGCACCAGAACAAGTGCAACTGCCTCCTTCCTGCTCTGCTAGTATGAATGGTCTGCGTGGTGACAATTTGGTCTTGGACTGCAGCAGTGGTTCTCTCGTCTCAATCGGAGGCTTCACCTACGCGAGCTCCAGCGACCCGATTTCTCCAGCACTGCGATTAGCGCTGTTATGGCTGACAACATGTGCATGTCTAGAACGAAAATTAGAATGTTCGAGGAGGACAGCGAATAGAACAAGAGCATCAATAGGATTTTACGAAGATTGACATTGTTCATCCTGTCGTTGTCCGTCGTATCTTCGATGAATTAGGTATTGTGCGTTTTGAAATAAAGGTGAAGTTTTAGTATAATTTCGATAGCTTCATCAGAAGTCGACGAAGAGCCTGCTTCAGCGGAGTATGCTGTCAAGGATGCTGGTGATGAGGCGACCACAACACCTGAGCACCCCAATCCCAGAGGTCCAGCAGGATCTTCAGCACGACTTACGGATGAAATTCTGTGCTCTAGACGCCGACAATGGCGCGCAGAGGTTGGTCGATTGAAGAGTGAGGAGCCTTGGGTAGAGTATCGGCGGTGTAGGCATCGGGTGTGTGGCGAGTGCTTCACGCAATTTCATTTGCGTGGGATGAGTTTTTCTGGAAAGTGTCCGTTCTGTAATCAAGGATCGCGCACTGGTCTGGAACAGACGAATCAGGAAGAAGATGTAGCGGCTCATCTTCTTTTCTTGGACGGGACAACGCCAGAAGACGTTGTGACCTCGCAGACGCCTAGAGGACAAAGACGAGGATCTTTCGATATACCGCATATTCTGGCACGCCGGGGAGTTCTCGCACGAGGACGGAGGAGGCACTCGCGTCCTCGTCTCAACGTAAATGCACTTATCTCGCTAGAGAGATGGCGCCAAATAGATACTGGAGCCCGATGCTGTGGGGATTGCTGCTTACGCCTTGTCGGAACCATCGTGTCCACCTACTTTGCATCATGGTGCGCGTATCATATCCTACATCTTGATAGAGGGTCGAAAAACCCACTCGGATACTACTGATCACTTTTCCGTTTCGCATACTTCTTCATTTTGAAGATCATGTTGTCTGAGAATAATGTTATAATTGTGTATGACTACTCGAAACTTATCATGCCTATGTCTATGAACATTCTGGGCTAGTGCATGAAAGTTAGTTTGAACAAGGTGGAGATGCATAGAACAGATTTTCTTGAATATATAGTGAAAGAAAGTGTCTAGTACTGCTCTTTTTGAGTTTCGAAAACTTCAACTTCTTAAATCAGTGGGGAAGGATAAGTATTGAAGTTAGAAACTTGTTGTAGAAAAAAATTTAATGGTCGTGGAGCTATCAGTTGGATGCTCGTCTGTGTTACATAGTTGTCGTACTATGAGGAATCTCATCCATGTGCAAAACAGAACACACAGGAGCAACAGTTGTATTGCCGTCTGCGGAATCAAAAACACTTAACTTTTTCATTCGAGGTTTATTTCATGCAATTCATTGCAAAAATATTAAGAAACTGCGAAAATGCGCGACAAAACAGTTCCTAGAGGAAGGCTAATTTCGTCCAACCTTGTTCGTTATTTTGTACTCGTTGTGAATGCACCGGGTTGAATGATTGAAAGGAGAGGAGGCTCAAAAAAGGCTAAGTAGTCTGTGTTGTCTGTACAGAACATGAGTACAACCGAAAATATTCGTTCATCGGACGACGTGGGGAACCTGATGAAAAAAATGATGGAATCGTACAGAGACAGCAGACAATTGTGAGCATTGAGTTGTGGTGACCCGAGAGTGAAATGTGATGATGTCGAGGTGGCCCCTTTTTTGCGTATCATCGCGCTTCCTCGTTGACTGATATGGTACCCTGAGAGACCCAGCTTCCCTTTGAATTTGTCCCGATTGTGCTTTCGAAAGCCCTCTCGACGCGACAGCACCATTACCCAACCAAATCCGAATAAACCTTTGATGCTGAGTATTTATCGTCCTTTTCAGTATTATATGGTACCGTGACTGAATGGCAGAGTAAAAGTGATATGAGGTTCCTAATTGGAGGTTTTTCAAAAAACGCAAAGATTTGGTGAAATTGTTCCTGCTTCCAGCAGGCAATTACTACTTCGCTTCCTCAACTGATCTCTTCTTAAAAGTACTATTGCCAACTAAAACTACCATCAAAAATTATGGCGGTGAAGCAGCCTTGTGGCCCAGCGGCAACGCTGATGCTAGAAGATGCGTTACAGAAAATTATTCACAGAGATGGTTCGAAATCCCTACGAAAAGAGAAGGAAATGGGTCTCGTTCCGCTCGGTACGCAAAGCCCGTTCGGTGACTTTTAAGGGCAGGAATGAACAGTGATAATTTTGATTTGACAGAAAAGTTTGTCCTAGAGCGAGACAATTGCGGACTGTCAAGTGGCTTCGTGGTACTAGTCCAAGCATTCAACGCTAGAACAAGAACAACTTGTAGTTATAGCCACCTATGAAAACAGACTGTTTTAAACAGTAGATTCCTGAGTTTGATTTCTTGAAATGTTTCTTCTTCATGTACCCCCGGAAAACTACACGAAAGTCGTAAAGAAACCGGTGACGGAGGTGCCAACGAAGTTTGTCGCCACTACGGACGGACAGAAGCCGCCGCCCCGGGCAGGCGCTGCACAGCGAAGGCCAATTTCTAGCACAGAATTCCGTCGCTTTTACGATCGAGGGGATCTCCCAATCCAAATTTTTCACGGTGCAGCAGGAGGCAAAATCGCTTGGAAGGTGTTATTCTTCATGATTTCTTCGGATAGAGAATTGAGCTGTTTGACGCTTCAATCATGCAAGAGGAAGTTGGTCATAATCCCTCCACCAGGTTGAAATCGAGAAGTTGGATTATCATCATTATTTACCAATTTTCTTCGACGGTTTGCGAGAGCGGGAGGACCCTTACAGATTTTTGGCGGTGCAGGGTGTCTACGATATGCTCGAAAAGGGTGGATCGAAAATTTTACCTGTCGTCCCTCAGCTTATCATTCCGATCAAAACCGCACTAAATACGAGGTGTGTCGAGATTGTTTGCACCACTATCAAAGTCCTAATTCAGCTCGTGCTCTCTGCGGACATGGTTGGCGAAGCACTCGTCCCGTACAACTTTCTCTACTATTTCAACACTGTTTTTATCCACTTTGGTCTTCGTTTTCTCGACCCCTGAGTCGAAGGACGCACTCATAAGTAGTTACTTACCTTAATCCTCCGTAGTCTCTCCCAATAAGCCGACTGAATCAACGTGCAGGTATTATCGGCAGATTTTGCCGATTTTCAATATTTTCAAGAACGCGCAGAAGAATCAAGGAGACTTGATGGACTACAGCCAGCGGAAGCGATTGAATCTCGGCGAACTGGTCAACTTAAGGCACATACACCATCACCCTCTCGTTCACCTGCATTTTGCTTTTTAGCTCCTTGTCATCACTTTCTTTAGATTGCGCCTGTCAAACAAGTTAAGTTGTAGATGGAATAAGTCCGCTCGCCTCCGCGACGACCTATCTAATCTCGGAAGCTCTGGAGGTATTCGAGACGCATGGAGGAGAAGACGCTTTCATCAACATCAAGTACATGATTCCGACCTACGAATCGTGCGTATTGTCGTAAGAAGGATGACGCACCAAGCAAACGAGTAAGGAATCACAAGAACAACACTAGGCCTCATCGGAACAATACTAGACCACTGAAATAAGTTCGATGACAGAGAACAACAAAATACAGGACATGTGCCCGAAATTTCCAATGCGTCTTACTTATTTTCACCTCAAACACAAAAACAGTTTAGACGAGCCTTCTATCAACATCCATTTTTGTAAAGACTATCTTCAACAGAAGAACTCATTCCAACTTCAACTTGTCAGATATAAGCAGGTAGGGAAATACAATTTGTAGGAGAGCAGGCAACTACAGATTTTTATTCGACTTCTCATGATTAGCAAACAAATTCTCTTTTTTTCTCGTTTCATCTTTGGTTTGACGGACACGTGTATTGTCTATAGTGATGATCTCTTATTTTGATATTGCATGCTCGTTTATTCGTACTAAGAACTCCTCAATTTTTGGAATAATATATTATGCGCCTTCGTGCACGTCGAGTACACGCGAGTATACCAAAAGTAATTAGAAAAAAATTCGACTGGCAAGAGCAAGTCGTGTTTGTAAAGGGACAAGAAGGTTAGTAGAAATTCATTTAGAATAGATACGTCTCCAGTCGTACTAGAAGGTATTCTCCTTTTAGTCCGTTGCATTCAACTATTCTGTCTTGACAAAGTAGTCGATCGATTCATAGTTCGTATGCTGCGCCCCGCAGTGCGGAAGGCGTTCTCGGGATGTGGCCACGTAACGAGACTGATAGGTGAAAAATCGAAACGAGTATCCACAAATGATTACGTATTCGCAGGTGCTATCGTAGTTTGATTCTCGGCTTCCCTCTTCTGTGTATGTGCATCAAAAACTTAGTAACAGAGAAGCACATGATTATCAATTATCTGCATCTCTATTTTTCGTCCAATGGATTTTCTTCGTTTTTCGTGACGATAGGCGAGGCAAAGCATAAGTTGCGCCGGAACAGGCTCTTCATTAGAGTGCGAGGGATGATCTGTGGCGTCCTTGTCTCTGCTGTCTCCCAATGTCTACACATCGGTATGGGTAAATGACAGGCTTTCTCTTGAGTTTTGTATAGCCCTGAAGCGCTCGTTCTGGTTCTTGTCGGATCTCTTTTTTTCGTTGCAATGGAAGGGTCGAGGTTCTCCTGGTTCGGTCTTATTAATGCTTCTGAATCTGGTCGGTTTTATCATGCCAAAGCTCGGCTAGCTCAGAGAGTGATGAGTGTTGGTGTCAAAGTGTTTGCGTGACTGCTTCAGTCTTGAATATTGAAGGATGTTGCTGCTTCAATAGTAGTCGATGGCTATCCCTCCGACCACCTCCCAAAGCACATTCGACCCATACTTGACTGTCATCGAACCCCTATCCTCTCGAGAGTGGAATTTTCTGGGCATGTATTCATTGAACTCTTTGGAGTAAGTGCTTTGAAAGTCAGTTAATCTCATATGAGATTCCATTTTTTATTTTGCTCATAATGTATGTGGCTTATTTTGCTAAACGTTGACCGTAAGGGTAAGTACTTACAAGACGTACTTTGTTCCCTTTCCAAGGTGTGCTGCAAATCTTGATTGGCTTTCACCCTTTGGTGAAGGTTTAGGCCCTGCGGCGCTCAAAGCACTAAGTAAAACAACCGGTTAGTTTTCACCTTGATCACAATCGTAGACTTATCCCGTGCAACAAAGTACTTACAAGACGTAGGAATAGGAAAGGATACCACCAGGTTGTTGAGGTAGAGAGAGACAGATTACTTCAGTCGCCAAGAAAACCACAACGCGCTCTGCGCTCTAAAAAGACAAGATGGCGTTGAAGTGCGGACCAGCGCAAACGCTTATGATAGAGGATGCGTTGAAGAGAATCGTGTACAGAGACGGCAGTCAGTCATTGAAGCTCGAGAAGGAACAAGGCCTCGTGCCAATGGGCGCAGAGAGCCCCTTTGGCGACTTCCCAGCAGGGTAAGTCCTCCTACTTCACACTACAACTACTTCTTGTTCTAATTAGATGATCATGATACTCCTTGAATCTTCGTCTGCTGCCTTCTGGCCTCTAGTTCTACGGTGCTCAACAGGAGCACACACATGACATAATCTTCGTGATCGTGTCACAATATTTTCAGCGCATGTCGTTATCACGAATGTCGTCTTTTTTTGCTAATGCGCTGATATGAAAGTACATTTTCATTTCATCGATGAAAAGTCGTTCCTTGACCTTTTTTCATTTCAGATACGGTTCGCAGAAGTTCAAAAAGCGCGTAGTACCTAGCAAGGTCGAGAAATTTGTGAGGACAACAGACGGACTGAAACCGCCGCCAAAAGCGGGAGCCACTATGCGAAGACCAATCGCAGCGACCGAGTTCCGTCGTTTCTATGACCGAGGTGACCTCCCAATACAGATCTTTCACGGAGCGGCGGGAGGAAAAATCGCTTGGAAGGTACCAACCTGCAAGTTTCGTTTTACTATCTTATGTTTGAGGAGGGGTTTGTACGACGGAATCTTGTTTTGTGACTCAGAGAGCTTGCTACTCCGGAAGCTCTTATTTAAGTACGTGCTTGAGTATTCGGTTTCGTAATGGTAATAAGTACTGACTACATCTTCAACTAATGCAACGATAGAATAACTACAGGTTGAGATCGAGAAGCTGGACTATCATCACTATTTGCCAATTTTCTTCGACGGTTTGCGGGAGCGAGAGGACCCGTACAGATTCTTGGCAGTTCAGGGAGTTTACGATATGCTCGCGAAGGGAGGGTCGAAGATTCTGCCGGTTGTGCCGCAGCTCATTATTCCGATCAAAACCGCACTGAACACGCGATGTGAGGAAATCGTCTGCACCACGATCAAAGTCCTGATTCAACTCGTCCTATCCGCTGATATGGTCGGCGAAGCGCTCGTGCCGTACTTCTAAGGACTAAATCTGGATGGTGGATGATCTTCAAATTCAACAGGTGTAGATTTCATTTTCAACATCGTGTCGGAACTTGTGTACTTGGGTTGGTGTGCAACTTTCACTTACGTCCTCTTACACCACATCCTCATGCAGGTACTACCGACAGATCTTGCCGATATTCAACATTTTCAAGGGACACACAAAAAATGTAGGAGACCAGATGGACTACAGCCAGCGTAAGCGACTGAACCTCGGAGAACTGGTGAATGAGGCACTTGAGGTGTTCGAGACGCACGGTGGAGAGGATGCTTTCATCAACATCAAATACATGATTCCAACCTACGAATCATGCGTGCTATCCTAAGTGACAAAACACTTTTTGACATAGTAGGAAGGATGATGAACATCTTCGTTCTATTTGATCGGTTCATAGTTTTGAAAAAAAAACGAGGAGATTGGGCTCAGGGCTCGCAAGCCGTTCTGTCGCGCTCGTGTAGAAGTACAACACGAACAACAACAAGTGGTATCTCGAAAAAAAGGAAGCTTTGAAGTACAAAAAACATTATGATATTGTTTAGTTGTTCTTCCACATGATCATACAACATGAAGTAGCGAGATTCAAAGAGTGAAAATATTGATACAAACATGAAAGCTTAAATGAATTGTCATAGTTACTTGCGTTCAAACTTATGCTGACGAAATTACTACAACACTAGACATGAAAAATGCATTAGATAGTTACCACCTTCTTCTTCATATTCCACAGTTACAGCGAGATCTTCGCATAGCATTGCCTATGTCAAATTAAAATGTAGAGTCGTATAGATCCTACTTTGTTCTTCGGACAAAATCATCGATAGTTAGATATTGTCATGAGTTAACACTTCAGAACATCGACATCCATAGAAGTTGCAGTTTTGTTGTGACGTCATTGAGAATTGCAAAAGCCTACAGGTTCGTATAAGCAAGTAGATAAGATCAGAGTACCCATGCATGCTGCTGTTTGTTAGTTGTAGATTGTAAAAATTATGTTGCGTTTCTGGATGATGAAAACATAATGAAGACAAAGTGTCAGCACCTTCCCCCAGACCACGCCCGCGTACATTACTTAATATACCAAGATGCTGATGCTGTTGAAGATTGAAAAGCGACCGAAGGATTATATGAATGTAGAGGACTAGCTGAAGAAATAAAAGAATTTGAAGAGAGAATTCATAGGCTGATTTTGAGGAGTGGCACTGGTACTTGCATCAATCGTAACGCGAGGATGAAGACCCAGCGCGCGTCATGTAATCATGTCTTCGATAGACTTGGAGCGTGAAAACAAATACAACATGACAACTGGTGGTGCAAGAAACACTTCTGAGTCAAGCAGTGCGACAAGATCATTGAGAGGCTCACTGATTTTTGAGAGAGACTCGTCAAGGTTCTATGGTCGTGAAAGTGCTGGAAGGACGCTGCATGTTGTTCTGAATACGTCGACATTTTATAGTACCAAATAGGGCATGCTGATGAATAAAGGGGTGCACATCATTTGAAACAATGACGACATCGTTCTTGAATACCGTGCAGCGTCCGAATGCCGCCGTTAAGGCTGAGCCGGGTGAATCGACTGCAAAAAAGGTGACAGCACAGCAGCGCGCGCTACCTGCGAAACCCAAGAAGGGCAATGAGGGGGTGGACTTACGGTTTTGATCGTGCTCATTGTGATGAGGATTCTACACAGCTATGTATGTTGTCCTCCCATTTTTAGTCTCCTGATAGTGATTTAATCAAGTACGTTTCCACTAATACACGCAAAGAAGCGACGAGCCTTCCCAGAGCGCCCACCAGTACCGGAGGGTTTGCTCTGCCCTCTGAGCGGTTTGCTAATGCAAACCCCTGTCCTGCTAGCAAGCGGGCATATATTCGAACTGGATAACATTCGGGAGTATGTCCGGCAACACGGAAGAAACCCTATATCCGGCGATCACATCAGTAATGCCGCAGAGCTGAGCTACCGCCACGTACGATGGCTACGCGACACCATTGTCAGTTCTACGTTTTCTTGGTCGTCATTTCTCCGTAATACGAATAAGTTGGTCTTCAGCAACATCGTTTAGCTCTCCAGGTAGTATTACGGTCAGCTTTTACCCATCTTTCTCGTCTTCTCGATACGCGTTTCCCTTGTATTTCATGGGAGAGGGGTCGAGATGAGGGGACCGAGATGGATTAAAACTGACGCTAATAGTATATTGGTTATTAACTTTCGGCTTCTTATGGGGATTGATATAGGAGAGAGAGAGACCTAGTAGAGCACCATCGTTGACCTCTCCTCTCTTTGTTGTAAAATTGGAATCTATAACAAGAGGCGTAAAGACACGTTGTTGGCGAACGTTGAGACCACATTGTCGCGTACTCGATCAGCCGCGCACACGCAGGATCCAGAGAACTCGAAACCTCTCGGCGACGTTCGACCGCATCCACATGATCTGCGTATAGATCTGACGCTGCGACGAGTGGCTTATTTACGGGCACTATGATTCGAGTTATTTAACCCATGGTCGTCTTGTAGCATCAGTTTGCTACCTAAAGTTCAAGAGAAGCAAAAATAAAAAGTTGTTGTACTTGTAGTTGTGAAACAAGCTGGATCCTTTTCCTTTCCGGTCATTCACGTTCTAAAATATCAGCTGAAGCGTCTGAATCGGCTTTATCTAGCTAAAAACAATGCACAGGAAGATACCACCAACGGCAGCCACTTGGTGGGCGAAAGACTTCTCCGAAAGTTGGAAGATTTTGTGTCGCGTTTCGATAAATCTTCAGGAGCCGATGAGAGAGCAGGAGACGGAGCCGGTGATGAGAGAGCAGGAGACGGAGACGGAGCCGGGGATCCGGCAAGTAGAAAGAAGCCGACCATACTGAGAGGGACCTCGCGAAGCTTCATCCTCGACGCGCATCGCGAGTTCCAGGCTGCAGAGAAAGAGTGGGCATCGCGGGACGTCCGACAGGCAAACCAGGAAAATCGGACGAGGACAAACAAACGAAATCAGACGCAAACCGCACATCATGGCGGGGCGGGTAAGGCTACCACGCTAGCTGTAGGTGCTAATGCGTCAGTGCCAATTGTTCGCGAAGGCGCGACAGTACCAGCATCTTCCAAGCGCCCGGCTCCAACAGCAGCAGCAGCGATAAGTGGTAAAGCTTCGCTACGAGCGGGGGAAAATGTACTTGCTCCACTGGGTCAAAAAAGTGGCAAACAAGATGTCCAACGATTGAATCAAAAGGGTGTACCTCGCACCGCAGGCGCGACGGGAGGACAAGCAGCTGCAGAACAAGCCGTGGCCTTTTATTTGCAGCAAATTGTACCAGGTGTCAGTTACGACTGTGTATTACCAGTGACGGCGTACGGGAACGCCACTACCGTCTCGTATCCGTTGAACAACGAGCACATCGAATGGTTTCTTGCTCTTCCACAGCGTGACACCTTGCGCACCCTGTTCTTTTCTGACGCAGCCCCCAGTGCGAATCCACTTATGAGGAATTCTGTTTGTACCTACTCTTGTAACTTTCATCAATCATCTTTCTCAATTAAGTACAATCGTAATCGTTTTGAGGTGGGAATGGCTCATTTGCGCTTTCGAGATGGCACTGAAGAACAGGAAAGTCAAAATTTTTTAAAAGTGTCAGTCTAGAACAATCTTCATCATCATCATCATCATTTTTAAAAGACGTCAGGCACAGGCACACTTTTAATCTTGAGCTTCCAGCGACAGCAGTCCAGCTTCGAGAAGTGCTTGTGCGTGAGTGGAGTCGCGTGACGCAGACTCCTCCGCCGCAATCAGAAGAGGAAAGTAAAGTGCAGCTTGCAGGAGTTTTCAGTTGGGTGTGTTTCGTACAGGATGCTGTTTGTTCGAACATTCAACAGAGAAACGCCATGCTTCATGGAGGAGGTGGGGTGAAACCTTCCACACAGAATAATGTGTACATGACGACAGAGCAGCTCATAATTGAGGAAGAAGTTGAAAATTCGCCATCGGAAAGCTCGGAATCTGACGAGGCTAAAAAGGCAAAGTTGCCTAAACGTTTACGAGAGGGCGCCGCAGCAGTGACGAAAAGACGCCGTGTCGAGCAGCCGGACCGAACTCCCCAGCAACAGGATCAGCTTCGCATCCACACTCTTAGTGCTGGCGAAGGAGCTCCTGCGCAATTAAACACCAGAGTGAATACCAATGTTTCGATGTTTTTGAAGAACCGAACTGGTGCGGCGAGCACGACGAACGAAGCAGAAGTTGCTGGTCGGATGCTCACACGCCGACAGCAAGCAATGATGCAGATGTCAGGTGGGACTGTTGGTTGGAGTCCTGCCAAAGCCGGGAATGCATCCGCTCGGATACGTCGGCCACGGAACAAACCTGCTGGCGACGAGAGCTCCTCTAGCGACGGCGAACCGGGTGAGCAGCCGCCCGCCGCTTCCAGCTCGTTGAACTTTTTATGGCCATCATAGGGTTGGTCAATGAAAAGCCCAATAACGTCACGGAAATGGTGAAATTGTGAGACTTCTCCAGTTCCTCCTTGTCATTGCTCATGGCTGATGATAATGAAAGAAGCGCTAATTTTCGGACCGAAAAGTCGAAGCGGGGATTTAAGCCTAGGACCACAGCCGCGCACAGGAGATTTAAGCTTAGACCCCATGTTTTCGGATTTTGATGCGCTCCTCGACGCCGACGAATTGGCAGTACTCGAAGCAAAGTCGCCTGTTGATTCTCCACGAGGGACCGTCCTGAGTGCAGCTTCAAGAAACACAAGAGTTCTGGGACAGAATCAAACAGGACCACCGACCACGGGAGAAATGGCTGCTACGCCTCAAGCTCCTGGATCCGGCGTTGTTTCGAACATCCCGACATCCCGATTCAACCCCCTACTTGGGATTCCTACGACATTGCCCATCGCCGACATCGTGCTCAAAGTGAGCGGGGTAACTTTATGCCTTCACCACTGAAAAGAAATATCATGTGACTGATGACGGTTTGTTGACGTCAAGGTCCGCAAATCGACATGCACCAGCAACAAATAGAGGTTGAATAGATAAAAGGAACAACAGTAAAAATAGGTAGAAGCAGAAGCACCCCTCTTGCCAGCTTACTGCATAGAATAGATGGGGGGTATTACTAGGGCATCTGGATCTGCATACTTTCATACAACGGGTGGCAGAAAATGAACGGTATCTACGTTTTCGATGATGCCAGAAAAACCGACGTTTCACCATTCTTCCGCAATAATACCACGGGAGCATTCTTCTTCATGCAAAAACACGCGACGGCTGGATCTGCTCAGCTTTCGCCAGTCATTGTACTAGTACCTTAACTTTTCCCATTCTTCGATCATATCGTTGTTGTACAGGTAGTTGCTCCAAGGAGTCATATCTGATTTTTTTACAGGAGCCGGCTTTGCGTGTTTATTGTGATGTTATTCGTATCGGTGTCGTCAGAGGATCCGACAAGCACAAGATCAACAACGTGTTATGACCAACACCACTCAGGCGCCAGCAAGTTACATTCGCGAGTATTGGCAAGACGATGAGAAGCGACGCTTAAACGCCTTCGGTGGAGTAGTTTGCTACGTCGAAGGGATGTGGATGGAGGCTCGTCCAACGCCTGGCGTTGCTGGAGGTTGTGAGTGGCTACCGGTAGACGCAAAAACTTTCCGCATATCTTGGACCCAAAGAACCAAGCATCCCTGGGTTTTCACAGCCCTCGTTCTGGGAGACTAGTCAAACACTTTTGTAGTTAAACGCAGAAACAAATAGAAGTCAAGTGATCATGCGGATGACCGTAAAACTATATTCATTGATTCCATGCCCATGCCGACATCGATTTTTTGATGTGCCACTACATTGCATAGAAAAGTATGTGCGTTACGTCGAGACTTGCTGCATGCTCAGAGTGCGCAAGAAGTGACCTACCAGAGAACTCTGCATCATAAGTGCAGGATGCGGGGCACGGACTGGTTTCGGGTCAAGACGAGACGCTAGAAGCATCGAATGCCCACGTAAGTAGAAAATAAAGCGATCGCGAAAAGAGAACAGTATATCTATAAGAAAGTATATCTTTGATTAGAGGGAAGGTCACCCATCATCCTCGGAGTTGAGCAAGGTGCCGGGGTGCTCGATGTGCAGGATTCACAACCGAACCTAACCAAGGAGGCGCGTGATTCATTCACTTCTGTAAAAGCCACTGCTTTCCTCAGAAAAAGAAGGAAAAAAAATGAAGCCTCATGCATAGGCAATCATAATGCGGGAGTTGAACCAATATAAAAGCTCAAGCTTTCCGATTCCCGACCCTAATATGATACCCCACACCAGCACTCATGAAACGAGAAAAAAGTAGGCCGATGCATGTTTAGAAATTCCCAAGGAAAGGCAGATAAACAGAATCGGCTCTGCAAACAGAACGAAAAAGCAAATGACATGAGTGAACTCTTCTGAATTCCGGAGGACGAGCGCACGAGAAGGTGCAGCTGTAAGCGTCGGGTGCGACATTTATTCGATAATTCCGGCATCTTCTGACTAGCGATAATTGCGGCTGCCATACCAGCTGCGTCGGTATTTTCGACCGACGATGAAAGCTGCTACGGCGAGGTGGATACTTGTAGATTTACCAAGATCTTCCGACTTTGGTCGACCTACTACAACAGGTACTTCGGCCAAGTGTGAGCTGCGAACAAGAACCAGATCGTGAAAATGGGGGACCCGCAGCAGTTTTCGAAGCCATTTATGGCTTCGTTTTTGGATGACTACTCTTTGGAACCTCTTTGGCCTGGTCCCCGGCAACCGGATGATCCCCCTGCCTCGTTCCTTCTGGCCTCAGGGCCTTCTCAGTCGAATTACCCGACGTTCACTGGAAGTGCAGCGACAAGCAGCGCAAGTAGCACGGTCGACGCAGCAGCGCAGCTGTGGGGTGGTGGTCACGCTGCGAACTTTCCAGCTGCGGTCGGTCTGTTTTATGGTTGTAGAACTATTTTGATTTTGTTATGCCGACCATAGTTTGTTGCTTTGCTCTTGTTGAGGCGCAATCTCATAAGTAGCAGATGATGGCGGCTTCGTAAAAACGCTTTCATCTTCATCTTCGTACACTCTTTCTTTTCTTTACTTGTGTAAGTATGTGATCGTCTTTTATTTTTCATACCGAGCGCAACGCAACGGGGTCAACAACACCGAACGCGTACGACGTGCGGACAGTTGAAGTGAGCATGATGCTCATGGGTTCTTTCGTTTTCTTCATCACCTTGTTCTATCTCGCAAACAACAAGGATCACGACATTCGCAGACATTTTTGGCGGATCGCGAGTTGTACGGTACTTTTATCTACTGGTGAGGTTGTTTCACTTGATCAAGAACAAATTTCATAATCATAAGCATGCCCAGTCTCTTTTTCCACCGTCACGATTATCTTTGGCACTTAGTCTCATGTCATTGTCACAACAATTCTCACATTGACTACAGATCACGATATTTTTGGCTCTGCAAGTATTTCATCTCGCGAATGATCCCCTAGTCGAGATCTACGTTTTCGGTGGCGCAAACACGAGGCTTCTCCTGCAGAGTGCCTATCCAGAATGGGACCTGCTAAATACCTCCGGTCGAGAGAAGACTACTTCTACGACAGCGGAGGAGCTGCACCAGCTTGGGAGCACTAGCGCTGGCCATGATGATCATACAGAGCAGAGGAGAAGTAGGGAATACAACAAGAAGAATAATGTGGTCATCGATGATGATGATTTTGACGATGAGCGAAAAAGAAATGCACTACTATCAGAAATCTCTAAGACTACAGCCTCTGCCACTGAGGAAAGCGGTAGTGCTATTGTTTCCAGCGGCAGCCCTGTTCTTCTGTTAAAAGAGAAAGAGAACGGCAACAGGTACAGTGACAGTACTGTGGGGACGGTGTCATCAGCAGCAGCAGCAGCAGGACATAGTGCGAGCTCAGTAAAGCCTGTTAGTCCAGCGAGTGCCAACGACGGTGTCGCTCCTCAAGTCTCTAGGACTGAGCACAAAAGTGAAGTGGAGGGCGAGGAAGCCGTCCAAAAGACCTCTTCTAGAAGAAGAACAACTAGCGCAAAAGAAGCAGGTGGTCGGCCTGCCACACACCAGTCCTCGATCTCTAGTGTTGTTGCGAAGCACGCGGTTGATGAGATCGCTAGAAACAGAAACGCTATACAGCTGCCGCTTTTCGTGTCTGAAAAGCACCAAGGAGATCATAGTGCTGCTGCATCTGAGATTGGGGCTTTGAAGATGCAACTATCAGGAGCGCAAATGTATCCTGGTGAAGCACCCCATCGAAGCCTGTCTGGAGCCGCTTCCCCCAGCTCTGCGCAGCTCCCTCTGACAGTTCATGACAACGATCAAGCAGAGGACTGTGGTAAGAAAACTGGTGGGCAAAACCAAGTTGCGATCAAAGCTAGTAGTTCTAGTGTGCACCAGGAGAGACCAGCAGCTGCCCATGATTCCTCAGATGCTCATCACGAGCAACAAATTCCTTCACACAAACTACAAAAGAAGAAAGGACAGCAAGAAACACATCCTCAGGATGGGAGGGCGACGCAAGAAGAGAAGACACCCCCTTCCTCCTCTCACAGTTCTCCTTCACACAGTAGTGCTAAGGGTTCATCTGCTACTCCGTCTTCAGTGCCGCTCGTACACAAGCAGCACCGAACTGGAGCGAAAGTGGCAGTGTCATCGAAGCCAGTGGATCATTACAAGGTACAAAATAAAATCGCAAATAGCAAAGTAAAACCAACGAGAGCAGGAGCAGGTGGGATGCAGGGCGCTACGCGTGAAGGCCGCGGGGACCGAGTGCTCATCGAGTCGGAGAGTGCTAGACTAGGCAGGGACCACGCTCACGGAGCTGCAGCTGGAACCTCTAGCACGACAAGTAAACTAGCTGGGGGGTCTAGCCGAAGTAGAAGCGCTGGAGCAAGCAGAGAACCGAACAACATTGGCGCTTCATTTTCATCATCGAAAACAAAAGGAAGATCGGCTGAGGAAGGAACAACTAGGAAGAGCGCCTCTTATCAGCCTGCTCCTACATCTGCTCAAAGTCAAAGAACAAAAGCACACGACTCTGCAGCACATGATAAGCACGCGTCAGAAGAAAAGCCGACATCTCCAGGTAGAGTAGAACAATCACTCGTCGAAGTCGGCACGCGCAAAGTAGTCGGGAAGCCTGGGGCGACTGGTGCTTCGAGTGTGCATGCAACCCAGTCAGAAACTTCTAGATCTGCATCAGCAGGGAGAACTTCTAGTCAGCATGCTCGTGCGTTTTCAATCGAGAACAAAATAGTACCCGCAGCTGCGCATGATGTAGATGTACTTGATGGTGTGAAGCCGGATATTAGCCACGTCGCTAAAGGCCTAACGACCGTCCTTCATCATGAAGTTTCTCCAACACAAGAACACCAGCATCCACCCAGAAACAGACTACTAGACCCTGCGGCTTTGACAAGACTGGTAGATCCGCTTTCAAATATCGATCGAAAGTCGGTGAAAGGGGCGTCTTCCTCTTCTTCAAAAATATCTGTGCAATCTCAGTCATCCCTTATAGAGGACGAAGCGGAAGATGGAGAAGACAGCATTCTGGAGCCAGACGAGCGTCCCGCAGCTATGTTTTTTCAGCTTGAGAGTCTGCGCAAACACGTTTCGGCTTCGTTGCAGTCAGCTGCGCAGAGCGAACCAGTGAAGAGTGCGCGGCACGTTTTGGCGCAAATGCTGACTCGACTGAAACGTGGATTGCACCTCACCGGAGAGGACAGCATAGTGGATGAGCCAGATCCGTTGCAATTGGAGGAAGTAGAGCGAGAGCATCTCTCCTCATTGGGACTCCAGAATCTTCACCGTAGCACCAGTTGGATGAGGGACATGGCAAACAACAGTGTCCGCAGAGTCCCATCAGTAAGCGGTGGTGTGGTCGCGGTGCAGTTCGCCCTCTACTTTGGCTGGTTCATGTTACGATTGCCTAATGAACTGAAGTACTTAAGTAGACCTGTTGCTTGAGCAAGCAAGTTCGTTGGTTCTTTTTATCATATTCTTTAGTGTAGGAGCGTGTGCGTGACACCAGAGCACGATCGACTTCTCACGCTCACCACACTACATGAGTATTTTTATCTTCAGAACAACATCTTCATCCATCGCGACGCGTAGCTTCCTTGTTTTTTTCGTTCATAGCCCGCTTTGCAGCTTTTGTGCTTGTTCGTGGAATGTGGATGCCTAAAGTGGGACCATCATGAGGACGATGACGAACTAGACCTCGATGTGGACAACGTGGAGGACTCGCCACGACATCTTAATAGACCAGAGGCAGAATACGAGCGGGCTCAGACAAAAATCGCACTCACTGCATGTTATGCGGACCTCTGATAGATTTATCCTTATAATATTTATAGCCTCAGCCTCTTAATCCTCCAACATGGAGAATTTCATGATGGATTTACACCTGGTTCTCTCATCTACTTACATCTGCACTATTATTCCCAACATCTTTCTTCCAGCTTCTCCCTAGTCTTTTCTAAAAATCGGCTTCCTTGCTAGGCTATGTCGCAATGTTCGCGGTTCTCCACGCTTTTTCGTCACTGCAAGCGCTTACGAACAACATCGGCATGTCGTTCGCTCTGGTGACGGTGTGCCCCGTCTGCCTCATCATCTTGTGGGAACTCTCGCGTTTCTTACGCGCATCCATTTATGCAAAGTAGTCCATTGGTCATTATCGTATTCATATTTTCCTTTGCAGCCTCCATCTTTGGTCAAAGCAATGTCATCTTGCTCCCTTTTGTTTTCCCACCCCAGCGAGAAACACAGCTCTAATTCTTGGTACAGACTTGCTGCATAGGTAGCAAATTTGCAAGTGTGAGGACACCGCTCCCATTGCGACAAACTAGATCTTCTACGGGTGAAGGGGTCGCTGAGTGGGAAAGACTTATTACCGACATACAGAGTGAAAACCTCGGAATCGCTACCAGTTTTCTGCTGGTGCAAAGTTTGTTATGGCGATGAGTCTGTACTTACCATGCTGCACATAGGTGGGAAAAATCAGTATTGTTTCTAGTGGTAGAAGCAGCGCTAACCAATCTTCTGTTTCTGAGCACTTAATTATGGGCTTAGTCCTTCGTGCGAGATTTATTGTATTGTATTGTATTGTAATATTCCTGATTGCCCGCTGAATTATCCACCCCAGCGCATGACGGCGCATACGCAGAGGGACGAGATGATTATCCATCTAAGTAGCTCTAACTCAGCAGTTCCTCATAATTGGTCGACTGCCCGACTTCCATGGACAACAGGCACCTCTTCCAGGCCAAATCTTCTATACTCCACCGTCAGGAGTGCTGAGTGTCATGCTACTCATTGTGGTACTGATTTCTTGAATTTGCTAAGCTTCACTTCAGCAAGACGCAGATATTGAGTCTTCACCGATTCTCAGCGCTCTGACCATTCAAAACACCCCACGCAACCAGGTCGTAACCGCCTTGGTGGCGGATTTTCTAGTGCGATTCGTGCATAGGAGGCAGAGGGAAGTGCCGACATACAGTTTCCAGAGTCGGATTTTTAGTCTGGTGACCGTCATCCTGAGCATGACATTTGCGTGGCAGCTTTTACTGATGCTGAGGTGGATAGTGGCTCACCTGTGCGCCACGATCTCCAACATGGTCATTTTTAAGCTGGTTGTAGCGACTTTCGTCACGCTCATCGGCATGGCGCTCATCATCGTCTTAGATATGTTTGAAGACTGGCTGGCGCCACACAGACAGGTCCTTTTTCTCGATCAGGGACCCACAGTTGCCGCAACAGACCTGTCGGATAAGGAGTTTATGGGATGAATTCACAACAAGGGATGTGTTTTAACTAAGTAGCTCAAACGAATAAAGTTACAAGCAGAATCACCTCCTACACCTCTGCCTTTCGTCTCTTCCCTATTCTCATTTCAACAATCATGGTTCGTCTAATTTTGTCGGCAGGAATAACAAGAAGGGCATGGAGCGGGGTCTGCGCGGTGGATCCCCAACCGACTATATCAACGACTATAATAGCAGCCCGCAGCAACCGGGGAATGAGCCAGTCGTTGCCGGTTACTACGTGCCAAATGCTGATGTTGGACGACGCAATCCCGGGGGTGGTCGGCCGCCAGGGAAACGGCAGCGTGGGGAAGATCCAATTCGGGGGATTTACCCTGGAAGCATGGTAGAAGGACGAATGGGGGACATTGATAGGGAAGGCAGCCACGAACTGCTTTTCATGGAGGGAAGCCATCGGATGGAAGCTCCCTACGTTCCAAGTAGACTTCGTGGGGCCGTTATGGCTGGTTGGTGCGTTGCATAAGTATTTGATGCTCCTTTGATTGACATTATCTATCCATGAAAAATTCGATTTCTGTCCATGAGGTTCAGGTCTGGCCACAAATCTTTCGATTGTGAGCCTGGAAAGGAGCCGGACGGTAAAGATTCTGGTACTAAAATATGTATGAAGAAATATGGGTGTACAAAATAGATTACTTACCACCCTCCGCACCCCGTTCATATGCCCAGACCGGAATCGTTACGAGCAGTACGACCGCCAACGCGATGAGGGCAGTGAGCAGGATGACACGGACATTATGGGGAGGATTACTGCGCTTCAATCTTGATTGGTTTCCTACCAAAGAGAATGCCGCGAGTGAATCATACTAAATGTTTTCGTCTGTCTATCCCTTCTTCTTACTTGAAGTAACTTCTAATATTCGCTCCTCGTTAGAGGGTGGTAGCGTTTCCGAGGAGATGCCACTTTCACAACAGCAAAACTACCAGGTCCGCCCAGGCTTAGGAAATGCGAGACCTATAGCAGACCGACGCGATGAGCCTCCGCCAAGTCCGTTTGTAGTCCAAGACAACCTAGAGAAAATGATCCTCTGCGTGGGGATCATCATCGGCTTCGCATGGAATCATGCGTTTGAGGTAGCGAATTAGATTTAGGAAATCATCATCGCTAAAGCGTTTTGCTTTTTTCCTACTGCGTTCTCTAAGTTACCGATCCTTCCCAAAAAACCAACTACTCGCACTCAGGTTGCCATGCTAGCCGTGAATCAGGAGATCGACAGCGCTTTTCGCACAGAGTGGGGCAGACAGCATAATCTGCATCTTATGTTTGTGCTTCTACGCATTTTGTTGATTCTTCTTGTCCTGCCAGCTTGGAGGTACCATGTCTTACCGCAGGTGGTACGCACTAGAGACGAATTCTTGCAGGGTCGCGTCCTAGAAAACATCCAGGATGAAACTTCTGCAGCACGGGTGATTGGTGACCAGGCCAGCGAGCGTTTCGAACAGTGGAAACAGGATCGAAGGGTTCGCCCGATGAGCAAATTTCTGTTATGGATTCTTTAATAGAACAACGCCATATGATTGAGAAGTGAATACTCATCAATGTCGGGAGATTGGTTTACGCCGCTTGCAGCTATGCCTAGTACTATTAAACTACATTCGATACTATCCGCGTCTGGTAATATTTCGATACCTGTTACACGCCATAATTATTTCTATCACATCTATACCTATCCAAATCCTCTACTAATTTCCTGGGGGATCTATTTTCTGGTGGTAGTCGTCCTTCTGGCGACGGTAGCATTGGCGTACGTGAACGAGAAAGAAACAATGTTCTTCCTGCTTAACGTCCGTGAATGGGCTGCGGATTCGATGCGATGGGCTGGACTGCAGGCACGGAGGGTGTTGCTTCTTGAAAAATGATAGAAGAAGCGCAATTACAAATAGAAAAGTTCATAGATGAGATAATGAAGATACTATGAACTAAGAACGTGTCTGTTTGATGACAAAGAAATAGAAAGCATTTTATTCGAGACAGAGATTGAGACCGATACATGAAAAACTTGCCAACTTGATGCAGTACAGTCATTTTTAGAATACAGGCTTGCTTACTCTTTGCCAGAACCAGAGGGAGGTTGAGGCGGCAGGCATCATTCTCCTTCTTTTTTCTTAGTTTCGATGTACCTATCATAGAGGATCCATTATAGTACTAACTCTTTCTTGTCTAATTTCAAAATAATGTGTATCGGAGCCAAGCTCCCTGCCTTGGATAGCACAAACTGATCTAAGTAATGAAGCAAGGAATACAAGGCCCTGTTGTTGAATGCAAGACAAAATAGTTTACATGAATGCAAAATGAACTTGTACCTATTTTTACCATGACAAAAGAAGAAGAACATGATTATGATAGTTGTTTTTCTAATGAACATTACATGTCGGTGCCTTAACCGTACCCAAGAACATAAATATAGATAAGTAAACGCAGTTAGCCATCAACTGCAGTGTAGCGACGTTGCATGTATCATTTGTCTGCCAGGCGTCAGTCAGGCACAGAAATGGGGCAAGCTGCGAGCTGGTGGTGCCTCATGTACAGAATTTCTACTTATGTATTGATTTTTTGAGTTTTCTTTCTTTCTGATGTCGCTCTCATCGAAGTTATATGTATTTATCTTCGTTTTTATCTGTATCTTCTGGTCTACTTTCTACTTTGTACATTCGTGGTGGTCAATGTATCTATAGGAAGCAAGACTGAAGTGGTCATAGATTGAGTCGCGCTTTCCGCACAGAAGATAGTCTCGGTTTTTACTGTAGATGTTGATTGTAGCGCTTGATTACGGGAAGAGAATTGAAAAGTTAAAACACAAAGAAAGGCAACTACAACCTTTCAGACAAAGGCTGCGCGACAGGAAAGTAGGTTGCGTCTGTTTTCTCCTGTTTCTGTTCTAAAAATAGAATTTTTCGACAAAGTTTGCTCACGTGGAGAGACCAGCAATGAAGTCTTTTCTTCTGTCAATGAATTTCACGATTGTAGCTTCTCGAGCCGTCGCTACACAACCATTTGAAAGATTGAAGAGAGATCTCAGGATCAGGGTTTCTCCAGCATCGTTGCAGAGAGATGATGTACTTACTTACTTGAGAGTGAGACAGTTGTAATAAGATGAAGTAGGTCTGTCCTTCGCGACGAAAATCTGTCGGCATTGTTACTCTTCGGAGCGGCCTAGATGGGGAAATCTGCAATTCTGTCTGTCGTGTGAGTGTCATCATGTATCGGCTTTGGTGAGAGCATATTCCACTCTTTCTTGTTCATGAGTTCCTCGTTCTACATATCTATCAGAACTTCAGTCATGCTACCCGACCCGCGGAAAAAACCCATCAACTTCTTTTCCCCATCGATAATCGAATCTATCGAATTGTAGTTGTGTTTGTCAACATTCGAAAAGTAGATTGGTTGAAACACCTTTGAGTTTGAGAATCGATAGAGACTCAACATCAAACGAACTCATTCCATCTGAAATAGTACTCAGATTGTAGTCAGACACAAGAAAAATTTCTACTAGTGTCTTTCATCCATCCAAACCAAAGAAAAATGCCGCGTGAGCAAATCGTAATCCTTCTCGGACCGCCGGGAAGCGGTAAGGGCACAGTTTCGCCCGCCATCGTGGACAAGTTTAACATCCCGCAGTTGAGTACGGGTGATATGCTTCGTGCTGCGGTGGCAGCCGGCACCGAGACTGGTATGAAGGCGAAGGACCTGATGGCAAAGGGTGCTCTTGTTCCGGACGAGCTGGTCATCGACATTATTCGTGAGCGCATTCGAGAGTCCGATTGCTCCCAGGGATTCTTGCTGGACGGCTTCCCACGCACAGTCGCGCAGGCCAAGGCTCTGGACGCAGTGTTGTCGAAGGTTATGATTCCAAGGACTACAAACAATGTTGACTATCCACCACTATAATAGTTGAACAGAAGTAAGATAGAGCTGAATCGTTGACCTTTAATCTCCACTACGGGTTTTTCTTTTTTGTAGGAGCTCATGAACTCTATTTTCGGGGGTTAATATGAAGCAAGTAAGTATATGCTGTTGCAGAAGCAGAAGTGCTCATGATTGCTTACGCTCCTCACTGAGTTGTGCATGTTTGCAGGTCAGCTCCTCCATCTTCCTCCTTCTCTAATGCGTAAGGCGAGATGGTGACGAAAGTGGTGGAATTGAATGTACCGGATGCAGTGCTTGTCGACCGCATTTGCGGACGATGGATCCACAAGGATTCGGGTCGATCGTATCACGTGAAGAACAAGCCGCCTAAGAGCTACGACGGAAAGAGCGATCCCACAGCAGAGAACATGTACTTACTATAGTGAATCGTGGTGCGTCACTTCTTGTTATCACTACAACATTTAGCTTTGTCGATGATCGCGACGACCTCTAGCAGCTGTGATGCGTTTGAATCTTCTCAACAGCAATGTCAATCTTAATCATGTTTGCAGCCTCAGGGTAGTTCGTTGTTGTAATGTATTTGTTCCTGACCTTCATCTATCCGACTACAACTTTGACTTAATATCACAATGTTAACTCGGCCTTGATCAAACGTCAGGCTTGACGACGAGACCGGAGAGGCTTTGTATCAGCGCGCTGATGATACTAAGGATGCGCTTCCCAAGCGATTGGAGGGATATCACAACGAGACGGAACCTATCTTGGCACATTACGGCGACAACGTGTGTGTGCGGGTTGACTGCAATCGTGATATGGACGTGATCACCAAGGACATTCTCAGTGTTTTAGCGGTACCAAATACGCCTCGGGGCGAGGGTTGTTTTTCTTGTATGTGTGGCAGATGAACCGGATCATCATTTTCATAAGCACTTTTATAACTGGTGATGAAAATGTGCTCAGTCATGTGACGAAAAATGTGATGAATATGATAGTCGTGAATTGCATAGAGTGTAAAAGATTTTGATCTTCTTCGGGTTCGGTTTTTATCATATAATTAAGTGCATAGATTAGAAAATACGAGTAAGAACGTCAACTTCGGTAGACGGCTGATTCTTGAAATTCAACTTCGGCTACCATGCATTCAGACCATCGCAACATTATGGAGGTGAAAACAAAACATCGTTGTGGATTTGAATTTGTCTTATATGCTTGCGTTGCAGTCTTTTATTTCATCAATATGAGTAGATATAGATTGTGCTGTAATATCTTGGACCGACCAGCATATGGATAGGGTGGGTATATCCTCTGAAAAGTAGGATAATAAAAGGTTATTTCGGGAATATAAGCTGTAACTGCTAGAAGTCTTAATAGAACAGCATATTGCTTTTTTGGTGGGAAAAATTGGTTATAAAGGGACTATTTCGTGATTGAGATATCAACAGGATCCGTCATGCGACATCAGATGAATATCATATTAACCATAACTTTAACCAATTGGATTTAGACGATTGGTTACGGGGAGTGGCATGATAATGAGTGACTTTTTTGTGCTTTTTTTTTCTCAAAGATAAAATCTCTCATCGATCATCATCAGGGCGAAGGCGACACTGGCGTGACGGCGGCAATGAGAGAAATGCTTCTGGCAGCTAAGAATATCGATGAGTTGCTGGAGCATATGCCGCCAGAAGTCGCCGGGATGTGTTCATCGGCCGGTTTTGCGGAATCTGTGAACGACTACTTCGATGTACAGACGTCCTTTCATAAACGTCCCTTTCAGATTCAGGGAAACAAACCTCACAGGAAATCTAGAGTAGGAAACTTTTTAGAGGAGAATAAAACTAAGAAACCAAGAAGTACTAGTCACTACAATTTATACAACATCCTTGCTCATCTTGCACGAATATTTGGGCAAGAAGGAACTACCACATCTAAATTTGCACTACTAGTAGTACTCGTCATCCCTTGACCGAGTAGAAAACGCGTGATACATGTACAGAAGGAAGAACTCGCCACAAGTACGAGGACTTTTTTACTTATCATAGATGCAAGAATGTACTACAACATGCTATGCCAACTTCCACAAGAACTATAATAGGAATGCTATGACAAAATCCACAGGAAATTTTCGTTTCTTACCTCCCATCTTCCCAATCTCAGATGTTGGATAGCGATAAGACGGGCAGCTTAAAGATGGAGGAAGTCTGGGACGATGCGACGGAGGCGATCTGCGGAATGCTCGTTATTGCAAACGAGGGATCTGATCCAATGTATTTTTACTACTGTGAGTATCTGTTTGTCTCCTGCTGCCTGATTCGACGAACACAACTACTCCGTGGAGGTGTTGCATACACTTTGAAAAAGAAATTTCAGCCTCAGATGGATCCGTCTGACGTTATAATGAACCGTTTTAATAATGATTGTGAACCAGAATCAATCTAGTGTCCTCACAGGCATGCGCCGAAACTTGGGGTCGCGGACATGAAGCGATTCATGGCAGTCTTCGACAAAGACGGCAACGGCGACCTCGATCGTGAAGAATTCCTCGGGTTCATGAAATTCACCCTCTGTCGGTCGTGGATTGAGGCTCAGTATGTGGGGGAGAAGGAGGGTGTCAACCAGGCTATGCGGGACATCATGTTGGCGATGGAGAACTTGGATGAGATGATCGAGTCCATGCCTGAAGACATCCAAGGTTGGGTCAACAGCGATGACTTTGCAGAAGCGGTGGACGAGTACTACAGCGAATTGGATACGGATAAGATTACGGCTTCTAGTACCATGGTAAAGTTGATAAATTGAAAAAGGAGTTAAGATCATTCTATCCGATATTAATTTGCTCATCTTTTACCTTGTTAGAAGCCTGATTTTGATCGTTTGTGAAGTCACATCAGAGTCGTCAAAAGACGGTTTTAATGTCTTATTCTTGTTCTTTGCTTTTCTAATGCTTCCGGATCTCTCGATGTCGGCGAGTTAGTTGACGAAGCGTATGAGACCATTACGTCTATGCTCCGCATCGCGAACGATGGCGACGATGTTTACACTCCGAAATTGAGCTCCGCGGACTTGAAGCGCTTTCTGTCCATCTTCGATAAGGACAAGAACGGATCGCTGGATCGCGCAGAATTCTTGTCTTTCATGAAATTTTCGCTCTGCCGTTCCTGGATCGAACAGGAGTACGCATACGAATACGACTACGACTACGCTGAGGACCAGGAACTGTATTCCTATTTTTTTTTGTGAGTTTGCGGTTGAAGGAGTAGGATTTGCAACAGCCTGCTATTTAAGTTTCGAATTTCAAACGTTGGTCTTGATGTATGTACAACACAGCAACGGCAATCATACTTTTGTGATCTTTCGTGAGAAAGATCACAACGATCGAAGAAATATCTCAACTTTCACCATACCACAGCATGGATTCGCAGGAAGAACAGGAAGTTGTAGAAGGCGAACAAACGCTGGACGACGCGTTGGACAAACTCGAAGCTGGACCGAACTCACTCGGTGCTCTTTTGAAGAAGTGTACTCCGGAAGTGCGAGATGAAATCATGAGCAAGGAATTCCACCAGATGCGCAAGATGGAGTTCGATACACTAGATGACAACGGAAACGGCTCCCTGGAAATCGGCGAGCTCTTCCCTTTGATCGAGGCAATCGCGGACGTGCACCCATGGAGCGTCTCGTACAATTTTTTCTGAATGTCCCAACTCTACAGCCTCTTCTGGAATCACAATGTCTAGGTCTACTCCCAGTTAGAGCAGTACAAAAATATTTTTGTTTTTTTCAACAGCAGGAAAGCACTGACTGACTTTTCTTCAGGCACTAACTACGTTGAAGTTTTCTACACATTCATGATCCTCTTTCTTTACAGTTACGAGCACTGCCAGCGCTTTATGGATCTTTTCGACTCGAACTACGATGGCTTGCTTCAGTTCACAGAATACCTGGATATGGTCCGCTACGTGATTGCATTCGCCAGCATTGACCATTACGCTAACGAGGCAAACGCGGCAGCAGAGTTAGAGGCCATGCGTACTGAGAATGAACGACTGAAGAAGGCACTCGACACCGTGAATCAGAAGCACTGCGAGCTTCAGCGCAACTTCAATCGTGTCCTCAAGGGAGCTGTCAAAGACTCCAACGCTTATGACCGACTCTCTCCTGTACTAGCAAATATTGACTAACCCGGTAAAAAATAATATCAGGTTCTGATGTTGAGAAAGACGATTATGTAACAACCGTTCACCTCCTCGCAACCATGGCTACTATTTAAGTGCATAGGTTCTCGTTCTGGAAAAGGAAATTTCGTTTCGGTCGTAATATGCGAGATCTCAGTACATGCACCCTTTTTGCTCCTGAAATTCTCCTCCTCTTTCATTGTACCGAAATGGTGAAAGAGCGCAACTGGCGTGCAACCTTGCAGGGTAAGTACAAGGAGGTGCTTGGAGACTACCGCAAGGTGATGGGAGTGGCCAAAGAACAGCGCAAAACGCTTGTCGCCAACGCCAAGACTGTACGAGCGGATACGCTCCCGGCAGTGACCAAATCAGCCTCCTGCGTCAGGCTGGGACGCAAGTTGCAGCACTAGGGTTGTAACTGGACAGGAAATGGAAGAGTAGTTTGAGTTACGTTTGAATGACATAGAAGTCATAGGTGGAACAAGTCTTACTTGTAACAGTTATAATAAGTGGTCGATTCTGCTTCTGCTCCATTCATTGTTTAGGAAAAAATTTGAGCTACGAGAATGAATAGTTCGTTGTTGCATGTTGATATGAGTGGTCTTAGATTGATGTAGCATAAACAAAATCACATTGCGGTATACTATGCATAGATATATTGCAAGTGAAAATGTAGCAGCATTGCATGCGTATCTGCAATAATTTCAACATATTCATCCTTCGGCTCAAGAATGTCATACGTACATGAGAGATGCGCAGCTTATCATATCGCCCCAGGCGCACAATGAACAGTGGCCGTAGGAAATCGCGGAAGGAATTCCATCTACAACATGTTCATAACAAGTAGAATCGTCTACATCCAAGAAGTAACTTAGTTGTTGGAGATTTGCTATCATGGGGATGCATGTGCTATGCCGAACGCTCTGTTTATGATATCTATAGTCGTCGATAAAGAAAGGAAGGCAACGCGAAGGAAAGCAAAAAGCAGTTATTTGTCATTCTTATATTAGAACTAGAACTCTCTATAATCTTCATTTTCAACATTTGTTATTATTCTGACGGCGCAACCGCAAGTCTTCAGATATATGATTAAGAATTTGTAACTTTGGCTACTCATCATCATCTTCAAACTCGTATTATTCTACATTGCAAGTCGTCAGATAAAGTAGATTAAGAAAGAATCGTGACGGCAGTTACTTCATATCGCAACGCAGGAAAGAAGAACCTTTATCCAGAAGTACATACTCCCTTATGTTATGCTTACCATGATGTCTTTGTCTATTTGGAACTAGGGACTTCTTCGCGACAAAACATCGGGAAAAAGATTTACTCGCTCAACGTTGTACAGAAGAGGAACCGGGATAAAGCTAGACGAGGTAGAGCAAGCTCATCCATGCAGAAGGGGGTCTCCACATGCAGCAGGAGGCAGGGTGTTCTTGATACATCCTCGAAGATTATGTGGCTGATGCTGGACTCGACTGAGAAGTTGAGTGTACTACTCTTCTGTTATTGTAGTTGGCAAGGAAGATGCTTCTGACTCGGTTTTAAAAGACACTGACGCGAAGCAAAGACTGCGGTCGTTCAAGGAGCGCCGGTGCTGCTAACAGTTCGAAGATCTTGTTCGGGATAGTCGAAGGATGGTTTTAGAAAAGGTTCTAGAACGAGAAGGATCACTGACTCTGAGTCAGTTACAAGGAAGCATCCCTAGTTTTGAAGATCCCTACTTTTGAAGACGACAAAAGAAGTGTGAAGATCTCACTGTCCTTTTTTGGCTTGCTCTGCGTCGGTTATCTGGGAAGTGAAACTCTACTACTAAAGGAACTAGAAGGTACAACCTCTTAACTAATTCATTAAGTAGTAAGTTCTAAGTATTGGTTTTTGTGGAAACAAAGAGTGGTTTTTGTGGTCGTCCTTTTTGGGCCTTGTCGTACTAGTTCCTGTAGGTCGTCAGTGTTTAAAGTTCATACTCTTTAAACAAAATCAGAAAAGAACGGAGTCGAAGGTCTACGTTTAAGATTGTGCTACAAAGAAAAGAGAAGTAGCAGGGAAAGTAAATCGTCCCTGCGAAAAGCTCCTGGTCGTTGTGGACGTCTGCTAGTAGCGCCAAGCAAGATGGAGTGCGCACTGCAGGCCGGAACGCCCCTCAGCAGCACAAGCAAAGCCGACCGTTTTATGGCCTATCCAAGGTTCCTGATGTACTTTCTGGGATGATGATGTACTTATTGATAAACGCATATGTAGCCAGCATGAGCATGTAAGATTGGAGCCTTTCGAATTACAAGGAGAGAGATCAATCGTCTCCACATTCTACTCTCTTCTAAAGATTGTCGTGGGGATATTCTTCATTCAAATTATATGTTTTTTCAAAGTTTTATAACATGCAAGGCTATTTTTAGAACTACTAGATCGCGAAAATTTACCACTGTTCTTATGCTTTTCTTCGATCGTTCATTACGTCGCCTTCTTGCAAGAGCAGTACAACTTGCGGCGTCTCTCCACCGCCTGACGCGAGCAGCCTCACACACGGTTCCCCTCACGTGTTGCCGCATGAAGAAGCCTCTGCGATGAAGAGCGCACAACTGGGAAAGCGGATTGAGATCGAACAGCTCTCAAGTTGCAAGAAGAAGCTGAATCAAGACACGACGACCACTGACATTACGGGTCGTGGTTTTTTTATTATTGAGTCCTCTGATACTGATAGCTGCTTTTTGTTTTTAGCTACATCAACTCAAACACTAGCTGAATATCACTACAACAGGTCATGGCTTCTCGTTGTGCCGGGTCAGCAATTCGATAATGAATTATATATATATGTTGCTACGAGTAGATTCACATCATCGTGTTGGTCCGAGTGCTGGGAGTTGGAGTAGATGAAAATTCATTTCTTCGTAATACAAAATTGATTCTCTAACATTCTTGGTTCCGAAGCGACACCCGAACAGGGGCGATCGCAAAATGCAGCTGCGGTCGTGGCAGCTGCGGCTGCCGCAGCCAAAGATGCTCTCTCCAGCGGTAGAGCGAGCACCAGCGGAAGTACTAGCGCGATATCCACCTCGTCGAGCGCAACTACGACCTCGTCTGCTGGTGGGAAAATCCAGCACAGCACGGGGGCCGTGATGAAGGCGCACTCAGCTGCGATGGCAGCGCACAACATTCATGGAGCAGCTTCGAAGTATAGCCAGAATCACCCGGGGCTGTTGAATATGAAGATTATGGCTCTTCGACTATTAGCAGAAAGAAAGAGAAATTCACAAGAGGATGGACTACATCCACAGCTACAAAAGTTGTAGGTAGTGGAAGTAGTTACTTGCACTTGTTTGATATGGGTCTGCCAGTTCTCAAACATTTCATGTACTACTAATGCTCATATTAAGATGATCCTTCGTTAGAATCAATGCTCAAAATGATTGTCCTTACTCACTTGCTTCCCAAGTGTCTAAGAATGAAGAGCAGCAGCAAATGCAGACCCAGACGCCGCGCTTTTCCAATGCTGCGACCGCTGGAGGTCAGGGAAAAGGATCCATCGTGAGCAGCAGCACAGAACCGCCCGCGGGTATGAACAGACACCTGACCAATAAGGCAGCAGCGCTCAAAATCAACGGAACTGTGGTTCAGCGCGGCACGCGCTTTTACGACGTCTACGGATGGGTTCGGATGTTTAACCCGAATAAAGGATGGGGCTTTATTCTGTGCAACGAATTTCCTGGTGATGTTTTCCTGCACACGAAGCACGTAAAGGGAGATTGCCCGCTTGAGTATATTTTAATATCTATCAACGATAGCGTCCTCGTGGATGCATTTTTCTAGTAGACTTTATTAGGTATTGTTGGTAGAAGTAGATGAGTTGTTGATACTAGTATTTTTTGTTAGTCTTTCTTTTCTCGTCGGACACGGAACAGCAAGATGAAGCTACGACAATCAAAACTAACATGTTCAGCTACATCGGTCATTTTAACCATGCGACGAGTGCTGGTGCGCGGCTCTCGGTGTGCTTCGACTTGGATTTCTCCAACGATGTTAGCAAGCCTCAAGCCCTGAATGTCCGGCTGTGCAGCGAGAATAAGATCATGAAGTATGGCCACCATAATTCCTTGTCGTCATACTACAATTCCACGAAAGGGGGAAGCGGAGGCTACTACAGTTCCAATTCCAAAGGTTCCTCGGGACAACATTACTCGAAAGAGGGCGCAACGGGAGACAACTGGAGCACCGGTTTTTCTACTATAGTTTTTAATGCAGTTCACTCACATACTCTACCCATTGGCATTGGAGAACGTCATTTTCATAAAGAAATTTTTACCAATAAATGTTTCAAAGGTCTGTTGGTACTTCTTATTTCATCAACAATTATGACCGTCTGGAAGAACCACTGTTGATTTGACTGATCGTCTTCTATTATCAATGCAGGGCACCCCACTCCCGGTCCCAGCGCGCCCGTGAGATCTACTGGCTACCCACAGCGCTACAGTAATATGGATGCGCATTCTGGGTCTGCACAACAAATGCAAAAGGCGGGGTCCGTCAAGGGTAAGGGGAAAGGGTCGCCTGAGCCCGATGTTCGATCGCGTTGGAGTGCCTTTACGCCAGCAAAGACAGAGTATTAAATTTTTGCACCTGATAAATTGGAGGCAATATTATGTTTCTCCGCATGGGCGTTTTTTCGAGTCAGGATATTCTTCAATAACCGCTTTCAAAAGTAGTTCTTCTGCTCGAACGCGTGAGGCGTACTGGCGTTAACAAAAATCTTTACTGAAAAACTCAGAGTTGCGTCGGCTTCCGCAGCAGCAGCTACGCCAGGCCCCACAGCGAGTGCAGCGGTGGCAACGCCCGAAATTTACCATGCTGGTGCAGCTTCACCTGCATTGATGCCGTGGATGGAGGGGGCGGAGTGGGATCCTTGGGCATACGAACTTGCCACCTCTGCCGATCCCCTTTTGGTATACATCGAAGTATCTGATCGCTCTTAGTTTACCCCGCAGTTTCAGTTTGTCGATCACTTCTCTCCTACGTACTTGCTATAGTTTTTGTCATAGCAGGTTTTTTTATCGATTTGTCTGAACAACCCTCAATGAATACAGAACCCGTACGCCGATCTCACTGGACTTACAGCACATGCTCATGCGCATCCGGAAGGCTTATTACCCTTCGATCCGTCGCTTGCCGTTGCCGCTGCTTATCCGGATCAGGTTCTATTGCATTTACATTTAGATTTTAGAAGCGTAATGCTTTCCTTCAGAAGAAAAATTCTACAAAAAGTATTATATTGTAAGTCGCGTTGTCACCGATGTACTTAGCATGAATTCAGCACGACAAAAATTTCAAAATCTTTCGTTATGAAGACTGCTAACTAGAAGAAGTTGAACTCAATCATGAATGCGAAACCATGAACACTTACATTTATATATGATCCAGGGCTTGGGGCTGCCGGGGGTGGAAGGCCTCAAAAGGGGGCCAAGTGGGCGCCTTCGCTCCCTTCCAGGTGCTTGGCTCTCCCTGGAGGCCTCCAACGTAAGGAGGTGGCAGGCCTCTGAAGGCTGCAAAAGCCGAGGGGCTGGCCCCCTTGAGCCGTGCAGCTTGTTCCCTCCGGGCCCTTGGGCATTGGCTTGCTTGCTCTTGCGACCGTGGCCGCCCTCGGCGGCCTTTTACCCCGGAGACCTCCCGCCTGCGAGGGTCAGCAAAGGCCAGGAGGATCCGGCTGAGAGGCTCAAGGACCCGCGCCAAGTTTGGACGCCTTCCGCCACTAGATTCCGCGCCGAAATGCGCGCGGAAAAGCGCGCGCGCGCCACCACAGACCAGACCACAGGGGAGGGGGGGCGCCGTCCCGCCCTAAATCATATAAGAGGAAATGACTTTTTTACCGCACAAAGAAACGGAAACTCAGATCTCGATTTTGGATCCTTCGGCTGTCAACCCTGCGGTGCTGGCAGCAAACGCTTCCGTGTTGCCCACGACAGCTACTATGAACTTCAGCATTATAGAAGATTTATAGGTAGAAGTCCTATTAGACTCGTGATTCTTGATTTGACTTTTTTGTCCCGCCATTAGGCTAGTAGTACTAAATGGGAAAGTTTCCCATTTAGTACTACTCCTACCGTGAGGATGATACAGAGATGCCGCGCGTACTAAAAATGGTAACATATTACTTATTACACGAATTATCGTGAGTTTATATGTCGAGCTCTAACTTGGCTGGTATTCCCTTAGCCACTGCGGGAGGAGCCGTCGTCAGCGCTAGCGGTCTGCCGCTGACTGTACAGGCGGGTCATCAAAGTTATCATCTTGCTGCAGCGACAGCGGCTGCGGCTAATACTCATCACATCTTCGCGGCGAACGCTGCTGCGGCCAATGCAGCAGCTGCGAATGCGGCGGCTGCAAACGCTGCGCTCTACAGTCCGTTGCTTAATCGAGCGAATCTTGTGGCTCAGCGGGCAGGTATTCAAGAAGGACACCTAGTAAGTTCAAGAATATAAAATTTGTGTCCTGATTAGAAGTTGTGGCTCAAATGCCGCTACTGACATCTTAAGAAACCGACCTGCATCGTACTGACACATTGATAACCCGAGACTCTGGTCTGCTTATCGCATTTGGATCTCACTCGCAGCCGCAGCTAATCGGCAACTGGCACGCGGTGGGACGAAATACAGCCCCGGGGTCGGGCAAAAATACACTCCTCTGGGAGGAGCTGCGGGAGGTGCACCGGGATATCTACTCTCGGCTCCGCATGCCCATCTGGATGTCACGAATACGCAGCACCTTGGCCCCATGATTGCTGGCGTCGGGCAGCCGAGTATGGCAACATTGGTTATGACGTCTAAAAATGCTGAAGGTGTGAAAGTTTCAATTTGCTTCCATACGTTAGTAAGTACTAGTAGAAGTGAAGCTTGTCCTTGATCATGATACCCGCTGATGCGCACCTGCGATTAACTGCAATATGGGATGGTCGAGGTCGACGACGTTTTCCATGCATTTCTAAGTTTTTTCCTGCCGCAGGCACAGGTATTGTTCCGGGATCCCTTTTGGTTGGCACTATGGACCCCACACTCCTTGCTGCACCAGTAGACGCTGGGGCAGACAGCCTTGTTTATGGCGCACCGGAGAATCACCTTGCAGCGCCGCATGTCATGTGGTAGCCGCTCTCTACGAGAAGCGGGTGCTGTGGTGCAGTATCGACAACAACCTGAAGTTGCGGGGGATTATGGAAAGTAAAAAAAGGTAGACATGAAATGATGATGGCTTCGGGCGGTGATTCGTTCTTGTCCACCTCGTCTGAGCTGGCACGAAGTTGTCATTGATGTCTTTACATTTAATTAGGGTTGTGGTTGTGGAAATTGTCAGGAGCTGGTTGTAGACGAGTCCCGCCACTAGGCTTGGAGTACTAAATGGGACACCATGATAATGAAGAGTCCAGAGATGAGAGCCCGTGTAGCGGCTGAAGAAAGCAGATGCGTCTTCCCTTGCGCGACTTTTGCCTCAGACTCAAAAGTTACAACTCAGCTTCTTGACTAGTGAGTAGCTGCTTCAATTTTAGTGGGCGAGGAGGACATTTTTTGCCCGTGACAAAATCCTTGCAATTATAGCGTTTAGTAAGGAAGGGTTACGTTATATTCGTTTTGCTACAATGGAAGTAACTATAATGAGAATTATAGAATTACAATTACATTAATAACGTTAACGATGGATATTGACGATACCCTGTAGTTGAGCTGGTCCATATTAATTATTTATCATGATGATTTCGACTTCAATGGCCTAGGTTACAGGTGACGAGGTTCATCGTGTCGTAGTGGCAGCAATTGGTGAACACTCGTACGCAAGAGCTCTCTCCAAATAGATGAGAATATATAGTATCAAGATTGCACATTTTTAACCATGTATGTTTCACGTGGCATTCTGAACATTCTAGTGAGTAGAGTACTAGAACTTATTTTGTACGTATATCGAGCTCGTCATACCTCAGTTGATACTGTCATACTAGGGAAGTAGTCCCAACCTGGGACGTCAAACTCCTTTTTGTACTCAAGTGCGTCGAACAGTGTGATGTCTAGAAAAAAGTGTCTGGTCGTTGTCCTTGTCGTGGATATTCCAGGCGTCCGCAAATTTTTGTTGCTACGCTAACTATTTCGCTTTCAAGACTAACATCAATTTATTTCGTTGCTCACCTTGTTCATTATCTTATCGTAATGGGTTTTCATGCGTGGCATCCCTGACGGTCTGTGAAAAAATATACAATCAATATTTTAGAGCGAACAACAAGAACAGCATCCAAGAAGGAAGTCATGTGTTGTATCCGGACATAGTCACAGTGTCATTGTCATCATGTTTCTAGTAATTTTTCCTTTGAACAACATAAAATTCAAATCGTTTCTGATGTCGAGAATATAGCAAAAAGTCATAAGTCGCCGTAGTCGTGTTTTATGTATTTCTGCTAAGTTCGTGTTGTATAAGTTTTCGTTGTAGTGTTTATTGATTGTGCAATAGATTTTCTCTTGCCCCCCGTCTATCTTGGTGTCCGTTCTTCTCGATGATGTGTTTGTAGTAGGTTTCATTTTGCTTCGGTTTTTGTGGTAAGAACTCGTGGGGGGAAATTGGAAAGCGTCAATTATATATAATTCTTAGGCAGGAGGTGTACTTGAGAAATCTACGAGTGACAGCTTTTTTTACGTTTACAGTGAGGACATTTCCTCGTCATGTATCAACATTTGATCATCGACTCATAAGTCATGTCCTTGGTTCGCACGTCGCTGGTCCAATGAGGCTTAGCAAGGATTGTCGTGCAGTTTATCATGACATTCTAGTTATTTCATAACTCATCCAAGACCAAGAACCATTATAAAGATTTCTTGATATTACAACATAGTTAGCTAAGCTCCGATGAGACGAGGGGCGGTTGTGGAATACAGAATAGACGAGAAATCCTTGGGAATATTGAAGTAACATCATCGATCGCATGAGCTGTTCGCGACGAAGCAAGAAGCGACGCAAGATTAGTGGCTTGGCTTTACTGCAGATGGATCGATCAAGAGCGTCCTTCGGGGAGCGGGGGAGATGCATTGACTGATTCTCATCTGCTGCGAATCAACAAAACCCCAAAAGATCCTTTTCAACGACTGTGAGGATGTACTATGTATCATTCCTATTTACTTCTTCAGCACTCACTTCACGTGCCCGTCCGCGTGATTGTCTACTTAGGTTATTTGAACGCTGCGAGCATGAAGATCATCTGCGCTCGAAAACAGGCGCGACGACGCTTCTACTGCCGAGCGATTTGTGAAGAGAGGGGGAAAGCAAAAGATGTGGCTGTGCCTCGTCTTCGTATCGGTAAGCATCCAGAGACGGTGGAGGACGGAGAACAAAGTCGTGCAGTCTGAGATGATAGAAAAAAGATCTGATGTCTGAATCTAAGATCTTACTTTTTTTCTTTGCTACCTAGTGTGCTAGGCTACCAGGAGGAGGTTTAGGCATACGCTTACCTACTTCATGGGAAAATGCTACGGTTGTCGTACAACTATCATTTAGTTTATTCCCTCTGTAATTTTTGTATTTTCATAACGTGAGAAGTCTTCTTTGACGGCACGCCCGTCGTGACGGGACCATTACTACATTCAACAATGCTGATCGTGATCCCATCGCGCCGTTCGTGTCGAAAGCACCACGAGGGCAGCAATAACAATATGGCCTGGTACGGATCCTTGCTAACGACCCGCACGGGAAGCCTGCTAGGGAAAGTGACTACTTGGTTCCTCGTCGCTTGTGGCCTGCTACTCTTTTTCGTGATTCCAGGAGTGCACGCTGCGAACTTTCTACTTTACGATTGGCATCCTGTTTTCCAAACTGGGTTGTCCTTGGTTCAAATCTTGATGGAGAAGCGACGAAGAAGTAAGATGGCTAAAACCTCTACTAGTGCAATGAAGACCAAGACGTCGTCCACGTCTTCACAAAGACAAATACAACGTGCGACTGCTGTACAGGGGTCTTCCAGTACTAGTAAGTTCAGAAAAGGCTCCTGGCTCGAAGATGACGACCGCTTGATTCTTTTGGTCGAAGATATCTACAACAGGCGTGGACAAATGAAGAAACGCTCTTTCAGTCAAGCTTTGGACCCGTGCATGCGAACGCATGGAAAACCGTACCTGTTGACACTAAAACAAGGTGGTTTGTTGCCCGACAAGAAAATAAATGTCGACACTTTCAATGCCTTCTACGACGGTCGAGTGATGCTGAAGCGGGCCGCTCGTGCAATCACGAAAGAGGTGGCTAGATTGCGCGGTCTGAAGACGTCTGGAGGTTCGGGGAATGGTGCCGATTCTCCTGGCCCTGGTGGAGGTGAGAGTACTAATACCGCTGACAACGCAATTGCGGAGAACAACGATGTTGAGGAAGAGCCTACTGGATATTTGATCTACGAAAACATTGTTCTCGAACGGGTGGAGCCACACGGATACTATTGTCCGATTGTAATGCCTGACCCTGTCACGTACCGAACACGCTTTTTCGACCTAACAGAACAGTTTCGGTTTGGGACTGATACCTGTGGTGTGAACAAAAAATTCCGAACAGTCTTGACGCTCACTGGCTACCATGACGAGATAGTGGATGAAAAATCCACTTCTGCGGCCGACGTTGCTGACGCGCATCAGCCACGCATCATGGAGGACGGAAAAAGAGAGGCTACAACTGAGCAGACTGAAGGTCCTGTTAAGCGTGCTAGAGGTGAGGATTTCAAGAAAACCTCTTCGAAAGAAGACGTCGACAAAAGGAGTATCCGCACCCTCTCATTTGAGAGACAACAGCAACTCTTCCGACAGGGGGAAGACGTGGAGATCGTATTAGATAAGCGTCAGTTAGGGCTTCCTGGAAGTCGTCCTAGAAGGCATCTTTCTTTGGCATGTTTTCAACGGGAAAAAGGTCAAGAATGCAGCACTTTACGACGAATATAGAGAAGGTCTAAGTCAGGGTATGGTCATCTCCTTGGTTCCGACGAAACCGGGATATCAGGAACGGATTGCGAGACATCACAATCGCCTCAAAGCGAAAGAATTGGGTCTTCCACCAGAGTATGGCAGGGGAGACTGTTTAATAGCAAGCAGTTCGAAAAATGAAAATCTACTTCTTCACAGGACGTTACGTGAGATGTGCAACATGTAGAAGACGGGCGAATCAAGTCGCTATCGCAAGCAGGTAATTAGATTTTCGCAAGGAGGCTCGCTTCGTGCACAACATGCAGGAAAGGCTCATAAAATATATAGATGTTCCAGGGGCCAGGGGCCAAGGCCCCCCCAATCTACTTAACTTTTTGAGGGGGGAGCCTCCAGCCCCGGACCCTTTTTCCCGAGGGACTGCTGGGCGGGAAGGCCTCCAGACGCCCACCGTCGAGCCCTCGCGGCTTCTTGCATGTACCCGACAGAACCCAAGCCCCTGGGGCCGTTCAAGCACCGACGGCCGGGGGTGGAAGGCTTCCGAAGGCGGCAAAGGTGGCAAGGCTTGACCCCCTTGCCGTGTTGCGTGTACCCTACTACAGGCCTCCCGCGTGCGGGCTCCTCACTGACGGAGCTCCTTGGGGGGTGGAGGGACTCCGGGGGCAGCAGGTGGCAAGGCTTGACCCCCTTGCCGTGTTGCGTGTACCCTACAGACCTCCTGCGTGCGGGCTCCTCACTCGAGGAGTTTGGCCCCTGCTGCCTCCCAGGAGGGCCAAAGGTGCCAGGCCTCGCGACCGTGGCCGCCTTCGGCGGCCTTCTTCCCCAAGAGGCGGCACGCCTGTGGGGTACACGCCGAGAGCCGCCAGGGGCCTCCGGCTCCGCCTTTTGAGGCCTTCCCCCCCGTCAGTCCTTACATGTCACCACGGCGAAAAAAGGGCGCGCGGACGCCACCGCCGCTCCATCCGCAGGGGGGGGGCTCCACCCCTGGAGCATATATTTGTCTACCGACAAGAACAAAGTCTATATCTATTGACAAATTCCTTCGCGGCTTTTTCTTCATTTTTCCGTCCTCATGTTGAGCAGATTCCGGAAGGGGACTCCACCTATTTGCAGAGCCTCTTGCCGAAGGGGTTGTCTTCGGAAAACGTGATATTCGACCAACAAAATGAACAGGAACTGAGTATGGCGACACTAGAGGAGATGTCTGATCTCCCGCTAACTTTGCGGATACCGCAATTGGGAAGGAACCTTTTAGCGGACTACACCCCGGACTTCGATTTGCGGGACGAAGGGCGGCAATGTGTTAAGCTAGGGACGTCGTGGGGATGATCTTAACGTTAGCATGGGGGGTTGGGACTCACGGTCATGGGGGTGACGAGGTGTGACAGTGAGAGTGACTGCTGCAGCTTCTGTACTAAAGTAACTGGACGAGGAGACTTTTTCGTAGGACCTCGACCTCCAGTGGGCTCTTCTCTTCTAATTTGAACGCAGTTCGCGGATTTTTTCGCGGATCAAGACGTCTGCATGAGTTGGGGCGGCAAGCGCACACCGACAATTTGCGCACAAAACTTGCCACGGAAGATATACCACGTGCCCTGCCTGACGTTCGCGTTTATCAAGTCTCATGAAGAGTTCAAGCTTTTCCAGCACGATCTTGCGCAGATTCGTACTTCAGTAGCACCTAGCTACATGGACATGGCCTTCATGGACTATGTTGCTGGCGTGCAGAATTTTGTGCACGAACCGCAGATTTGGTTCACGCAGAAGTACATGATGGAAGATCCCTTCGTTCGCGCTGGGCTACGGGGAATGCACAACGACGATGTGTGGGATCCGACTGCTCAACAAGAACGGCATCATGGGATAACAAATGACAGTTCATCGTCTTCGAAATCCACCGACACATCAAGTATATCAGCTACAACTACAGACACTAAGAGGACGACCATCAAGAAGGAAAAGCTGCCGTTGAAACGCAATAACTATTTCTTGATTGGCGGACGGAAAATGCCTGGGAGCCATGGCGGAGCAACGGGTGACGAAGCCGTGCTCACGTTTTATATGCAAGCTGCAGGCAGGATGATAATCGACTTACAACGGCGTTTTCGAAGTTTCTACAAGAGCAACTTTGCGCTTCAAAAACGGAAAAGGGATGCTGCTGGAAGAGGAGGAAGCACAGCGACAGCTACCAGAGATGAAGCAAAAACGGGAGGAGCTGCTTCTTCGTCAGTTGCCAGAGATGAAGCAAAGACGGCAGAACAAGTTGCTTCATCTTCATCAGTGGTGGAGGCAACCACAACTCCTTCTGGTGAGACTGCCACCATCGGAGCCTCAAGAGGGTCATCCATCCAGTCTCTTAATAGCGGGTCTGAGGCCAAGGAAGCTGGCGAGAAGAGCCCTGCAATGAAACCTTTTGTTGATGACCCTTGTTTCTGGCCTCGTTACGCGTTTCGGCAAGGAGCAGAGCTATTTGGGTGTCAGATACGAGTTTCTGAGGTACTCCGTGACTTCCAGCATGACAAGAGACTTACGGCGATCGACGACTTTCTCTGTAAGCATAGCTGCGGAAGAACCGGACTAGATGCCCAGCATGGTTTTGCGGATTACGCGGAATGGTATGGCTGGCTAATTTGTGTCTCTCGTGTTTAACATCATAACGCAATTTTTGCGCCTCTCTACTAGAAGCGAGAATTAAGTAGAAGTACAGCTACCGAAGGCGAAGGAAAAGTTAGGCACAAATTGAAGATACTCATGCAAATTAGATGAAGATGAATGACCAAGAATTTCTAACAGGCGACAGTCGCAAGTCGTCAAAGTGCGCTTACAGGTCCTAGTACCGGACCGATTGAGGGTCCCAAGGATATGGGGCGGGCTGCGCAGGGCGTCTGTGTGACGTTTGGCCACCTTTTGTGTCGCGAATATCGTCTAGAAGATGAGACAGACGGAACAGGAGGAACTCTCGTTCGGTTGCCACGGAGGTTTCAAGGCAGGAGTAGTGCAACTAGCAAAGAAGAGCAGGAAGCACATCTGGCGAGAAAACAAGGCAAGAACGAAGACGACCTCGACTTGGATCAGCTGCTGGAAATTCAAGGGTTCGAGCGTACTAGTACTAATCCGGATCGGCATGATGCAAAACCAAAACAAGCATCCTACGACCTAGAAGCCGCGGAACACTGGTTGGACTCTACACAAATGCCCAATGAGTGGGCTGCGCGGGACACAGAGAAATCCTTTCTGGACAAAGCCGCATCGAACGCGCTGTCACAGAAAAGCAAGCGACACCGAGCGGTGTACTATGAGAATGGTTTGCGAGCAACAGGACGAGATACCACGACGGGGATGGGCGCGACAACCTCAGCGGAGAATGGGAATGTTGCATCAGGTGAAGAGACGCCATCAAGTGTGTATCAGCAAGCAGGCCGAGAAGTTGTAGTAGACCAGAACCCGCAGAAAAAGCTTGATGTGTCGAACCCAGAAGGTTTTGTCTCGCACTGGCCCGTTGTGGTAGAGAGCTTTCCGAGACATTTTGCCGGTCAGCATTTCTCTTTCGAGCAGATTCTGCACAATGTGAAAGGTATGGTCTGCTTTCCTTACTCCAGTTCTGCCCTGTTCTGGGCCGAAATGCATGCTCTAGGGATTCCGCTGTTCATTCCGTCGATCGAACTGCTTTGGCAGTATCATCTAGAAGCGCAAGCCATCGACCGATTCCGGCACGTTCTCGGCGAAAAAAAGTTTATGGGCACGCCCCTGGACGTGAATCGAATCCGGACGTCTCTGGGACTGCCGGGTGACCTGAACCTCGCAGAAAATCTACACGGAACCCATGAAGGCTACAACTTCGCGGATTTGGAAAGAGCATTTCCAAACTTAGAAGACGAGGGGAATGACACCACAGCAGCACAAGTTGAGCGAGAAGCCAAGACGGTGCCGGATGATAGTCGATCAGAAAACACCAAAGATGGTTCTCTTCTTCGTTTAGATTATGCTTTGTGGGGACGTGCAGGCTTTTCAGGTAATTCGTGAAAAGAAAAGGCACGGAATAGAACACGATGTGTGAAAATATACTAAAAGAGTTGATCTTGTAATAGTAATTACGAAATCGAAAAGCAGGAAGGTCTTGGTCTAAAGCATCTTCGCAATAACACTCAAAAGATTTTAGAAATTTTGCTCTCATGAGCATCCTAACTCACCAGGTCATGCGAGATATCCTTTTGTCCGCACGCTTATTGCAAACGAAGTTCTAGCGACCATGCATCCAGCCGGCAACACTACTGTCGGTTTCGACCGCCGCGTCCCAGAAGGTCGCATTCTTGGTCTCGCTCCGGATGAGCATCCGCGTTCGCACGCAAATTGCACGCGGTTTTGCCCTGAAGAAGCAGACATGGCGCCGTGGCGTATGTTCGAATCGAAGCGAGCGTTCTTCTATTGGATGGGTAAAGCGGATGTGTACCATTGGGGCTCGCACGTGCGGGTCTTCCACAACGTTTCGCACCTCTTTTCGATGGTTCGCGACCACGAATTCCTCGACGCGGTGCGACGCGTGCAGTTGCGCCGGAGCAAGCGGATGGCGGCGCGCGGCATTCAAGTTTTTGAAACAGCGATCGAAGAAATACTCGAGGAGTGAGATGATCATGCATGTTGAATCTACATGCACGATTTTGTAACTTGGGAACTTTGCTAGTGACGAAAGAGCTCCTCTTCTGCTGCTCAGAAGGACACCAACATTCGTGAATTATCCATAGTTATCGATCCTGCTCGCTTACGATTTGCAACCTGTCTTGCTGAAGCGTGCGACGTGTTGTGTCTGAGAGCTAGGTCGCTACCGGTCTGGTGAAAAAGTGCGAAAAAAAATTTAGAGTTTCCTCTCATCTGCAAATTTATATTAGATAGAATATGTCCCAGGGCGCGGGGCGACGGCCCACCCCTAGCGGGTGGGGCCGGGCGCCCTGTACCCCTTTTCCAGGCGTCTGGCGGGGGGGAATGCCTCAAAAGGGGGCCCAGTGACCTCCCCCCTCCGCTCCCTTCCAGCTGCCTGACTGTTCCCTAGGGGCCTCCGATGGTGGTGGGAGGCTTCAGAAGGGGCCCAAGGGACCGCCTGCGCCCCCGTCCAGGTGCCTGCTTGTGCCCTAAGTGCATCCATTAGGCTTCGCCGCCGCAGCCGTGCCGCCTGTACCCTCCGGGCCCTTGGTCATCGGCTTGCTTGCTCTTGCGACCGTGGCCGCCTTCGGCGGCTCTTTACCCCGGAGACCTCCCGCCTGCGAGGGTCAGCAGAGGCCAGGAGAATCCTCAGGAATACGCTGAGAGGCCCAAGGGGAGGCCCGCGCCAAGTTTTGACGCCTTCCACCACTAGAGTCACCACTAGAATCCGCGAAAAATCCGCGCGGAAAAGCGCGCGGAAAAGCGCGCGCGCGCGCCACCACAGACCAAACCACAGGGGGGGGGAGGGGGGGGCCCTCCCGCCCTGATATAACTTTGACATTGACATCTGACCTAGTAGACCTTAAGGCAACCAGCGAAACCGAAAGTCGGCCTGATCTGATCTTATCGTCTAAACCATCCTGGACTTGATCAACAATCAAAACCAAAATGAGTTACGAACAGGGCGGGGTGGTTAAGCCCGCGGCTTTCGATGGTCAAAAATACACTCTCGGATTCGCTGGCGTCGGTACACTGAACTCGGCGTTGGTCGCAGGTTTTTGCAAGGCGTACAGTAGCGGTTCACCACTAGTAGGTGAAAATCGATCCAGCACAAGTACAACCACAAGTACAAGATGTAATGTCAAGTTTCCTTTGTATCTTTCGCCACGCGGACGCCAGCATGTTGGGTCATTGGCTAAGGAGTTTGGACCCACGTGCATCGCGGCATGTGCTTCTACCCAAGAAGTTTTTGATGCTTGTGATGTTTTCTTGGTGGGTGTCCGACCGCCTCAAATAAGCGACTTGCTCAAGGATTTGGACTTCGCTGGGAAAATACACCGGCAGAAGAGAACTATTCTCGTAAATTTGCTGTCGACCGTTAAAAATTATCAGTTGAAAGAGCACATAGTGGAGCGAATTAGAGTAGCACCGAAGAACGAGGAGGAGGATCCGCAAGCTCGTCTCGAGAAGCACATAGAAATCGTGAAAGCAGTACCGCTACCTCCAGCACGGCACTTGCGTGGGTGTACCGTAGTAGCAGTCGGAAGTAAAGACTCATGTACGGCAGCTGAAAGCCTTGTTGTGGGATTGTTTGAATCTGTAGGGCATGTCACGACCTGCGTAGAGACTGAGTTGCCAGTGTTTCAAGCCATTACTGGGATGATGGGGCCGTTCTATCAGCAACTCCATTGGCTAGAGTCTTTCATGGCCGATGTAGGAGGGGTCGAGCGTCGGGAGGCAACGAGATATTTGACGGCGTTTTTTCGGAGCATTCTCACAGACATCGATGTTGGAGACAAAGATGCGAACGATCATGACAAGGAGAAGGCAATAAAAACCGGAAGAGGGGTATGAGAGCAGTATTTTCACTTAAGTGATGACTCTCTAGAATTTGAAGAAGTCTGCGGACCACTTCAGCTAGAGTAAGGTGATTTGGAGGTGGTTGCCGTGGCAGCGGCGCCACCTCACAATAGAGGGGAGGCTGGCGGACTTTGTTCCAACGGCTCTGCACCACGCTCACCGCCTGAGCCTCTCCCAGATAGCAAGCGCGATGCCAGTGACCCGTAGCGAGCAGAGACAGCAAGAGCATGGACATTTTGGGGAGGCCGTTCCATCTTTGCTACCTTGGCGATGTCGACTGGTGTTGGGTTTGGGTTTTGCGTGGAGGTGGCTGCCTGGTGCTGACATCCCGAAATGCCGCCGAGAGTTACAGGCTATTGGAAGGCCCGCAGAAATCCGGCAGGCCGTCAAGGGCACCGCCATCGCCACTGTCAACCCCCTTGTCATCAACGTGCTGCCGGGCTGTGGCGCGTTTCGGTGGGTTGTCTCTGTCATCCAGGTGGGCAGCTATGTCCGGCTGCCAGCGCCTCGTGTCTTTGTGTCTTACACGGACCACCATCAAGACGCACGCATGGCGTCAGGCTTGCACAGGTTGACCAAGGCCACGCCTCAGCGCATGCCAGCCCCAGGCGTGCGTGCGTGCGTCCGGCGCTCCTTGTCAGGCTATGGGGCTGCAGGAGGCAGCTTGGCTTTTTTGTGGGACTCGGGTCGCTTCAAAGTAGAAGCCCGAGGAAGGTCGGCTTTCGTCTTCGTGGCCGGGGGCCTTCGTCGGGTGGACCAATCTACTTCGCAGCCGCAACATCGCCGCCGAGGCTTCCTCTATTGCGAGGTGGCGCTGCTGCCACGACAACCACCTCGAACCGTCCTCACTTTAGCTAAAGTGGTCCACAGACATCTTCAAATTCTAGAGAGTCATCACTGAAGTGAAAGCTCTGCTCTCATAAGGGGACGACCACGATGCTGCTTCGACATCAGCAGGAACTTCGTCACTGATGGCTCTCACAGCTTCTCAAACAAAGGGTGGCATAAACGAACAGGCAATGAAGCTTTTGCGGGAAAAGTACAATCATAGAGAAGGTGTCGACGCGACAATGCAAGTGCTTCTGGAGAGACTGCATGCGGCGTAAAGTGACCGCCGCGCGGCCATTCACGTGTAGTGAAGATGAGAAAGAATAACGTACCCCATTGTGAGGTAGGGGGTGTTGTGTTAACATCATGCCTGATTGGGTATACACCTTCGGGGCAAGACTACAAGGCTAGCACGGGTCTTAGTCAGTACAGACCATCTCCATAAGCGAGTGCCAATCCGAGGCTGCTCGGGGTCCAACTAGCACATGACTGCTCCTCTCAGTAGATCTCACTCTCGCCTTGTCACTGTGAAGTTCATACTCACGGTTATCTTATTTTATTGAGTTCCTTTCGAGGTCCTTGCGAAGTTCTGTCTATCTGGTCGTGTGTGTCTGTTTGGTCTGCTATGAGAACCGTTTTTCGTGGTCTGGAAGGCACAAGGTGTTGGTATGCTCTAGGAAGGCCATCTCATTTAAGTCTAGCTGAACTAGTTGTAGTACCAGGATCACGCCCCAGGAAAACTTTGATTAGGATTAGCCTGCGTGGAGGAAGATAACTACATTTTTCTAAGTTAGAATGAAGGATCACTTTGACTATCGAAGCGACTAAAAGCAAGAAATACGTAGATTTGTTGTTCGGGTTTAATTTGAGTATACCAACTTTCGTAGCGTCACACTTTTCCTGAACAAGAAAAGATCTCGGAAAAATCAGCAAAATGTTGGCTGTCATTTCCTCGTTCTCTCTTGGTTGGAAGCGGCACATCCACCGATGCACGCTGCACGAGGCGCGAAGCTTTTCTGGGGCAGCGGGTGTGGGTGCCTTTCGCCGCAAAACGTCCGTTGCACCAGGAGTTTCCGCCGATGAGGCTTGGGCTGCCACAAAGGATATTCATGGTCAAAAGCCGAAAGACGCGTTTTCTGCTTGCACTACTGCTCAACACGAATCCACGAAAAATAAGAAGGTGGTGGACATTATGTCAGTTCCTGGTGGTGCTTTGCCGAAGCTGCTGAATATGGAGGTCGTGAACAACGCTCCAGACTGCGGTCGCGGAGCCGAACAAGAAGGCGACTCTCACGTCAGGCACATGGTTCAAGAGCTACGTGTGGGTTTCGTCGGATTGGGCAAGATCGGTGCAGCCATGGCCCGGAACATGAACAAGGCTGGCGTGAAATCTCTATGCGGCTACGATCCAGGTCTGCCGGCCGAGTCCGATCTTCACTCTAAAATTGCCGTTTTCGATCAACCTGGAGAAGCGCTGTCTCGCGTATTCAGCGAGTCTGAAGTGATCATTTCTGCCCTGCCCAACGATGCCGCGGTGGAGAAAGCTTTCCTCAAATCTCCTGATCATGGCAAAGAAGGATCCTTGATTTCTCAGCTTCCACGTAATTCTGTTCATATTTCAGTGTCCACGATCAGTCCAGCACTCGCGGCGCGCCTCGCGGCTGCGCATGCAGAGTTCGGATCTTTCTTTATATCCGCACCAGTTTTCGCACGCCCCGATGGACTTGCCAAGAGGGAGGCTTTCTTCCCGATGGCTGGCCAGGCGGACCTCATTCAAAAAGTGGCTAAGCTTATGCAGAGAGATGATGAACGTTGGAATAACATGTCCGATTTTTTACTTAATTCCCTTTTTTTCGTCTTCTAGCGCCTGCCTAGAAATTCAAGTTCTAACTTTCTTCTTCTAATCCTTCACTCCTCGAGCAAACAACTGCGATGCGTGTCGAGTACTTCGGGCCCAAGGCTGAACAAGCTAATGTCGTAAAGTTGTGTGGAAATTTCCTGATTTGCTCAGCGATTGGCGCTATGACTGAGGCCTACAACTTGGGTGAGTCGTACGATTTGCGTCGCGAGCAACTCCACAACCTCTTCTCTAGCACAATTTTCGATTGTCTCATCTACAATTATGGCTCCGCACAGGAAAAGATGAATGAGGATGACCTGGTGTTGAAGTGTATGTGTAAGTAAGTACTTACGAATGTAACAAAGTGGTATAATGTTGTGGAGTTTTTAGTCGTGGAATTCGAAGCGAAGTACTCTTGATGTTTCAGTATCAGCTGAGAACCACAACTATTTTGCTTATTTTGTCCCTTGTTCTAATGCAAAGGCTACGGCCACCGTGTGAGTGCGCACGACCACTTCCCGTATCCTGATGCGCACTTCGCTCTGGAACTGGGCCATAAGGATATGCTGTTGGCCAAACAAGCCGCTGAAGGGCGAAAGATCCGCAGAAAGCAATGGCCTCTCGTAGATGAAAATGCCTCGCCCTCGCCAACTGCTCTTAAGGGTCTTCATCTCAGAAGTCCGTCTTGCCGAACATCTTGTTGTTCCCAATTATGTTTAAGGGAAAATGGGGATTATTTAAGATGTTCATCAGGATGGATCTCGCCGAGATCGGGAACTGGATCTAATATTTTTGGTAGCCAACAAGCGGAACAGACTGACTTGGAAATGCCGTTCCTAGATGCTCTGGACAAGAAGTTCCAAAAAGCCAAAGCCCAAGGCGCTCTCAAGCAGCTGGACTGGAGCGCTATTGCGCTAGTATAAACATGTTGAGTACGACGATGATGAGATCCTGCTGCTTGTACGGTGATCACGAACGGTCGCAACCGAGGCATGTAGACAGATAGGATGAAAGAAAAATAAGGGGAGGTGGATGAGCATGAGCTGGGTCTGGATGGCGAGGGTAGCTCGGTGATAGTCCACTACTAGATGAAGAGGTCACTTACTTACTTACATTGATAGCAAGAAATCGCGGCTGTGCTGTTAACAATGATAAGGTGATATAAAGGAAAAGGATAACGATGGATAATATCGATATTTATAGATCATCATTAGCAGTAGAATTTGAATTTCTCCACTGGATTATCTTTATCGGAGGATACAGTGTAGTTTCAATCGATATAACCAAGCCCCGCGTTTCATATTTGTATCGTTTCTGTGCCATCGTGGCTACACATTTGACAAAACTTGAATACTACAACACACATAGAAATTCGAAAATTATATTCGACGCAATCGGAAGATGTACTTGACGCGCCACATCATCATGTAGGGGATTCACGATAAGATTTTTCAACATAAAGAATGAACTAGTACGCAAATATTTGATGTTGAGGATTTCCTGTACCTCCATTAGCCGGAGGTGTACGCAAGGAGGGGCAAGACAGTCGTGATGGATAATCCAAGAAGTTGAAGTTTGCTAGGATAGATGCTGGCTTCTCGTAGTGCAAAAACTGTACTTTTATTCATTGTTTCTGAGCTACCATTGTCTTTCAGTGAAAATGTAAATGTATAATGCTTTGATGGCGAACCAACGATATTAGAACCGACTCCTAGAAGAATGAACGCGATGAGTTTGTTTCCCTTATCCTTACCACAACGTGAGGAAAGCCTCTGACTACAATTAAGGCTAGTACCGCTGAAGCATCCTCAGCGTCATTCCTCCGTCCCTGGCGCTACTTTTTCAACTTGAAAAACGGACCAAAGATGCACTCAGGGATGCTAACGCGGTACCTCTAATAAAAGGCTTGTCTCCACAGTAGATCCATGATCAGGTCTTCTAAGATCAAATGATCAAGGTCATTCTCGTTATGTGCCGCGCAGATCGTGAAACCCAGTGTAGAGATCTCTATTAGGATTCAGGAGTCATTCCCTATAAAAATTTGAGATCACCGCGATGGAAGCAGGGCATAATTTACTACTTAAGTAAGTCTGAGACCCGTCCTTTATTACAGGTCCGTATTCGGTGGAGATTCATCAGAAGATCCTACCATTTCCTTCTGTTTCTTGTGGAAAGCGAAACACCGACCTCCATGATTCTCTACCGCCAATGGAAAAGGCACTACTCGCTACCAGGAGGAGCATGACCATCTCGTATATAGACACTCTTTTTTATTCGCGGTTATCTAAACCTAAACGATCTTCAACTTCGTCGCAAGAACTACTTGTCTTCCCTTTTTATTCGACTTGCTACTTCGCTGCTTTTAGTAGTAGACAGGCGTTTTTGTGAACAGAAGCAGCGTTTTGCTAGATTTTGGTCGGAGTGACTCTTATTTCCTGAGCTACGACTAGTAGCTATAGCATAATAGAATCTGTCCCCTTCGGCTGAGGACCCACTCCGTAGAAGAAAGCGAATTCGCAAATAGGAATTAACGTTCTACTATCTTCGACCTGTATTGCCTCCCTGTTCAACAGGTTCGAGTACATGTACCGGACCACTAGGAGAATTTAGTCATACCCTATACGTAATAGAATTTTTGTTAGCTTTTCAGCAAGTGTTGGACCAGTAAAAGAGTTTCATTTGCTTTTCAGCAACGAACAGTAAGTACTTTTCTTCAAACCTTTAACAGTTCTCAGTCGTGACAAGTAAGCAGAAGCGGTTCCTGAAAATGAACAGCCAAGATGGACAGCCTCTGCAACATCAGCAGGCAATGCAAGGTTCGTACATGAACTATATGGTGCCTGGGAGCTGGGAACTGTGCGCCACCATAGGGAACACCTGTGGGGTACAACAACAACTGTGGACAACTAGCACCCCCTACTGGTGGGGCCGGTTGTACTAATGGGTATCCACAACAGCTGGCTTTGTTGCAGCCACAGTATCAGCAGCAGCCTATGCAAGAACAGCAGCAACCGTACTACAATTCGCAGCAGCCGATGATGCAGCAACAGCAGGGTGGCTACATTGACAGACAACCCTGAGCAGCAGCCAATGTTGCAACAGGGCCAGCAGTTCTATGCGCAGCAGTCGATGATGCAGCAACAGGGCGGCTACTCTTACAACTAGCAGCATGCAATGGTGCAGTATCAACAGCCGCAAAAGCAGCAGCCAGCAATGAACGTACAGGCAACCGCAGGCTCAGCGACTGGGCAGGTAAGTACATGAACTTTTAATTGCCTTATTCATAGAGCTGCAGAGCAAATCCCTGCTTGACGGAAAATTTTTGCGCAAGTCTGTGCAGGAAATATGGCCCTTGGTATCGACGACTTCTGGGTAAGTACATTGATTCATTATAGAGTAATATATTAGAGGAGAAAAAGACATAGTCATCAATAAATAACCTCCAGCTTAAGTCACACAGCAGACTGTCACACAAGTTACGCAGACAACAACGACAACAACCAGCCAACCTTCCAGTAACCGACCGATGTGCTTACCGCAGGAGCAGTCGGTCGTTATTCAGAAACAACGGCAACAAGTAGTGGTCAATACTAATGGACCTCCAACTGTGGTCATGGGTCAAGGAGCGCCACCATCGCCGCGTCTTTCCCGGACCTCCTCTACGTCGTCGTCGTCGTCAAGTTCCTCTAGTACGTCGTCGTCGAGTTCTTCCTCTTCGTCCTCGGCATCTTCTATGGTGTCGTCGCCGAAATATTCCCCTTTCTACTCGCCTTTGGAGCGACGAACAAGGAACAATGGAGATGCCGTAGCGACCGGCGCCACACTGGGTGCTATTGCTCGTGCCGCGCTCATGAGAGCGGCGCTCGGAGGATAGAAGCCCCATTACAAGTATACTCATTGAAACTGAAATATACATATAGTAAAACATTGGACTTCATTGCCAGATGACGTTGGATGCATGGACTAGTAGGAAAGCGCAGAAAGATCAAGCGGAAAAAATAGTAATGAACATTTAGCGACCAAAACTAACATACTTAAGTTAGCGCTGTGCCTATCTAGTACTACTTAAGTAGTTAGTTCCCAAGGAACACGGTTCTTGTAGTATTTATTAGCATAGCAGCATGGGGGCTTCAGCTTTAATATTTATCTTTATATAATATATATCATGATGTCTTGTTATTTGAGTTTGAAGACGCCGTTTGTTGAGTTTTGATATTCTTTTTCTTGTTCCATGACCGATTTCAATTTGTTAGAAGGTGAAGGACAACGATAATCCGCCGACTGGTGAACAGCAGAGATGAAAGAATTTGAATTACCCATAAAAATCGGACTTGAAAGAAAAATGTGCCGATGCAAGTCATTCAAAGTAGAAGGACGGAAGAGCAATAGTCCAGTTGCTACTTGTACTTTTCCTGTGTGTAAGATGAACACATGAATTGAAATTGTAGCAAGAGTCTGTGGAACACGTGCACAGACACTGTCAACTTCTAGAAAGTTGTTTTCAACCTCCACAGATCAGCTCTTGTAAGATCCAAATGATCAAGATCACGATTGTTCTTACTCCTTCCGAAGATCCTCAAATTAACACCAAGTACAGATCACTCGTGAGTCAGAGCTCCATGAAATTAAAGGTGTCACGGTTGTGGACTCAGGTAACAAAACGCAGATCTTCTTCAGTTCCGGCCTCTTGAGATTCTTGAGAAAATATCGATGATCCTCATGCTTCAGATTGATCCTATTTAACGCGAAGTTCGAAAAAGAATAATATACCCATATTTTTGAGCTTCAGGACTAACAAGCAACCAACTTGTTCTTATAATCTTTGGCACTGTCCGAGCGAATTTTAGTAGAAGAAGGTGTTTATGTCTACATGTTTTTGAAGCCATAGTTTTTAACTTTTTTTGGAATCGAATCGTAGAAGTGACTCCTAACTATCTATCATAAGTTGTGTATTGAAGGCGCGACCTCTATACCCATCTTCCACTTGCTTGCTTCACTGGCATAGGCATTCTTGTACTTGGAACGACCGTTTGTAGTATCTTCCGGTGATAGTTGGATACCGAAAGGCGCGAAACAAGGCCTGTGAAAATGAACAGACAAAATGGACAGCCTATGCGGCATCAGCAGGCGCTGCAAGGTTACATGGGATACAACAACAATCATGGAAACCAGGGCTACAACGGCGAAGGTACCAATGGGTATCCGCAGCAGGCTATGATGCAGCAACAGTATCAGCAGCAGGGGCAAATGATGCAGGGACAGCAACCGCACTATTCGCAGCAGCCCCCGGTGATGCAGCAACAGCAACCGTACTATTATTCGCAGCAGCCCCCAATGATGCAGCAACAAGGTGGCTATTTCTACAACCCGCAGCAACCAATGCTGCAGTATCAACAGCCGCAAATGCAAGCAGCATTGAATATGCAGGCGAACTCAACGCCGACTGCTGGACAGACCACACAAGTCACACAGACTACAACGACGACAACCAGTGGTCAACCTGCCAATGTCCAGCCGGTCTGCTTGCCACCGCAGCCGCTCGTTATTCAGCAACAACCGCAGCAAGTAGTTATAAGTACCGCGCCGTCAACTGTTGTCGTGGTACAGGGCGCACCACAAGCGTATCGAGTGTCGCCGCCTCTGTCTCCGGTGTTGTCGCCGGTTCTCTCTACTCCGGTACTGTCGCCGGTTCTCTCTCCGGTACTGTCGCCGGTCCTTTCTAGGGTCTCCTCGCCGATCTATTCCCCAGTCTATTCCCCGATACGGTCACCAGTATACTCACCACCATTGTCGCCTGTGTACTCACCGGTCTATTCTCCAGTCCGATCTCCGATCTATTCTCCAATACGATCTCCTGTCTACTCTCCAGTTATCACACCAGTGCCGACACCAGTTTATTCGCCACCACGGCGCTCATATGTTCCGCCGTTTGAGCTGGGGAGCTGTACCATAACGGCCACTGTGAGTGCTCCGACAAGTACACGAGTTGTGCGACGAACTGGGAATGCAGATGCGGTAGCGGCTGGCGCCACGCTCGGTGCGTTTGCTGGTGCTGCACTGATGACCGCGGCCCTTAGTTGATAGCCTTGGTGAGGCTTATTATGTATCGAAGGTAGACGCAGAGACAGAGATGATTGAAACGATTCCTTGCTAGTTAGCAGGGAATCGCCGAAGAGCAAAGAATAACGTAAACAAGAAGTGAGACACGAAGATACATGTACTTACACTGATTATTGATTACCTTTACCACCGCTTTCGGCACGACAGGCTAAGGCTGTCTACTTGGTTCACAAGGAACGGCACCATAAGTATATCAGTACCCCCGATTTCAGTGTTTAAGTTTTGATGTTTTGTTTGTTTTATGACCACTTAGTCGTTAAGGTTAATCAAAAGTTGGTAGTAAGTTGAGTTGGAACACAGCACAAAGTAAAGTGACGTTCCCGTGCCTAGTGGATTCCTACAATAGAGTTAACCCGCCCCTGCTGGTAGTCTAGGAGTACTATTACAGACTCAATGAAGAAGATGTTCTTCGATCCTAAGAAGTAGGAAAAACAAGTAAGCAACCCCGCCAATCAGCAACCTCGCCAATTAGCATTGGGAGCGACCCGGTTCCGGTGTTCAATCAATGGACGACGGATAGATACACCACGATCAGAATGATACATTTTCTGCATGTCGCTGTCAGACCGTGAAGATGAAGAATGAAATCTGTTGTATCTACTAAAATCCTCGACTCTGAAAATCTTCTTAAGAAAGCTCGGAGCATCAGCGAAAATCCCCAAGCAAGAAGGCAGATGGTGATCGACATATACGTGCACTTGTCAGTAATCACTTTCTGCTCTTTGAAAGATTTTTGATGCGTGCTTCATACTCCATCTTCCTCCATTGATTATATTTTTATTTTTTCGTCAGCTCTTGGTTTATCGGTTCCTTGTAGGAAGACTTCTTTCCGCCTACTATGATAAGAATTCTGAACCGTTCTCGACAAACATTGTTTTATCGAATTTCATGTCATCATAAAGCAGCTAATCTACATAGCAGCGACAGAACCTATGAGCAGTTTTGATTAAGAAATTTAGTAAACGGCATGAGTTTTTTGTACTGAGCAAACTAACGCAAAGCTTCTGTTTCTTAAGATACACGGCGCACAACGTAGTACCTAGGTCGTACTTAGAAGGGTGTTATCCGTATCCTACAATTGTTGAAATTCATCTACCATTGCGTGTCAGATAAAAATTACTAGAGAGCTGCGATCGATTGACGATACAAGTACAACAACGACAAGAACAAAGAAGCCCTCACTTCTCTTAACAAGACGAGAAAGAAAATGGCGGCTCTGAGTGGTTCTTCGTTGAATGCAGGAGGCACGGGTTCTGGAGGGTCCTCTAGTTCCTCTTCAGGCATTTTTTCGCGCAAATTGGGTTACCTGCCTCATCGGATAGCGGCTGGGCCCTTAATCAACGGAAACAGATTGTTGGCTGTCAGCAGTTTTTCAGATTCTGCGGTCTCTACAAATCAAGTGCAAGTTCTAAGCTTCGATGGTCGAAGTTTTTCAGATGTACTGACTTTCCCGAGCTGCTTCCCTATGAACAGCCTGTGCTGGGCTAGCCGGGGGTCCTCGTCGTCAAGCGGTGGAGGTGCACTGGAGAACAAGACGCAGCGTAGCGGAAAAACCGGCGCGACATCGCCAGAAACGTATAGTCCGGCAATGAGCGGGATCGACCTCGACCAGGAACAGGATGGAGGAAGCTATGCGTACAACGATTCTGCGATAAACAATGCTGCGTATGTCCAGAAGATGAATGCCCAGAGGTATCTATCGCCTGGTGCGTGCACGGAAGACCAAGAGCCTGACGCCAAAACGTTTCTGCTCACCGCGTGCAGCACAGTCCGTGTCTACGACATTTCCGCGGGACAAGCCCAGATGGAAAACGTGAGGGAGTTCCGCCACAACAACGTAGCTTCCGGAGGAAGTGCACCAAATACAAACGGACTGACGTCCTACTGCGCACCAGTGACGGGAGTTGCAGCAGCAGACCAAGGCGCTTTTGCAGTCTCCTGCGACGTTTACGGTTACGTCTATATCTGGGACATCGAGAGGGGAGTCTCGGTCTCGCAACCAATTGACATAAACATGCCGCTTTTTGACGTCTGCTTCAGACCAGGCAGCGCGTACTTGCTACAAGATGATTGGATTTTGATGCACATTTATTTCCTAGACTTTTCAATGATTTAGATGTTTTTTTCGACCGACTGTCGGTTTGTGTATGAATTTTCATCGTCAAGATTGTTACTTCGATTCATGATTGAGAGTGTTAAATAGAGGCAACCTGCTGTGCGCAACGGCACTATCTACTAGTAGCACGCACCTCTGGTGTCAAAAATGCTGCACAAGGAATATCATTTGCATCTTCTTGTTCGTCTTCATATTCTCAGGTCAGAGATCGCCGTCGCAGGAAGCGGACAGATCGGTCTTTATGACTTACGAGAGCCACAAAAAGGGCTATGCATGGTCGACGCGCCAGTAGATGCGCGCGCCTCCGGTCCGGGACGCCTCAGCTGGGCTCGTAACGACTTTCTAGCTGCCGCTTGGATGGGTGAAGGAACGCAGTTTGGCCTTTGCGTGTACGATCCTCGCGAATGCCTCGCAACCAATTTTCAGCTGCCAACAACATCAAAAGCCGCTGGTGAAGGCCCCGTCGACGTGGCGTGGTCGGGAACCGCAATGGTTGCAGCACTAGAAAGCAAGGGACAATGCGTCAGTGCTCGTACTCTCTATTATAATTAACCTTTTGCTTGGCCTTCGAGTTTTCTGCGGTTTTTTTTGTCAGCCTCGCCCTGCTGATGTTGCAACCACTGTCTAAAGATATACAACCAATTTCGCCAACCCAGAAAGTCCAATCGCACGTCATTTTTACAAATATATTCAAATTAAAATTTCGTTTCAACCAGGTGTCCGTGAGGATCTGAGCATTGAAGGATCGTCGGGTATCACATGGGATCTTGGGTGGCCGGTCACAGCTTTGGCCACGACGACTATTCCAAGTATGGGCCACATTGCGGTTCTTGGCGCCACGAACGAAAATTTGTACGTCGGACAGCTAGGGAATCAATGATCTTCGCACGACCTGTGATAGAGCGATAGGTCCTGCAGCTGCTATACCCCTGAGCAAATCCCGTGGCAACTAATGACTTTCTTATCCTCCTTCGCGGTATCGTATTGAAAATTTCTGCCTTTCCCTCGAGCTCGATTGCTGAAGACATTAGCACTAGCATCAGGCGAATATACTAGAGCCGACGTTAATGTCGGCGTAGTTTCAACAGTAATTTGTTCACACCGGGCATCAGGACGAGGTAAAGAAGCCGACTTCTTTGTAGGCGTGCGTCCAAACTTCATAGTGTTCTTCTGCACTGGAATTGGCTTGTCGCCGTGTGTTTACTCATGTTTTGACATGAAAAGCGTATATTATCAAGAAGAACATGATGAACAGCCAGCGTTCAGCAAGAATTATGAAGCTGCGAACATTTTTCTCCATGTTTATCTGGTCTGAGTCTGAGAACGGAGAAACTCTCTTGTTTTTTGATCGCAAATACTGATCATACAACCGTTTTTGCCACGCGTGTCGATTTTGTGTTGAAAGAATGTAAACGGGTGATAGAAAGTACGTAATTAAAAACGCAGAAGTCGTGACGAGGACTCTATGATCGATCCATCATGAAGTGCATGCGCCTCATGCCCGCTGCACTTTTATGAAAAACCGTCCGGTGTCATCCTCACAAAAACTTGCTTGCATTTCTGGACGCAGGATCTAGACGAGACGTCTTTTTTCGACCCACATCTAGAAAGCGACGCAATGTCGGCAAAAGGTAGTGGTATTAAGACGGGAAAACCGTTTTTCAAAGGCCCTCCACTGCCAGCTGACGTCGCCGCCCTTTATCCTTACCCGCTTGTCGTTACAAATGCGGTCGCTTCTGCTTCAGCCAGTGACGACACAGTAGAGGAGGTGCCATCGGCTCGTAGTCGTAATGAAGTTCAAGATTCAAAGCAGAGGCACGAGGATGCTCGAGCGTCAAACGATGACCAACATGTTACAGAAGGTTTTGATCAAACAGGAGCGAGCAGCATGATTGGTACCGGAAAAGGCTCCTCGTCCTGTTCACCGCCTGTTGGTGGAAAGCCGTTTTTCAAGGGGCCACCGCTACCCGCATCGATTGCATCGATGTACCCGACGACAACACCGGTATCGTCTACAAAGCCAGTTGTCGAGAAGCCACCCGAAAGAACGAATTTCGCTCCTGAGGCCTCTGTTGAAGCATTAGCAGAAACGGAAGAACATGGTCATGGACAAAACGCTGTAACCGCTCCACCGTCTTCGAGCACAGGTTCCGCGCTACCCGTTGGTGCAGGAAAGGCGTTTTTCAAGGGCCCACCATTACCCGCTTCAGTGGCTGCCATTTATCCTGTACCCACGTCGGTAGCAGAGACAGTCGCTTCTTCGCGAGTCCCGGCATCTGACACTAAAGCGGCGGAGGAAAGCACCAGTCTCGCTCAACAAGCCGCTAGAGCCGTCGAAACAGCCCAAAAGGGGTCCTCGTCGTCCGCTAGCGGAAAACCTTTCTTTAATGGTACACCATTGCCCGCTTCGCTAGCATCCATGTATCCGCCTCAGAAAACGGTGGCGACCTTATCTACGCCTGCAATTGATGCCGCAGGAATAGCACAGCAACCAGTAGTTGTAGAAGAAGAGTCTCGTGTGGAAGAGCCGAGAACAAGTCTTGCCCAACAAGCGACTGAAGCAATAGGATCCAGCAAGGGCAGCTCCTCGAACACATCATCTGCAGAGAATCCTTTCTTTAAGGGTCGACCGCTGCCTGCGTCCGTAGCAGCAATGTACCCAGCAGGAGCATCGGGAACAGTAGATGTGGATGTGCCTTCTTCAGCTGCAAGCTCAAACTGTCTTGTTAAAAATGATGTGGCGGCGAAACCACTGGAGATTAAAAACAAGGGCCCTATACCGGGACCGGGAGGAAAGCCGTTTTTCAAGGGACCACCCATTCCGGCGTCCGCAGGTGTGCCTGCGGCAACAAATGGGTCTAGCGAGTCCAGCGCTGGCCACACTGACTCTGACGTGAAGCCGAACGAGCCTGCGCCGGCGGGTACTACCGGGGAGAAAGAAGAGGCTTCTGCTCGTCCATCCTCATCAAAACTGGTAGATGCAGAAGCCGCTGGGGCCACACTGGCTTTACCTGAGCCTGAGCGAAAAGCTTCTCGGTCTAGTAGCGGCGTTCGGGACAACGTTTCTATGATGATGAAATCTGCCCAGAGCAGGCCATCCGGAGTAGGGTGGGTAAGTACTGAGCATGTGAATGGAGAAGTCGTTGATCCTGAGCCCATTGCCAGGATTTCATCGAACGCAAGCTGTAGCGTGAGGCAGAGTCGTGGTGGATCATCAGGAGCAGAGGGAGAGACCAGCGCTGTTGAGAATCGAAAGTCTTCGGGCAAGGGGATGCAAGCGCCAGCGCCACCACCAAGAAGAACGAGCAAAGACAAAGAGCAGCGTTTTTCACACAGTTCTCAGAGAGGCTCTGTGTCTGGGGTTGCAGTTACTACGTTAAGTCCATCGCGGTTCAGTGCTGGCGTGGGCTCAACGGGAACGAAGGGCGCCTCTGTACCGAATTTTTTTCCGGAGAAAAAGGCCAGTGCATCAGGACCACCTGCGGAAAACGTCACAGGCCAAGTCTCTGGCTCTCCGGTTCAAGCTCCTGTAGAAGAAGATGAACTGCACGATGATACAACAAATCATCGAAACCGACGATCTACCTGCTCCTGCAGTTCAAAGCCGGGTACTTCTCTAGTAGTGGCAGGCAGTTCTAGCAGGGAGAGTTCAAGAATGCATGGATGTGAAACTGAAAATCAAAGGTCTACAACTACTACTACAACAAGGGAGAGCAACAACAAAAGTTCTCCTCCACGTGCAAGTTCTTTTAGTACGAGGATCGGTAGAAAGCGGAGTCCGTCGCCACCTCATTCTGCAAGTCAAAATTCGCGTGAGGGACATGACGAGTTAGTACCTCTTCAACGCGTTCGCGACACATCTTCAATTACTGAAAGGCCAGAAGACAGGAGGAGCGCACACGCTGATCCGGAACCGGTCTCGTTGGCGGAAAGTGCTCGTTGTAGTCCCTCACTGTCTCTGGCCCCGGATGCGCCACCCGCAAAATCCTGTCCACAAAGTCATGCACCAACGTTCTCCTCGAGTCGAAAAGTCTCCTCACCTGTGTTGCAGACACATCAAGGAGGTGGCATTGGAGGTGCTGGAGCGTCTTCATCAAATGTAGCTGGGAGTGTAAATATTGTAGCAAGGTCGCGCAGCGCAAGTCCCGCGGACAGTCGAAGTGTGGATGCCAGACGAAGCATTAGCGAGAGAGCCACACCAGCTGCCTCGCCAGCGAAAATGTCCGAAGCGTGTGCGAAAATAACGGTATACGTAGAAGATCCTGATGTAGTTAGACCTGACTATCTTGAAGAACCTATGAAGTCGAGCGTATTCAAGTACAAGTACCACCACTGGAAACTAGAACCAGTGAAAAAAAAATGAAGGAAACATAGAAAAGAAACTCGAATTGTTTCATTCAATTGCTAATGAGTAATCATGAAGCAGGTAATTGCCCCTTCGACTCCCCCGCGAATGGAAATGAACTTGGTTCAAGAGCGCGAGATAAAGAAATCAGGGATTCTTGGTCTTCCCGCCGTAGCGGCACCAGGTGCAAGTGTGGGTGTAACAAGTTCTTCTGCGGATGACCCGAATGCGCCACAACTCCCACCAAGTACATCCATCCAACTACCATCATCGCACGAAATGCATGGGGCTCTCCCGAATTACCCGAATACTACAGGGAGTAATAGTATCGCCAACAACATAGCTGGACGTGTTCGTCAAACTAGCGGCGCCTCGTCGGCGTTTTTGAGACCGAGCGAGCAGTCGTGCAAGATTACGATAACGGATTTTCGAGACACGGTTTTTCCGTCAGGACACTCCTCATGCCGATCCTCGGCGGTCGTAGAATTCCCTTTACAACAAGTGACATCACCACCGAATGCATCCGCAAAGAACAGTGTGGCTGGTCGAAACAGCGATGTTTCAGTGGCGAGTCGAGAAGGGGGTAGTTCTTCGAGTATGGAGCTGCATCAAGAAAGTGAGGGACAAGGAGGCAGTGGCACGACTATCGCAGAACAAGCACAAGCAAATGGAAATCGCTTAGGCGAGGAGAGACAAACATCATCCACGACATCAAGGTCTTCAAGTGCGCTGCTGTGTAACGAAAGGGGTTCTTCATCTTCGACCACCGCATCAAGCAAAGCGTCGCGAGTTTCGTCTTCAGAGAGAACAGAAAACTCCGGTATAGGCATAGTTGGAAAAACGGGCACCGCATCCAACTCTTCAGTTACCCAAGCAGACGCTTCCTCTTCTTCAAGTCACGATAATGATGAAAGTCGCGACTCGCTTCGACAGCGCAGCGAGAAGGTACTGCTACTGGTACTTGATATTCTTTTTGAATTTCAACTTTGGTATTTTTTCTTGACGAGATTGATGATCTTCATTTTACTATTGACAGGAAGCGGGTGAGATCGCTACTTTAGAAGCGAAATGCAGGCAGCTAGAACTAGAACTCGCGGCAGCTAAAGCTAGACATGCCTCTAGTGCCTCAAGTGTTCACACTAGTAGATTCTCACCCGACGACAGGAGCAGGACAAGGCACAGCACTTCTGCACCGAATCGTCAAGAAGATCACGCACAAGAAGATCAAGAAAGAACACCTAATTCTTCACCCAACAAGAAGATAAGTAGAGCGGAAGAGAGGCTTTCGATTTTGGCCGAAGCGAGCAAGAAACGGATCAAATCGCTCGAGGAGGAAGCATCGATAGCTAAGATTTTAGGTGAGGAGGTGCGAAACTCTGTGAAGGAGCAGCTGCTTGAGCTGGAAACCATGCGCATCGATCTGGCGGACGCGCTGGCAGAGAATCAAAGCTTGCTGGAAGCCGTTCAACAGAGCAAAACACTGGAATCGCAGAAAGAGCAACTTGTTGCGGCAGCCGAAAGCCTTGAAAAAGAAAAAGACACGCTGGCGAGAGAAAATCAGAGCTTAGTTGAACTTAACGCAACGCTGTTGAGTCAAAAAGCTGCTGTAGTGGAGGAAAGGGCGTTGCTGTTGGGAGAAATCGAAAAAGAGAAAGCCCAGAGTGCGCGTTTAGCTTCAGAATTGCAAAGACTACGCGCTGATGCGAGTTCATCGCGCGCACCAAACAAGGAAGGGACGGTCGCATCCAGTGACCGGGACCGCATGAGCCCCGGGATCACAGGTAATTACTACCAGAGCAGTTTATAGCACGCATGGTGCATGGAGTGGCATGGAGTGCATGGAGCACTTGCGCCATTCCCACGCATGGAGTGCATGGGGTGGCCGCGTGTCACGCATGGAGTGCATGGAGCACGAGGTGGCGCGCTAGCCTCTGCCATCAGCCGCTCCCCTCCTGTCGATCGATGGAGCAGCGGCGCAACGCAAAAGCGGCCCAGGACTGAGAGGCCCTCCCCCCTCGCCTGTCCGCTTTCTATGGTTGCGGACCCAGTAGGGGACGCCACTGTGAGCCTCGGGCCGTTCCCGCTTGAGAGCCCGGCCTTCGACGAGCCCCCCGGCCTCCGGTTCTGCGGGGTACATGCAGGAAAGGCGCCCCTTCAGCCCGGCAGACCCCGCCAAAAGGGGTCCCGCCGGGGCTGAGAGGTTCCCCCCTCGCCTTCCTAGGTCGGGGATGGGTATCGCGCCCTGGTTGAGCCCTGGGACACACATACACAGCCCCCCTCTTCAGCTTTTTGCATGGGTCAGCCCCGTGTGGTTGCCTAGAGCGGTGCAGCAGTAGCAAGGCCTGCTCCGGAAGAGGAGTGAACCCCCGAGGATGCGACTTGATGGGCCCTTTGCCGAAATTTCCGGGCACCGAAGTGCCTGGCAACGACCACCAGGGGCAGCAATGTGTGAAAGGGCGCCTAGACTGCCGGCCAGTGTGGGCGTGGTGCTTCGTCCTCGAGTCGACCGCCCCATCGTCTCATCGTTGCAGTACAGGGCTGTAGCGGACTAGTCTCGGGCAAAGGGGTGCCCGAAGGGCACCCCGCAAAATTTTCACGCATGGGGTGCATGGAGTAGAAGTGGGGGCTGGCAAGATTCTTGCCACTCCATGCTACTCCTTGTGATCCATGCACTCCATTATGGAGTAACACTATGCCAAAAGCGAACATAGAAAAGTGGTTTTTTGGCCAAAAAACGCACATGAAGCCCAGGGATGAGTTGGGCAATATTCGTCTCAAAATGAAAAATTTTCATTCTGAGACGAATTATGTACAAAAAACGCAAAAAAAGCGCTTTTTTGTACATTATTCGTCTCAGAATGAAAATTTTCCATTTTGAGACGAATACTGCCCAACTGATCCCGGGGCTTCATGTACGTTTTTTGGCTAAAAAACCGCTTTTCTATGTTCGCTTTTGGCATGGTGTTACTCCATACACTCCATGCCATGCACGCCACGAAAGCTTATAAATTATTCTGTTACTACTAGCACCTTTGAATTCAATTGATAAAAGCATTCATCTGATTGATACCGACCAAATACGATTCAAGTGAGAGCACTGTTAGTGTAATTCGTAATATATATAAATATTCTTGTTGGAAAGTTGGGAGTTGTAAAAAGTAACGAATCTTTTGATAACTGTCCTCCTGTGTTGTCCAGCATCGCCGTCGATGACGGAGGCTCCTGATTCACCTGAGTTGGATAACGGCACCACTGGAATTACCCTAGTGCCCGCAGCGAGACCTCCTGCCGCACACCATCATCATGGCAGGGACCATGCCTTCGGTTCATCAGCGAACAGAGGCCTCTCCTCGCCGCGTTCGTCAACGCCTTCCATGTTGCAGGAGCGCTGCTTTCAAGCTGAGCAAAGAGCTAAGATCGCTGAGGACCGCTTGTCGGATGTAGAGCGTTTTGCGAATCGACATCGACAGGATTTCGCGAGGAAACTTGAACGTCTTGAAGACGAGAAGAAGAAGTTGGAAAAACGCATTCGGCAGCAGGACCAAGCGGCGGAACAGATAGAGGACCTACAAAAACGATTGGACTCTGCCCTCGCAGCCCGACGACGTGCAGAGTATAGCAGTTGTAGAGGGAGGCAGATGTTCAACAGCGGCACGAGCAGTTTTGGAGGGCCAGGAACATCGGGGATGAGCTCAGCAGGGCTATCCTTTGGCAGCGGTGCTACGAGCAGTTACGGACCTGCCGGCAGTAGAGGAAAGCAGGCAACGCTGGATGAGACGCAGCGCGAAACGCTGCGACAGCGCTTGCAGTTGTTGCATCGTAAAAAGAGGGCGGGGTCTGATGACAACACTGCACAGGGAAACTCTCGTGCAGCAGCAGAAGTTGTAGGAGAATCAAGAGCGGGAGGAGGAGGAGGACATTCCCAACAAGAGCGTGTTCGCCCCAATGAAATGCATCAACAACATCAGAGACCAGATGACTTTCTTTCGGGTTTGGAGCTAAAAACTGCTGCTGACGTACAGGCAGCTATTGCTGCCTGTGTGGTTCCACAAAGGCCTGGGGGACCCAGTTTCGTAGTCACTACAAGAAACGATATTCTTGAGGGCGGCGGAGGACAAAACGGAGGAACTGAAACAGCGGTCGCAAAAGCTCATAGGACGCACGATAGCCGACTGTTCCTAGACCAAAGCGGAAGTTTGCTCTCAGGTGGCAGCAGCATTGAACAACAGCCACACGCATTTAGTTCCGCTTCCGCTGGGAACAAACTGGACATGGATGTTGAGGGGCGTTCGCCCAGTCCGCCTTTGGTCTCAGAACAAGCATTCTCTTCAGAATCGCAAATGGGTGTAAGGATAGGCAGTGGTGGAGACAAAATTGGTGCGTCGCGCATGCGGCGCAAAGCGGGTTTGCCTGATTGCTTTCACAGTATCGCATCGAATGGGTCTACCCAGCAGGTGATAAATAACCGGCTCTACTCTCCGAGGGCCCAACAAATTGTGACACCACCACAGCGAACGCGAAACTTAGCTAATTTTTCGAACACGATGAGTTTTTCGAGCTACCGTCAAAAAATGATGGGCAACACCGTGAACAGAAAGAGAAAATACGCGAAGCACGCACACGATGTCGACGTCGGTGAACCTGGTTGTAGTTTCAATGAGGATGAAGACAAGGAAAATCAAGAGATCATCGTGGAGCCGCCTCCTTCTGGCCCAGGTGCATCTAGGGCACAGCAAAAGCGAGAACTTCAACATCAAGATACGGCGCCGACCACCACTTTGTACGGGCACCACAGTTCTCGAGGGGCTCAGTTGCGTAGCTGCAGCAACAAGGCAACCTTCTCCGCGTTTCAGCAAGGCACAAGCTATATGGGCGCAGCAACGTTTGCGTCGTCTACCAAACGACACCGAAGTGCATGCTCGCGCGATCCGTCACCGTCATCTCCCTTCTTTTGCGCTTCGGCGACGTCCTTCGTGTCGAAGAGTAGAAATGGATGGGCATCCTCCTCCGCATCTTTTCTTACGGCCATGAAAACGATCTTACACTGACCGCATATGTTGTTCTTTATTTCCCTCATGATCTTCTAGTATTTCTACCTAGGAACAACCTTCTGGTTCAGCATGTGCTTGTGTCATCCTCATCTTCATGTGTGAGAACGACACAAGTCATAATCGTTCTCTAATTTCTGTAGTGGATCTTCAACGAAGAAGCGCCCATGGCTTCCCATCGGTAACACGTCGTCTCCGGCAGTCTCTCCGCTCAGTTCGCCGCGCGGTGTCTTCGGAAACATCGTGCGCCAGGGCTTGGTGAACGTGCCACCAAAACCAACTTTGCACAGCGCGCATCACCTGTGGGGTTGAGGTGTCAAGGACGACAACATGTTGACGAAGGATTTGAGATGTTCTTGAAATGGAGGGTGTGCGTGTAGTACGACAAGCGATGTTCATCTCGGTGTCATCTCCATACAAAATAGGGATCGCGGGTGTTCTTGAAGAGCAGGTTGTGGTCGGCGAACTGTCTTAACGTCATCGATGAGAAACCGACCCGGTGAAGTGACCGGTTTCGAATTTTTCGCTGCTCAACATCCGAAGTAAGATTATTTCAAGAAACTACTAGCAAATCCATGCATACAATCATGATTAAATATATACTTACATAGATTCGGATACCGCTGTCACGCCTAGAAGTACTCTTAAAGAACGCATCCACACATCACATAGTCATTCTCTGCAATGCCCAGCGCTGACGGAGCAAATGCACCTAACAGATGAAGTCCTCCGTCTAGAGTGAGTCTCACCTGTTCATTGCCCCACACATGGGGCAATATTCATCCGCCAACTTCATTATTGAGACGTGCATTGAGTACACATATTCATCCATACTTGCGCTGACTCTATTTCCCTAAATAGGCAACTACTTACAACTGTTCCGCGAGCGTTTATTTAGTAGATAAGTCCCGCTCCCGATTCACTATTGACAAGATTTTATGAAACCGCCTTTTTCGTCTATTGATCTGACTTTTCGACTTGTGGTTGAGCGCGCGCGGAAAACAACGCGTTCAACGATACTTGAGGACAGGAACACTAAGAATGTACACGTCTCTATGACTGTACTTTTTTGCATCATGCTGCGCATCCACATGTTGCTTGTTGCCGCGCCTTCGTGTTTTTGGTTGATGGCTGCAGGCGTAGATTTGACGCACTGTCTGATTCACAGCGCAATAGTGCTGCTGCATTGTTTTCCCATCTCGTTCGTGAGACGCTCACGCTGCATGTTTGTACTTCATGGGATTTGAGTAAAAACAGCAAGAAATAGAGAATTTTTAGAGCCACCTCCATAATTTTTGTTGGCACTATGCTCCTATTCAAAACAAAATGCACGACGTCATGTTCAAAAAGATTGCCTTCATGCAATATTCCAATGAATCAACATCAACTTCGGTAGATCGATGGATTCAATTGTCTGCACTTCCAGCTTGCGTCTAGCAAAGATGCCGAACCAATATATAATGCGTTGGCTCTGCGGCCGTCATTGAAAGTGATTACGCGGACGTCGGAACTACATTGACTTGCAGCTGGGTTCTTAAAATTGTGAGGAGCAGCAAAGATGATCAGTATGAATTCTTTCAACGCAGCAAGCGTTTTCTAGATAAGCTAGTACAAAAGATCACGAGATACTGCATCGCTGCAGCTGCAGCTTCGGTTATGATGCTATGCGACAAGAAGATGCTTTAGTTCGAAGTGAGATCATCTACTTTTTCTGTCAGCTAATTTTATTGCGCATCGAAGAAAAAAGTTATTGATCCTGAGGATCTTAAATACCCTAGAAGGAACACAAGGAAGATCCAAGATCAGAATATTCAAGATCCCTTGATATCGAATTGATTTTTGTTACCCATGTTGATCAAATGCGCTCCTGATAATGAGAAAGCAGAACAAGGTGCGAGGACTGAGCGCTACGCTGTCTTACAGATTAGAATGAAATGACAATACCACCGCCCCCAGTTGATACTTTGCTTTTAGAAAAAATTTGTTGCTCCAGCGCTTCCGCATTTAGACGAGTCTGTTGTGATTCAACATGGATGCTCAAGCAATCTTCGACTATCGCACAATACCAACTAAAACAAGCAGGAGCAGTATCGGCACTCACAGGGAGCATAGTAGACGTCAAAACAGTTTTGAGATCTCTTAGTTTTGGCGTAGTCTGTCTCTGTGCCGCAGAAACTAAACATTGAAGAAGCAAAATTGTCATAGATCAAGAATATTATGCCCGAGGCCAACGCATAGTTGTCGTTTTCTGTCTCTATAAGTGTAGTGTCATCAAAAGAAGCATTTTATTCCCCGAGTTCATCATTTTGATTGATGCTCAATTGAATCGATTTCCCTTCGAAGTTGAGCCCGTTCAAGGATATCTTAAACTTTTCCACCACTTGTTATTAATAATGAACCACCTCGTCATTTGAAACACAACGATAACCCAAACCCACATACATAGACATATAATGTCTTACATACTACTACATCATGAAACAAGAATTGTACCTGGTCACTGACATGGCTTTTAATCAATCTAACTATCCCGTTTATCACCCATGAAAAAATATCTACTGCAACTTAATTTGTTATTCTTCACCTGAATCTAAAAAATAAAGGATTAACGATCCGTCAACAAACTACAAAGATGGACCTGTTCCCCAGTGATGTGCGCAATAGGCGCGACAAGAAGGGCGCACAAGGGCAAGATCCAGTTACCGGACCGCTCGTTGGTACGAGCGCAGCGTCTAGCTCAAGTGGACCGACTATCAAGAAAAGCCTAGCTGGAAAACCTAATGCTCGAGTGGCGACACCGCGCCCGCATAATTTTAGTAAAGTTCCCGAGATTCGTGTCATACAGGTCGACGACGGGTCAGATGAAGAATTATATGAAGATGATCCTGGCGGTGGCGCGCTGTCTTCGACACGCGACACCACCCCTCGGACACGCCGGCATCGCGTTGGCAGATCACCACACCGCAGTGAGTACTCATCTCGGGTTTCCTCACGAAGGTCGTCCAGGCCAGTCTCCTCGAGGCGACAAAGCCACTATAGCAGAGACGACGTTGAGCCTGTATTGATGCTACCAGTACGACCATGTGATACGGGCCGACGTATGCGGCATGATCATCGACGTGTCATTCAACAGCAGGAAAATTTCGATTCAGTTTCTGACGAGACAGACGTGTCGTTCTCCTCAGAAGAGGATGTTGAAACAGAGAATTCTCACGGCTCATCCAACTCCTCATCTAGTTCAAGAAGTAGCGATAGCGAGGAGGAGTATTCAGATTACAGCATTCGCACAGTTTATAACCAAGATCACTTGCGGAGGCGTAAGAACGAAGGTGCAATGGTGCGCCGTCGGGCTCCTGGCAGCAGATATATACGAAGCCCAGCAAGCGCTCGCCTGACAAGCGCACACTCGAGCAAGAGAAATTCGCCGAAAATCAGGCAGAGTGGTCGTCCATCGGGAGGCCTGTGTTTTACGGGTAGGTCAGGGAAAAGCCCAGCACGACGTCAGCGTGATACGAGTAGACCACGACAGGATGTTGATCAAATCGTGGCTGACAGAGACGCTATGAAAAATAGAGGTCGCTCGCCGAAAAAAGGAAAACATAGAAGTTCTGACAGTGAAGAGGAAGCTGCGAACAGCGATGTTGGACAAGGTGAAGGTGCGGAAAATCGCATGCGGAAAACACGCTCAATGCCGGATGCCATAGGCATAGGCGTAAAGAACACAGACGAGAAGCATACGCCTGAGAAGCGTAGTCGTAGCACAAGTATTCCGCGTAGCGCTGAAGGGAAGAATGACTTGTCACCGACAGGAAAGAAGAAGATCGATGATAGCAGTTATCGTGAAGCGGCAGACCACCCTGAGTCGACCAAGTGCTGCACGGTTTCGATTACCGTCTTGCTTGTCGTGCTGTGTTTTCTCGCTTTCAGTGTGCTGCTTGGCTACTTCGTGTATCTGGCGAAGCAGACCGTGGATCCGCCTTCGTGGGCTGGCAAAATGCACGATGAAGCGGAGCAACCGGAGTTTCTGGACGAGTACAGTCGTGCTCTCAGATTGCATGGCTTTCGCATCTTTCCGGAAGTGTCCCTCCAGCAGCTGAGCGTGGCGTTGTTGGAAGAGGATCCCGCACGCCTCCGCTGGGACGACGAAGACATCCCACACGACATGTTGAAAATGATCGCCCAAGACTATCCGCACGGGGGCGAGGCACGTCCTACAAAAAATACATCTTCTGTGACTGCTGCAGCGCCTGGACGAGGAGAGCCTTCAGCAGGAACTGCACAGGCTGAACCCGCAGCAGGAACCCCGGAAGGTGGAGAACCTGTAGCGTCTGGTCAAACAGCAAGTGGCAATGCCCATGCTGCCACGGATGGTCAGGGTCAGCAGAATCTTGCACCTGCACAGTCGCAAGGACCAGGCAACGATCCGGAGCCCGTAGCAGTCAGTGATCAAGCAAGACGAGAACAGCGAGCTGCTCAGATAGATCCACCGGCACGTAATGTTGGGAGGATGGCAGATGAATCTAGAATTGCCTCTCGTGCACCCTGGTCGACCAGAGGCATGCGGTTGCCCTTTTTGATTCATTTTGGGCGCAACGGGCAACAAGAACCCGAGGCCTTGCTTTTGCGGCGACTGTGGAGACGCATGATGTCCCGTCGTTTCGCGACCTCAATAGACCTGCGAATGAGCCTTTCACGAACAACCCTATCGTTGGCCGATTTCAAGGCGGCTCTTCATGGCAGGCTTGTGGATTATTTGCGCAACATTCTGGCAGACCTGACGGTGCAAACTGGTGCGCTGGAGACAGTGCACGCAGTCCCTGACGAAGACGATGACGACGATGAGACAGGACTACTTTTAAACGAAAACATGCAGCAAAGTCCTAACGGAGTACACCAGCTGAAAAGCACTATTAATGGTTTGGGCTGGTGTACATCGCGGCTACAACTCCTGGGGGCAGATGAGGCACCAGAAAAGCATATGGGAGGTTCTTCTCGAATTGCAGGCAATGATGCTGTGGAATTTCCGAGCCGTGCGTTGAACGGAGAGGAACAAGATAATCATGGAGACCGTTATCAAGAACATTCCAGTAGCAACGAAGCCAGACCAGAGCGGTTTGGAACGACAGCAAGTGATGGTGCGCATCCCATGTTTGGACATGATATTCTTCCGCGTATGCTGCTGGGAGACGAGCTGGAGGCGATCTATACCGCAGAAAGTGTCGGACAACATCCTGCAGCTGCGTCCGTGCGGCACCCAGACGCCAGAGCAGTCTTTTGCGATGCGGAACAGGAGTTTCTGCAATTGCATCCCGAGCTCAGAGCCTTATTTCTCTCGGCTTACGCGCAACTGCTGCGGAGACTCATAGCAGAGCTTGAGGGCCGGCCGCGATTTGACACGCTGTTTCTGCTGCGCCCGGTGTTGCGTCCGGAGCAACAGCATAAAAGTCTAGAAGCCTCTTCGGCTACGAACGTTGTCGGCGGCGGTACTGCAACTAACAGTGCGAGCACGACTAGGAAAGAATTGCGCAAGCATCGCAAACGTCTTGTGGAACTGCGACAAGGGTTCCAAAAGAACCGGTTGCATCTATTGACCCTGATCACAAAGCTTGGGGCCGAGTGGATACGCGTGGAGAAGGATTCGATGTTGGCGTTAAGCATTCGCCTGCGTCGAACGACATTGCCAATCGATTTGATTCATCAAATGCAGTGGAATAACAAAAATACTTTGATGCCCCCTTCTACAACTGCTGATCAGCATGGTCTCCGAAAACTTTCACTGCCTGCGTTGTTTCCGCCAGCGGCCGCGACCGTAGGCGCCATAATGCAAAGCGGCGTGTACCGGCCGAGCGAGGTTCCAGAACCGCCAAAAGATGATGGGACAGCAACAGCAGAACAAGGTGATCAGCAGACACTAGCGAGTAAGACAAAGTGGACAACCTTCACTGTGCAGTTTTCAACGAGCCGCACGTTCTCAGCGGACCGGCACGGACGTGACAATGCGAACGCTCTGATAGAAGACATTTTGCTGGCGAGTGCCTGGGGACTCAATCTCCAGGCAGTCAAAATCCGTATTCACTGGACGCATGCGCGTGGAGCGAAGGGCAATACTAGGGGGAACACCTATGCGCCTTTCGTACTGGAACGCGTTGTAACTCTTGACGAGCTACGTCGCTCAAATGTTTTTGCGCTTGCTAATGGACGAGGTAATGCACAACTAGAGGAAAATTCTCTTCAGGGAGACAGTGGGAAGCAAGTACATTTTGCGCGATGGCTTCACTGGGTAAATACTTTCCTGCGAAGCTCAATTGCGGTTTCACCTTTTAGAACAGCGGTTTTTCACGTAGACGGTTTTCCGGTAGATGGGAGCGATCCAATTGGAACTTCTCCAAGAACATCCTCGAAGGCTTCAGCATCTGGCACTAGAGGAGGCGGCGAACAACATCAACACGCATCACCACTGTCGTGGTTTGAGGTTGTGGGGCGCAATGCTCCAATTCAATTGAGTCGGGCTATGTTCGAAACGGAGTTTCTGCACACACTGCATCGGCATATGACTGCGTCCTCCAAGGACCTCGAATCGCAAGAGCAGCAGAGCAGGCGAAGCGCAAACAGACTCGCCGCCCAACAAGCAAGCCGGCACATCCAAAGGAGATTTTGGAGGCCGAACGGCGACGAGTCCATGCCTTTCGTGCCCTACTACCGTGCGGACCAGCCGCTACCCGGTGCCAGTTGCTGCACTGCCGAGTACCGACAAGCCACAGACGGCCCAGCGCTCATTGCTGGAAAGGGGGCTCGCATTCGCGGCGTGAAGCGCTTTTGCGATAGCAAGCCTATAGGACCCCACTCTACTTCTACTGTCGAAGCGAATAACAAGGGAACTGGAACACTTGGCAATACCAATACTTGGACTTCAGCTGGGCAGCACCAGAGAGGACCTGGCACTGCGTCATCTTTGTCATCACCACCACCTGGAAGCATGGAGAGCAGGCATCTTCGGCATGGTGGCGCTGCACCAGAGTGCGTCTTTTTTCTAAGCTTTGATGGACGGGAGTACAAGATCCCGCTCTTAGAGCCGAGTGGGCGCAGTGGCTCTGTATGGCTGAGGGAACTCGGAGAGCAAGGGCCTATCGACTTTAATTGGGCGATGGCTCGTTTAGCGCTAAGAGACTTCCACCAACATGACATGGCCCGCCCACCGCCAGAAGCGACTACGTTTCTTCGAGTAAACGAGCAACGATCGTCACCATCATCTTAGGAGCAAAGACACTTCTGTGATGGTAATGAATAAGTACGGGAGTTTAAACAGTAAGTAACTTTAGTTGATCAAGGCGGTGGGCCTAGAATGGTGGATGACGTTCCTCAAAGTCAGAAGGAAAATTTATCATCACTTCCCTTCGCCTTTCTTTGATTTTCGCATTTTTGGAACGAATTGAGATCGTGAACTTGAACTAATGTTGTACCCTCGAACTACGCACTCACAGTTTTCTTCTTTTGTGTCATATATATAATTAATACCCATGATGGTAACAGGTAGCGTGAAATACCTCTTGCGTCACCTCATACTGTCGTTCGGTAAAGTACCTACTCACCAAGAGTTACAACGTACAAGAAACTTACTACTCCAACAATCCAGAAGAATCACGGGGGAGTGAGCCAGATGGAGAAAAGTGAACACAGCATAGATACATAGGATACTCCAGCCAAAGAAGCCGTACGGAGGGAGACAACGTCCCGCACTACTAGCAAGTAGAAGTAAGCATGAACAACGCTAAGAGCAGGCGCAGGGTGGATGAAAATGGGCCTGATCGTAATCTATGAGGCAATAGATAACATCATCATCCTCCTGAAATTAAATACCCACAACAGTCGCCCTTCTTCACGATCATCAATTAATATGCTCTCTTTGTATTAAGTGAGGTTGTTACTTAAGGCATTGAAACTATGTTGGTGAGATGAACAAGCTGCACTACAAAAACCTTTCACGACCTTGGCTTCCCTTGAAAAGTTTTCAGCTCCACCTAATAATAAGGTCTTCATCATTTTCCTCTCACACCTTCATCGAGCAAATAGCAGTTTTTAACTGTTGCATTTCCTGAGTACACCTCCTTCATCGAGGCCTCTTGCATTCCTGAGTACACCCCGGCAATCTCCACACACCGGTAACAAGTACCCACCAGGTGGTGACATCAGCCGCTTCATCTGTAACAGGCGCACGAATGGCACGTTGTCTTCTACGTCTCGACTTTTTCGCGAATACTATTCTAAGCTACAGCATGAATGAAGAGTCTGTCATCACATCAGTGGAGTGAAGCGACCTATCAAACTCTGTTTGGAGATGATCGCATCATTGAGAGAATGAATCGAAACAAATGTGGTTGTGGTTTATGGTCAAGGCTAGTGAGCTGAATATTGATGAGAAGACATCACTCAGACTCCCACAATCATGGGTACTCCGTGTCGTCTTTTCGTTGCTGCTTGCAGTTGTAGTAGAGCATGTTTCTGCAGATGCCAAGTCCATCCTACGGTCTTAGACGTGCCTATGATGCGATCCTGCACGTATTTACATGCTTGAAGGGCCTTGTTTTAGGCGAGGACTCGTCGTCGTGAGTTGATATAATGCCGACAACTACGCCAAGGCCGTGGAAATGGCCAGCGACTCTTGCTTACCTTTGCTTTTGCAGATGGCAGCTGCGTGGTGTTGACGAAAGCTTTCTCCTTCTTCGGACTTTAATTGAGGGACAACGACAAGAAGACCAACTACAAAGTGAATCCGGGCGAAGGAAAACTTCTACAACAAATCGAAGAACAGTGCTGGGGAATGAACAAAATGACGCTACAACTTCGCTCGATACGTCAGACGCTGATCACGATGTTGCCTTTTTGCAACTCTTGGGCTTTGGCGGAAGCCCGAGAACTCGACGGGCTCTCTCCAGAAGTATCCGGAGACGGTTTCAGATTCATTCGTCCAAAACAGAAAAGCATAGATCCATGAGGAAAGATGAACAAGGACTCACCTCTTCCAAGGCCGATTCCAACGGTGCCTCTCCTGCAAGAGATGAAGTAGAGCGATCTCCACCAACAAAACTGTCCTCACGAAAAAATCGCATCGCGCTTTGTCTTACTGGGTCTGCCTGCTTTTTGCAGAATCCTGCAATCTACTTGTCGTTAAAAAAGAACTTGGTTGAGCCCTACGCGCATCACAGCGATTTTTACATCTTTTGGATCTTCACAAAATTTTTCAGCAAAGCGGAGGAGTCTGATCTAGTAGGGTCAAAGAGCCACGTTGAGCAATTAGGAGAAACGAATGCGCGTGACTACGAGTCCTGGTGCGACGAAGACTCAACTGATCTGTCTCCTGCTGGCCATGCTCTTGAACCTGTAGGGTGGATGCGACATGCCGGACATGGTAATTACTCCCTCTCCCAATCCGCAACGTTGGCTCAGTGCTCAAATGAAGTGCATGAATATGAAAAAAGGTCTGGCGGCGTTAAATTCGATTACGTGATGCGATCCCGCACAGATTTGCTGTTTACTAGACGTTTTCCTAGCTTGAAATCCTTCCTCGCGATGGAAGCAGAGCAGTTCGCAGAAGACCTCAAAAGCAAGATGAAGACCATTTTCCTCGTGGGCGATCTCTTTCTCTTTGGCCCGCGGGATGAAATGCTTTTGGTACTCGAACTTACGTGGGCTTTAGCTCTCAAAACTGGAGGGAGCGAGGGAGCGATGGAACACGCGTTGACTTCTAGTCTGAGGGGAATGAGCCGCAAAACGCGGTATGCTTTCCACTGTGACGTCCAATGCTGCAAGACTGAGGTCTTCTTGCCAATCGCTGACCTGAAAAAGAGCGGGCTGGCAGATAGGGTTTTCTACTGGCCAGCGCCAAAGTTTCTTCTGCCAACGAACCACGCCAGATGGGGGACGAAAAGCGCGCCTTTCAGTGAGGTTGCAGTGGCGAGGAAAAGAACATCTTCTATACCTGAAGTGATGAAAGTGGTTCTGAAATGGAACCAGAGAAGATCCGACGATCCTGCGGCTGTGGATGGTTTGGCGTTATCGGAACGCATATCCAAACCGACGTGGTCTTCAAGGATCGCATTTGCAGAATATCGACGTCAGCATCAAAATTTGAAATCGAGCAAGGGAGTAATGGATACAATGATACTTGATACATCAGAGCTCGCGCGAGGAGATGAGTTAGAGAAGGTGACGGCTGAGACTCAGAGTAAAAAGAGGCTTACGTCACTGGTCACCAGTCAGCAGGTGGAGCCAGTCACGTCGCTAGTTTTAGCGAATCCAGAAAAGAGTATGAGTAGCAACGTCAGCACCAGCAACAGTAGAGCCACGCCCGATAAAGCTGAAACTGAAAGTCATGCGCAACATGCGACTAGTAGGAAAGCAGACCGATGCATTCGCACTGCGTTTAAGCGTCATAGGGATCTTCGGATATTCACGGAGGATAGCATGGGCCTAGTTCCAACCTGTAAGATCGCCCTTTTTAACTTGACATCCTGTGAACTACAGGACGAAACATGGTCACTAAAGGCACTGAAAAAGAAGGAGAATCACTATGATGAATCAACGTGGTGGTCAACATCGAGGGAGAAGAAGAAGAAGACACTGAGCGAGAAGCAGGAGCAGTATCACTCAGGGACAAAAGAGTCGGAAAAACAACACCGACAACAAATACAAAAGGAAAAGGGTACTTCTAGAGGTACTAGCGGAAGCAGCACCAGCGCTAGCACGTCGCTGGTCGTGGCTTCAGAGCGAGAACAGCAACAACAAAAAGGCAGGAGTACTACGTGGAGCGTCGAGACAGAGTCTTCACAACAAAATGATGCTACTCCTCTCACAAGCTCTTCATTATCGGGAGGTTTATCAAATAAAACGACAGGACCACGATCAGGAGCAACTACTACAGGTACTGGCACAGGAGGTGGAGGATACCATGATAGTACTACAAGTAGTAGTACCGGAGACAAGTCGATAAGAAATGCCACCCCGGGAACTACGAGTGTCATGCTGGTCCAGCCAGAGGCTGAAGATGTCGATAGCATACTTCTAGATCTAAAACAACAGCTACTTGGACACGGAGTGGTCGCTGTGCAACTGTCTACAGCCGTTCGTACCCCACGACCACAACAAGCAGCATTTTTGAAGCTGAAAGCAGATCGTGAGAGTTACAGCTTCCTAGGCGAGACTTGGCAGAGGAAGTCCGTCGAAGAAGACCCACGCAGGATAGAGGCGATGAGAAAGCATCAGGGGTCCTACCTAGGGCCGGGCTTCAGCCTGAGCAATCAGTTCCGCGACGTCATGGCTTCCTACGCGATAATGTCTCAATTGGAACAGTGGATTTTGGCTAGACAGCAAGAAGAAGAAGGGAGCAGGAGCGGGAGACGAAGTATCAAGTACCGGGGGATGTACGTTGTTGAAGACGATACCTTGTTCTGTCTTGAGAATTTCGCAGCTTTAGCAGATTTATTGGACTATGTTCGACAAGAGGTGAACCCAGGCCGAAATGAATCAGAGCAGGTTCGTCTCATCATGACAGGACTCGGAGCGTCGGGCTTTCTTTTTACGCCAGGGTCGCTGTCTTGGTTTTACCGAGGATTGGAGCTCGCCTATCTACACCACAACGGTAGTGCTCGTTTTGCACCTGATACCTTTGTCCTGGGTTCGAGCTGGGGCACTACGCACCCTTTTAGGAGATCGGTTCAGCGACACACGTTTACCCTGAAGGTCACTTTGAATGCTCATTTGCCGGGTCCTAGTGTAAGCGGCTGGGATCCTGGAAGTGCGAATAAAATCTGGCCAGAATGTTTCGAGTACGCCTGTGCGCATCAGGCAACGATTGTTCCTTTTGATTTTGAAGGTTGTACTGCATGGGATGGCTTCCTGTATTCACCTCAATCATCTCCGAGATGCATTCGGGCCAATGCCGCGACCGCTTCGCAAACATTCGTCACTCGATTGAAGGGCTTGATGCGTGGTTTTTCAGGTATTTGTTGCCGGCAAAATGAAAAGTTGCGGAATGTTCTTGACCCTCCTCGTCCGACAACGACCACTACGACGACTACTACTTTATCCTCGAATAGTACTACTAGTACTGCGTCTACGTCGAGTACCAGTACTACAATTGCAGCGTGGACGAGTACAACTCCATCTTCGCCAAGTTCTACTAGCTCGGTTCTGGTGGCGATGGGTACAACAACTTCGTCTCCTGCAACATCAGCATCTTCGGCATTAGTAAAAATACGTTAATGATAACGTTCTCGTTCATTTCTCATCTATGATCCTGAGCCGAATGTGTTGCAGCTCTGCAGTTACTCTTCTCGGTTCGTCTTTCTGCTATCCTGATACGAAGGTACTTACTCTCTTAGGTTCAACGACTGTGGCACTGGTTCTTGGCGGCACGGAGTAGATAGAGACACGAAGAAGAGGGAGCGTCATTCTTAGGTTCGAAAGGGCTGCATTGTCTCTCCGACATCCTAGGCCATCTGCTGTCGCTATTTTAGCGTGGTGTGTTGCTTAACCTCTAGCATTATCTTCATCCCAAGGAAGTGGGGGAAGTTTGGGAGCGAGGCTATAGAATGATAAGCATGGTTAATTGATCTTGCCTCTTGGTCTAAGCCCTTAACACTCTTGTATATTCCGCTTGCAGTATTACGGCTTCTGCCGGAACAAGAGTATTATCTATCATGTACACTTACAGATACAGGCTGAGCCTGTTGTGATATTGATGCTGGATTTTCTGTGTAAAAGATACTTATGCAAAAGAAGAAAAACTATTTCAAATTTTGTTGTTCTGGAAAGTGATCACAGTGGGTATCACACTGAAGCTACTATAGCCTCTCACTAATTTATAGTAAAAAAGATTATATGTTTTTTAGGATGAAGAATCAAACAGATGATATTGGTAGGAGAGCACCGCACTGGTAAGAATGAGAATCTTTCCCTAGATCAAGTTAAGCCAGACGATGTAACGAGTCTTCGTTGTCCCCACCACTCCCAGACCAGACGCAAGCTCTTACATATCAAAGCTAGTCTATCTGTCGCGCAGATTCATTCCTCGTGTGGCGTGTGGAGGTAGGCGAGACTTGAACCGAGCACCTGCCTCCTATTATCTTAGGCCCTTCGTCGCTTAAGTCGTTGAAAGCGTCAAGGTCCTGCTTCATAGCTGGGCATGCCGTTTGCTCTCTGGTGAGAGGCGTCAGGGTGCTCATACCTCGAATGCAATTGCAAGCTAGGCCGTTCGGCCAACCTAGCGCCAGGCAATCGCTAGGGGTAGACGTCATCATGATAGAGCAGTCAGATGTGTGCTCTGAAGAACTTAGGACCCATGACCTTTGTTCCTTCTAGGTTCGACTCGGCGGAAAAGCTTCAGCACGTAGGGGGCACCGGGCCACTTTTGCGCGGAGGCAGCCCCAATCGTCGCGGGGAGGGTTTCTCCGGCGTTTGGTTGAGCTGCTAGTAAGGATAAGGCGTTTAACTTTCTGAGGGGGAAAGAGTTGCCTGAGCCGACCCCGCGTCTTCGCTCGCTGTTCCACGCAAGGGCGGAGCCCTTGCTGTGCTTTTTGGGTGTGTCGATCGCACTCAGCGCAGGCACGTGCCGCTCGTGCGTTGAGATGTTAAAACTAAAAGGCCGCGGGTGCCTTACCTCAGGCGCGGCTTGTCTCGTGTTTAAGTCGAAGAACCTAGCCAAGGCTATGACCTTACACGGGAGGACAATTATAGGCCAGAGCCAAAAAAGAAGCACACACCCGCCGCGGACGGATCAGACAAGCTAGCAAGCGACACAAGAAAGCAGACGGGTGAGAGGCTGGCGGCGCATGGGCGTGGCGAAGAGAGACAACGACAAAACCAAGCACCCGCGGGTGGCCTTGCTTTCAGAATCTTCGACCATACCACAGGGGGGGCCTCCCTCCCTGGTACGTATTAATAGGATTTGAATATTTATTATAGGTCTAGGTGATGCTCATTTCTTGTCACTTGTTTTCAAAAATGGGCGTTTTTTCCTCATCTCATCCTCATGACAATCCGGTCATGACAACAACTGGTCCGAGTACAAGTGAAAGGACAGCTAGGAGATCTTTTGTTCAACATTCAATTATAGCGGTGGTCTGTTGTATGTATGACCCGTGAGTGATGCCACCACGAAGGAAGCTGAATCTGGTAGAGCGAGAACACGAGAAATCAAATACTGAATAAGAAAGAGCTGCAGCAGTGAATTTCATGTCAACGCCACCTTATCTCTGTCGGTGAGTGTGTATGCTATCTATATGCTGTTAGGGTACTACTAGTTACTTAGAGGAAAGAGGGTAGTCTAAATCTAATAGCGTGGTTGGGTACACGCACACCAACGAACTTATAGCGAGTAAGCGTTCTTTGTTCGGTAAGGAGAGAGTAAAAAAAGAAGGCATCTGGCAATGAGTTAGATCGAGTGAAAATGCCCGAGGGATGTTCATGATACGTTTACGTACTACGCTTCAATGCCGCCTTCGATATTCTCTTTATGTTATTTGAATTTTTGATGTTACTGTTAGGCCGTATCTTCTAGTTTCAGTTTTTGTCTTCAACTACCTCCACCTAGTCCTACAACAACTCACCGTACAACAGGAACGCATAACTAAAAGCATCACGCTTCCCCCAATACTGATAGACGCGGATAATTAGTGAGAATTCCGGGAATCGATTATATCTATAATTAGAGACAGAGTTGGAGATTGTTCATCTTCATAGTTGTATTCCAATTTCAGTTTCTTGACCACCATCACGAAAATCAAGAATGTGAAAATTTATCCTTACTCTTCCGCAAAATCAAATCCCATTCATCAACAATATTGATATCGCAATCCATCAAGCAATCCAATCCTAAGTGTAGCTGTGTTGCAAGTCCTACAACTACCTTCTGCTCAGATAAAATAGATTCAATTTGAGGTAGAAGTCATACATCAAACGCATAATCAATATCACTTATATTATAAGTACTTTTTACAACTTAGAGTTAGATCATCATCATCATCATCAAGATGAGTAAAGCTGCTGATCCTGTCGTTGATGCGGACAGTGCATCCGGTGGAGAACCAGAAGAGGAGGTCCCTCGAGAGCCTGAGGAATGGGAGCTGCGGAATATTGCGCGGTTTGATGCGGATTGGGCCATTTCACAGGAGCAAGAATTTGAAGTGGCGTGGCAAAAGGACTGGCTTGCCAAGCAGTTCCTGCCGGCGCCTCACTCCAAAGTGATTCGCGTTCCGGCAGAGGCCATTGAATGCACGCTGGTGAAGCGCCAGGGTGGGCGATTCAGCATTGTGAAAATGAAAGAACTGGGCGCAAGCGTAGAGCCACGCTGGATTTTGACGTACACACGAAGCAAAACGGCGCCGAGCAGCGACCCGCGAAACCAGAAAGTGATTTTGAAACAGGCGGATTTTGATTTAGCGCGCTTGGCTTTTTCACTAGCTCTGTCGAGCCACACGAAAATGACGGCGACAGACGAAGCACTAGGCGACACCTGTACTATATCGATAGTGAAGCCCAGCTTAAGGCGGCTCACAGTGTGCATACCACAAACAAGCGAAACAGCAAGAAAGCTAGAACGGTACCACTTTTTGTTTGCGATTGCGTGTCTAGTAGTTGTAGTAATTTATGTACGTTCCAGGGGTCAGGGGCCAAGCCCAAGGCCCCCTCCCGATCTAGGGACGCGAGGGGCGGGCCTCCCGCCTCTGACCCTTTTTTCCGACGGACTGCCGGGCGGGAAGGCCTCCAAAATCCCGCCCCGGTCTATTTCCGGCTTCCTGCGTGTATTTTACAGGACGCCAGAAGGGCCAAGGCTTCCCCAATCAGGGAAGGCCGGGGCAGGACGGGAGGCAGGAAGGCCGCCAGAAGCCTCTCGCCACCCCCTTCCAGCTTCTTGCACTTACAAGACAGAACCCCAATCCTTCAGGCGTTTCCTTTTCCATTCAGAGAATGCCAGGAGTGGAAGGCTTCCGCAGGCAGCGAAAGGGGGAAGGTTTGACCCCTTGTCACGTTGCCCGGCAGGCCTCCTGGCCGCCCGCCGCTCGAGGGAGGAGTTCCGGGGGGATAAAAGTCCGCTGAGGACAGCCGTCTACCAAGGTTGACCTCCTCCGCCGTACTGCATGTGTCGGACAGAACCCCGCTGGCCACACATTGCCTCCACCCCGCCGCGCCCTTGGTTCTCTGACTCCCATCGCGACCGTGGCCGCCCACGGCGGCCTCTTACTCCCGGCGATCTTCCCCGGGCGGCCGTGATAGTGCGCAAGAGAGGGGACTTCTGCGGGGTACATGCGGAGAGCCTCGGGCCCTTTTTGCGGAGGACTGCCGGGCAGGAAGATCGCCGGGAGTAAGAGGCCGCCGTAGGCGGCCACGGTCGCGAGGGGAGTTAGGGAACCAAAGGCGCGGCGGGGTGGTTGCATGTACCCTACAGAACAGCCAAAGCGGCAGGCATGGATGTGGCCTGGTTTCCTCTAGCGGCACGGCCGTAGTTGGAAAGGCCTCCCCAAGTACCCCTGCCCTGGTGGTCTAGGGCTCCGGCGGGTGGTCCCTAGCGCCACTGTGCTGCACCACAGATCCATCCACAGGGGGGGCCTCCACCCCTGGAACATAAATAATTTCAGTTATGCTAGAACAGCGCAGGTGTTCGCTATAACTAATTTAGGCGAGAGTTTTATTTGCTGGCATCGGTGTCGTTCCTTCATTTACTTATGATCTTGGGGGCTGCGCATCCTACACGCAGCGTGTACATTCGTACACGAATCGAATCTAATCAAATCGTATTCTTAATCGAATCTCAGCGATCGCACTCGAATCTCTTCTCTCTCTGCTCTTGGTATACTATCGAATCATCTTTCTCATTTCTCTTTTTCCACTCCCTCCCTCCCTTCTTTCTGGTAATCCATTCACACTCGCCCCTCGCGGCGTCGAACGCACAGCCTATCTTCCTTCAGATTCTATCTCAAATGGTCATTTGATATTCATCTTCGTGCGATTCGATGCCGCTAGTGGGCTAGTCTGGATGGCTAACCCTCTAGCAAAATAAACTCTCGCTCTGATTGGCAGCACCTGGACTCTCGTCCTCTAATAAGGAAGACGATGACGATAAATTTGCACGTGACCACTATACTTGGTTAGTACGTAGGCACTAGTGGTACATCGCCTACCTCGCTGATTCGTATTTTTTTACACTTCATTGATAGTTGACTCTTACTGTCTAACTCCAACCCATATCCAACATGACAATCACCACAGGTACCTCATCAAGATCCTAAAGAGCTAAAACGAGCCGCAACACTTACGGGCGGTTGCACGTAAGCAAAATGTCCTGGCGCGGCTGAGAGACTACGCAATCGCAAGAATAGAGTAGATGATGAATAAGTTTATGTTGTCCTTCTTGGGGGTGAAGACAGGAAAGATTCAGCTTTGAGCATGAAAGCGTAACACGTAGTGGTACAGCTGAAGCAGGCGGAAGCTTGGTAGCTCTCGTGTGCTTAGTGATGCATCTACTTCAAGAAAAAATCTGACCGTTTTCGATGTAATAAAAATAGAAATGTTAGTTACTGTCACATGATCAAGAAAAAGAGGAATTATGATGAAGCTTGTTGAAATCAGTGAGATCACTGGCGGTTGTCGCATGGAGCGAGATAGATGTGTTCTACTATCATTTTGAGGGCTTGTGGAGGCAGAAGATGTAGTTGCATCACGTTGGTACAACAACGTGTTGGCTGTAGTTGAACTCAAATGGAAGAAACAGTTTGTACGATGGCATCTGATTGATATCGACCAAACATTCTGTAGCATCCATCGGCAAAAAGTCCAGAATTGGAGTCGCAGTCGCAAGAAAAAATGGAAATCGGATATGTAGCATGCTGCATGCAATAATGGAAATCTAAGAAATTGCATCGTAGCTTGCCGCATGAAATTTGAGAGGGCCGCCTCACTACGAGGCGCGAGATCAGTCCTGTTCATTGCCTTGGGACTAACAATAAGCATTCCTCGTCGGGCCGCTCGGGGGAAAGAAAAAGAAAATACAAAAAACAGGAAATGACGACTGGCAGTGGGAGTGACGCCGCTGTCATTGAGCACGGGGAGCAGCAGCAGGCGGTCTCGCCCAATGAAGTGGAGGTGATGCCAACTGTCGCCGGCTCTCCCGACGAGGAAATACTGCCCTCGGCTCAGGCATCTGACTCTGGGACAAAAGCGCAAGAAGCGAAAACCCTCCCCAAAAACATCAGGTAGCAGGATGAAGAGAAGACGGTGACCACTCCCGTCGAGATGTGGCCGTGGTGCCTCAACGACGTCGCGAACTCCGTCTACTCCGCGCCCGCGATGGCGCTGTTGAACAACCTCCAGCAGATCCAACTCGCGACGTGGCACAGCTGCGAGAACCTCGTGGAGAAGGGCGAAGTGGTCAACGGCCGGCAAGTTCGCTGCGACAAGAACGGCAAGATCATTGATGAGGATGTTTACGGAAAAGACAACGGAATCACCCTGCGGACGGACCACCCCGGCCTGACGCCGGCGTCGATCTCGTTTTTCATGATTCTTGCGCTGTCCGTGTTCTTCCAGGCGATCGCGTACATTTCCTTCAGCGCGCACGCGGACTACGGAAAAGGCAAGCATATTTTGTTGCGCCGCACGTGCGTCGCGGGCTGTTTTAGTTGCGCGCTCTTCGGGGTGTGCGCGGGTCCGAGCCTGTGGTGGCTGTGCTCCCTGCTCATCGTCACCGCCGGCGTGCTGCACGGGCTGTCGATTGTGTTCTGCAATGCGCATCTGCCGCTGATGTTGGTGCGGAACCAAGCGGAGCACTTGGCTCTGAAGCGGGCGATAGAAATGGAAAGTGGGGCGGTAGGAGCTGCTGGTGGGAAAGGGAAGGAGCAAAACGAGGAACAGAACGCAGATTCCTCGTCGTTGAGCGAGATGGAAGAGAAGCTTTGCAACACGTTGTCCACGCGGGGTTTTGCGTGGGGGTATTTTTCTTCCTTCCTTGCGTGCGTCCTCGTGCTTGTCGTGTTCGTCTTCACGGGACCGTAAAAAAACAGCTCGCGCGACAGCTACACGGACTGGCTGGGCATCTTCGTGCTGGGCATCTGCTCGACGGAGTGCGCGGCGTTCTGATTCTTGGTTGGCATGCGGTCGGCCTCGGGACTGCAACCGCGGTCGGGGCCCGAGTTGGAAGCCGCGCCGGAGTGGGCAGAGACCATGCAGGGGGGTACAACTTCTAAGGGGAGGGAAAGTAGTGCTACCCACGCTTTGGGACTGCATCCGCTTCAGCTGGCGCCGCACCGGGCGCGCGATCAAGCTCCTTTTCCGCCCCGAAACGCTCCACCTCGGCGCGGGGATGCTGATGCTGTTTGTCTTCTTCCCCCGGATGCTCCTAGGCACGGTGCAGAGCTACACGCGCGTGCTGTTTTCCAAGTTGGCGCCAAAGCGACTGGAGGCGCAGCTGTTCGCGCTGTACGAGATCTCGAACAAGGGAAGCAGCTGGATTGGGCCGATTGTGCTGGCGGTGGTCGCGCAATGGACGAGCATGCGCTACGGCTTTTTCTTGGTTCTCTTCGCGTTTCTGGTGGGGTCTGTGTTGCTGTTTCCAATGAAGCTGGAAGAGAACATGGCCGCGACGGGAGCTGGAAAGGGGATGCTGTAGTTCTTGAGGAAAAAGATAATGCTATTGCAAGCCATTGCGATGCCGCGCCAGAGGTGGACGAGGAGAACGGCCAGAAGTTTTTGTAATCTCCTCACGACTTTCACCTTGGTGGAGTTGGAGCAACTTGATGACCGGCTTACAATATTTTAATTGGAACCACGTACACGTTGGCACGCGACGACGAGTGCTAGTCAACGATGTTGTTGAAAACGGGAAGGAGACGACCGGAGCTGGGATGAAGGGGACAACTTCTGCTTGAGACGGAAAGGAGAGAGACAAGATGAACTTGCGGACGACTCCTGCTCCCAGAGAGAGTCAAGAACATGAACATTTTGGTGGAATGTCTGAATGATGTACGCGTGCAGAAGGAACGGCAACTTTGGACCTCTAGTTGCAGACCACCCCCGCATGGCTCGCGCGAGATCGATGGAAGATGCTGCGCCCGAAGGACGAAGCGAAAAAATTTGGTGTGGAACTCGAGGGACTCGAGCAATCCGACCCCATATCGGGCGAAAAGCCTCTAATTGATTCTAGTATTTTCAACAAATAATTGTAGCATGCCCATGCTCGGCTAGGCAACAGTATAGTACACTAGTTAGTTGTTGTAACGTAATCTTGGAACTGTTTCGCATTCAAGCATAAACAACAGCGATTGACTAACCACCTACATCCAACAAGCCTGAAGGGTTGAGGGAAAATAAATGGGACTGTCATTCAGATTCAGCAGATGCACAGTGATTTGTGCCGATGATCATCATCCTAAGATCATTTTTTCTGAAGGAGTTCTTTGCCCAATCAACTAGTATCTTCAAGAAATAAATCTGACCGAACATGAACAAATGATGTTTTCGCCTTGTTGCACTATATATGATCAGAAAGAAGAAGAATTTTGATGACCGTTTTTGAAACAACAGAGACCCATGCTGTTGCTGTCTACTGTCACATGTGTTCTATCATTGATTTCGATCGCTGCAGCCGCTGGACGCAAGCGTTGCGTCGTGTTCTAGTAAGAGTTGATGCAACACAGTAATTGAAAAGAAACCAACAGATCGTAGATGAAGGGTCTAGGATTGAATCGATCCAATGTCTTCTAGCTTCAGTGAGAAAACCACGATCAGATGAGAAAATGCATTCAAATTACCATGTAGTTGTAGTGTTCGATAGAAAAAGATGCACCGGATATGTAGCATGCATGCAAGGAGGGAAGCGCTTGTATCCTAGCTTGGAGCGAGAAACACCAGAGAACTTCAGCTTCTGTTCGGTCTGTGTACTAACAACATTCGGTGCTTCCCGGATTCGTGTCGATTTCGGTTCCCTTGCCGTTTCACGCTCCGTTCTTCATCCTTCTCTCCAATTGCCCAACCACACAGAAACTGTCACGCGCTTCAGTTAGATAGCTTCCTCTCTATCAACATCTCAGCTGAGTACATACTTTTAGAGGTTGCGACATTGCATTCTTCAGATCATCCCTGACCCTTTTCCTGCTGGAAAAAAAGTCAAGGATGGTAGTGAAGAATGCAAGAATGTGGGAACCCTTAATACTTACACATACGAGATGTTGTGCTTGTGCACGAGCACGTGCGTGCACAACACATGCATGAGCTTTGCATGCAATGCCAATGTCAATCCATAGTTGAACCGCAACAGGTTGTCTTTCCTGTCTCCCTTTGAAAAACAAACATCAAGATCATGACTAGCACAAGAGGCATCTTGTGATACTACAATTATCGACTGCTTGAAAAAGGCTTGTCGACGTCAAGAAAAGATCATGCATTAGGCTTCAAATGCCTAATGAATGAAGCTGCATTAATATGTCCGTTGCTGATCGGAATTTTGCTTTGGAGCTCGATGAGGAGTATGAGATACCAGAAGAGTGGAACCGACGCCCTGCTCCGGGAAGCCCCAACAACCCCGTGGAAGTTTCCGTAGTTATTCAATTTAAGCACTGGACTGTGGATAAGCAGGGAGGAAAAGAAATTTTGAATTGGAGCGGCCAGCTAGAGTTTTATTGGCACGACCCTAGACTTAACGGCTACGTTATTGCAGATGGGCTGCCGGAAAATATCTGGCGTCCGAAGCCAGTCGGATCCAAAGGATTCAACCTGGGACCCGCGGAGAGTCTGAAAAAGCCCGCAGTTTTCGCTGGAAACTACAAAAGAGAGAGCGATGGAGCCACGGTTTCGAACGGGAACTTGAAACTCATCGCTGACTTCTGTCTCGGTGATGGTGGAGTGAATTTGTCGGATCATCTCACGAGATTCCAGTCTTTCCCTTTCGACTCAACGCGGGTCGACGCACTAGTACAATTTAGCAATGATGCGGATCCAGTGGAGGGGGGAACCGGGAAGAAAGAGGGGATGCGGTACATTATGAGCATAGTGACATCAACGTCAAGAATCTTCATTGGAATTCTTCGTGCAGACGGGTCATGGGTGAACGTTGAGACCTATACTTTTTAACGTCCTCGTCGCACCACTAGAACTTGTTGTAGAGAGGGAAACTGCAGTACATCGTGGTCGCCCCAGATTAAACAAGACTCGTCTAGTATCTTCAGTATAACGACGAGAATCTCCCCCTCTCATACTTCTGCAGCCGAAATTCAACCGCCCGAATTTGAAGAGCCGAATCGCTTCAGGAGGCGAATATCAGCATATTGACTGGCTAGCGACGAGACACTCTGACGACTACGCGCTCGTGTCCTTTGGATACGCTGTTGGCAGTAACTTTCAAGCGGTTTTTGGAATGCCGACCGACGCTAGGCCCTGCATCATTCTGTCGCTCCAAATCGCCCGCACTCCGAACTTCTACGTGCAAAAGGGAATTTTACCCTTGTATGCGGTTGCGCTTTTTGGGTACATGACCTATCTGAGCTTGGAGCCCTCGGATTTGAGTTCGCGGGTGTCTGCTCTGTGCGCGATGTTTTTGACCGTGTTTGCGATCCAGTGGATATCGATCGAGCGACTTCCCCGTCTTCCCTTCTCCACCATCCTGGATGCAGTGGCACAAGCTGTAATCACGAGTTTGCTCTTTCTACTAGTGGGCGGGTGTGTCTCGTATCGCGTGGGCAGACCATCGTCGGGCTGCATCGGCGGCTGCACGACGGAAGAGTTCAGTTTGGAGACCGCAGAGACGGTCGATTTGGTTGTCGCCATCTCCGCGGGAACTTTTCTCCTCTTCTATTCTTTCTGCTACCAGCTGCTGTACAGGAGACACAAAGTGAACAAGGCAGTAGGATGGAGTAGGCCTTGGATACAAGGAAAGTCGCTGGGCGCGCAAAACTTCGCGGCCTTGGAAGCTTGGAGACTGTACACAACCGAAGCTTGGTTCGAAAAGCACGAATCGAAGTACATGGGAGAAGGCACCAAATACTTCGACACAACCCTTCTTGGCACGCCCAAATCAACGAAACTGGAGGGTGGGACGCATGTCATGCAGCAAGGGAAGTGGTGTAGTAGCTGGTGAGAAGGAGAAAGCGATCGCGAAAGCAAATTGATTAGAAAGGATGGCTTATCTTTATATTTATTTTTTTGCATTTTCTGCATTTGCATTCATCAGCATCAGGACGTTATGCGTGGTAACTAATCGGTCCCTCAGATGCACCCCGCCAGAGAGATGCATCTACTGCAGATGCACCCCATATCTTTAGCGCGTAGAAGGTTTTTCAGAAGCTTTCAGAATCAGATCCTTATCGGCGCATCAATTATGGCAGAAAGTCCATCACGGAGATGGAGTTCCAAGAAATCGCTATATCAAGTGTCAATTTCGGACAACGAGAAGCGAAATGTTTTCCAGGAGAGTTAATTCTGGGTGTTCGCGCAGTTGTTTCAGTTTCCTTGTTCCTTAAAAACCTTTGCATCTCCTGTTGTCTAGCCTCCCTTTCCTAGATACAAATCGAGTCTGGCCCATCTCATTTGTCGAGAATTTAATTATGCTTTGCCGAGAAGATGGAGATACCGAGAGCAAGCATATATTATGATAGATTGTAACTGCAAGTAGAACATCCCTAATTGTTTGTTTGTTTGTTTTGATGCGCTCCGGGCGACGCGTACGATCCCGCCGGATTTCTTTGTGCTCTGTGTGTGTAGTGCTATGGTCGTCATTGCGATCGACTATGGTATCATGTCAGGTCGCCACAGTCCCCGCCAGCTGCGGCTTTTGTGGCATGCCAGGCGCGGCGTGCTGCAGGCGGCGGCGACTGCGCGTAGGTAGCACCTGGCGGTGAGGCGCGTCCGGGTTTGGTTGACGTTTTTGCGGCCTGCGTGCGCTGTTCTTCGCGTTCTCGTTTTGTCTTCGTTCTTTTTTGTCTTCGCGTGCTTCCTTTCTTGTCTCCTCCCTGCTCGTTCTTTGTTCGCCACCACCTATCCCAGCCCCCGTCCTATCGTAGCGGGCAGCGATGGGTTTACCACAGCGGCCGCTACTCGTTTCCCCTTGTCTTCATCCCTAATTCTTTTATGTATAATATAATATATAATTAGTACATATAATTGTGTTGGAACACCCGAACACGTCCAAGCGCACTATGAGGCTCTTGAGAGCAAGCGAAATGATTATCGTTGCAATGTAACAGAAAGACGACCAGAACGGACGTGCCGAATGATCACTGACTGCTTAAGGCCCTGAAATGGTATCAGAATGGGTTCAATGTCATTGGGATATCATGAAGGGTCATAGTGCAGTTAAAGATCTGGGAGATCTTGCTGCTGATTCATGTTGGAACTCATTGAGTTCAAATGATGATCATACGAGGAACTAACACGAGTTCAAGACAAGGAACGGTATTGATCATGATCAAGGTGACGAGTGAGAGCAGTCACCTGGCATTGAAATCAGGTTCATTCATTGGATCTTGAGCCAGTAATGACCATTGACCAACGCCCCTCCTCAGTCGCTAGGTGAGGAAATGACGGGAGTCGCGAACGGTCTGGCGTTACCTGCTCTGACCCAGAACCATCACTATTCACTGTATAGCCACTGACATCACCTCTGGCCAACGATCTAACACCCTAAGAAGATAGAATAGGCAAGCGCTGCCAGAGAAGCAGAACTTGAACCAGACTCATCATCTTCGTCTTCCGAGTCACTATCGTCTTCAATATGGTTCCGGCTAATTGCTGGACTCTCTATGTGATGTAATAATAGTCTGCGTTGAGTGGATGAGCATGAGCGTTTCGTTAGTCTGTCAGCTTTCATCAGGTGAGTAGGACAGAAAACTACTTTCTCAGCCGCGTCTCTAACTCTTAAATAACGTAGCGCATAGTGTCTACTTTTAGGCTTCGCATCTTCACTCTTTGCTGTCGAGATTGCAGACTGGTTGTCTATCCACAATATGGCATCATCGAGGGATGGCGATATACCAAACCGCGTTTCCACTAGTTGAGTGGGTAAGGGATTGAAGAAATCTGTAAAATCATGCAGCTCGCTCATGGCAATAGTGTCCGACGCGGCTATATACTCTGACTCTGCAGCTGAATATGCACGCACGGTTTGTGTATTGCGTTTCCAACAGATTGGAAAACCCCGATAGTACATAATCGAACCACTGGCCGAGCGCATACTCTTTATGCAGTTTGCGAATCCTGCTTCTGAGAACCAGTTAGTATACGGTAGCCCTCTTCCTTCTGGTAGGGGCTTCCTATAAATTTCGTTGAATTCTTCCTCACTTTCTGGAGAATAGTAGAGTCCTCGGTCTTTTGTCGTAGCTAGATACTTTAGTACTTTTCTACAGGCTTTTGCAATTCTTTCTGTAACGGGCTTACTGACATACCGGGCCAATGTCGCCACAGGGACGCAAATATCTGGCCTTGCGGTTGTCGATATCCAAAGCAGTGCGCCAACAATCTCACGCAATGGAAACCCGGCTGCTAGCTTAAGCCCCTCCTCAAGCAAAGCAGACTCGTCGAAATTTGGAGACCACACCGGCTTACCTAGTGTTATTTTATACTTCTGTAAAGTCTTCTCTATGTACACAATCATCAGGATTTTCACTGAACGCGCTTCCCGACAATAGTGCACAATCGCACCAAGAAAGTCGAACTCTAGCCATTCGAAACCCGTGCGAGAATCGACTCGCTGCGCCATCTCAATAGGTCGGCCGGGGGCGCGACTAAAGATCCGGTCGAGCTCAGACCGTAACTCGTGATAGTCAGGCCCAGTAGCTAAGTTATCATCAACATAGACTGACGTCTTCATATACTTTCCTGGGTGCGTTTTCCTCTTTTTCCGCCACAATCCTGGAGCAGAAGGACACGGCTCCCATCCGAGTTCGGACAATAGCGCGCAATACTTCTTGAACCAGGCCCGTGGAGCGTCCTTGAGCCCATATAGAGCTTTCTTAAGCTTGACGATATCCGCTCCATGCTTCTCCGCCCACACTGGTGGAAGACGGCAGAAGACGTCGCGATCGAGTTCAGCATTAAGGAACGCAGAATCAAGGTCGAAGGGGGTGACGAAATCAGATTCCGTCGCCGCTGAAACGAGTAAGAGTCTACTCGCAGCGTGTGACACTACAGGGGCGTAGGTGTCGAAATTCCCCGAACGATCAAGATTCCCGAGCACACACGCGCGAGCTTTGAATGTTCCGTCACGTTTTACCGTGAGAACGATTGCTATAGGCATTACCTGGGAAGAGGTTCGCAGCTCCTCGTCAGTAGCTGGCGCCCAAGTCTCAAAGGCAAGTAATCTAGCTTCCTCCTTGGTGATAGCTGCGCGCCATTTTTCAGCGTCGGGGCTTTTCAAGGCTTGGGAAACTGACAGCATGACATGTGCTTCGAGAAAGGTCTCCCCTTCTTCCAGCTCATGCCCGCCTGCTAGCATGGCAAATTTATGCATGTCTTTTCTTAATGCTTCTAGCTCGGCTTTTGTTCTTCTTTTGCGTTGTCTTGGATTCTTATCCTTGCTCCCTTTAGGTCTTCCTCGGCCTTTCTTCCCCTCCTCAACTTTGCCTGGCTGAGATGGTGGAATGGGTAAGGGCCTCGGATCCCTTGCTTCAGGATTAGAGTCAGGTGACACACGCTCCGATGAGCTATTCCCCTCCTCAACGCGTTGCGCGTCAGAGTTGGAATCGTCGCCGGTCTTTGGATCTTCTTCTTTGTCCAAAGATTCACAGAAAAACTCATCAGTTTCATTGTTATCTAATATCATTTCCATGCCGGTTGGATCGCCTGAGCTGTACTCCGTGCCAGAGAAGCGCGGCTGACAGGCCATACGTTGCAGCGCATGTCTGTGCAGGACGGGACCCAGCGACGGCGTGCCAGACTGCAGGTTTTCCAGCGGGTCACAATCAACATAAACGCCCTTCGACGTAGGCAATAGCCAATCAATGTTTTTGACTAATATCGACTCTCGAAGGTTCGCACCTAGTGCGGAATACTCACTCCACTTGAAGCCAGCTTTCGCTCTCCCATCGTTGTGATATGTACCTACTAGCCCACCAGACGAAACTGGACACAGACCGAGAAACACACCACGCCGATAAGGTGACGCGAGCTCTGCTTCTTTCTTGTTGGTGGTGTCTACGACCTTTTCACGAAAGTACACCAAACAGCCAGATCTTCTTAACATACCTAGACCACTTTTCGAGGACTTCTTGCCTATCCTCTTTTCTAGTATCTCGACAGGACTCATTCCGTCACGTTCTGGCATTTTTGCATAGCGATGCGGTAAGCGATTCCAACAATCTCCGGCATACTGTAGGCAGTAACACCAAAGACGTCGGTCGACTTTGACCAACATGGTACGCACAGCGCCGAAAATGGTCCGCGTGAAACGTTCGCAAGTTCCGTCCATTTCTGGGCTGTAAGGAACTCCAGGAATTTCCGAAACCAGTAGCGATTGCATGACTTTGGTCATATGGTCACTACTTAGGACGGGTTCGCTATCTCTACGGATGAACCATGCCGCCTTGTCGTCGAGTGACAATGAGTAGTCCTGGCGAATGCCTTTTATTACTTCTCCAACCACCTCTACGCAGTCCGACTCAAGGCAAAGAGGGCGAACGAAACACATTTTAATCGAATCACAAATAATGACTAAAGCACATCTTTTGCTTCTTATAGATACTGGTCTAATGCCAACTGCGAAATCAATTGCAAGTGTTTTCAATGGAGAAGGTATATGTCCAGGGGGTCTCACTTTTGCATGAGAGCGTCTTTGACCTTTGGTTCGATCACATTCTGGACAAGATACACTAAGGCCATCAGCGTGAAAGTGGCCAAGTCTACGATGTATGTCTAATCTTGAGGCTTGTGAGTGAAGTCTAGCGTCCTCTATACTAGTGCATACTATATCCTCCTCAGTTTCATTTTCTTCTTTGCTAAACATGTCACAACCTAGAATAGGTAACTGCATCTGGGGGCAATTTGTAATGGGTAGAGAGCGGCCGGAGCGGGTATTGTACAACGTTCCGCCACTTTCTGTGAAATTCACTTGCCAACCCTTTTCATGACAGTTTCCTTCACCTAACCACGGTATAACGCGATCTATGGCTTTTGGTAGGTGTTCAAAGTGTGCGCCGTATTTTCCTCCTAGTCTATTCTCTTTCAGTCTACCTAGGTTCCCACTTCGCTTTCCAGCGGTGCCACTAATGTGACAAAGCCGGTAGCTAATTTTCTTGAAATCGGAACGATGGCGAGACAACTACTTACTTGCACAACTGTCAACGAGTGAAACTGTTTTGCTTTGATTTGCACTAAGATAGCAATCTGAGCGACTATCAATCATATAGCTTTCACCCCTAAACAGTTCACTTCTATATTCTTTATTCTCAAAGTTTTCTTCAAAGTTCAGCGAACATCTTCCATCCTCATTTTCGAAATCTTCTTCCAATTCTTCTTCATCTTGGGACTGTCCATCTCGTTTCCCATATCCATTCCGTTCCGGATTGGTTTCGACTCAGCGCTGTGGTTGTTGCCCACCCCATTGCTGCTGTGGGTTACCGTTGTCGAATCCTTTTCCTCCACTTTGTTGCGGTGGATAGCTGTTCTGGTGCCACGGAGGGATAGCGTTACCTTGCGGCCAGCAGTTGTGTGAATTGTTGAAGAAGTTGCTGCCCGTGGCTTTGTTAGGTTGGTAGCTTTGACTCATCGGGTTTAGCCAGCATTTATGCGCCTCATGTCCATACTTGTGACAATGGTTGCACTGGATACCCTCATTAGGATTTGAGTTCTTAGCACCTTTACCTTTACCACTTCCTTTATTCTTCTTACTACTAGAACTACTACTACTACTCTTTCCCCTTCCTTGTCTGGAGACCGCCGCGACGATGTGAAAGACGTGCGCGAAATCTTTGCGAAAAGTTGCCGGGGCTCGCTGGTCTTCGTTGTCTCTTTGCTTGAAAGGCCAAACCAGGCGCCGAAGCGCCTGGCGCTGCTTTTCGTTTGTTCTGTGTTTCGTCGTTGGTGGCAGCCCCGGCGCTGGTTCGTTGTGGACCGCTCGCATGCCGCTGGCATCGGCGTCGCCCCGGGTGCAGGCGTGGCGCGGTTGTGTGAGCTCCCTGAAGCGTAGGACACCGGGGCGGAGGACAGGGGAAACGCAGGCGGGGAAGCAGTGTCACCATAAGCCGGCGGCGGCCATCTTTCCCCGCTTGAACACCTCCAGCGGCTTCCCGTCTCTTCTGTCACTTTAGAAGAAAAAAACCTTGGCGAAAAGTTCGCGAAATCTTTGAAAAATCTTCGCGGAATCTTTCCGAAAAGATAAACGCACGAAGTTCCAAAATGGTCAAGACTTGTAAACTTTCCGCAAACATTTCGCGAAGATTCTGAAGCTTTTGTCTTCCGTGTTTTTTTGATGAAGACACGAAAATGAACCGCCAAGAACAAACTCGCGACAAATTGCAGCGGGAGCGCATAAGACTCCGCGTCTTCTGTGTCTGCTTTGTGTGGTCTTTCTGTTTCTCTCTCCAGAGCTGTGCAGCCTTTTAGGCTGTGCATTTGTTTGGAAATTTGTCGGGCGGCTGCGTCGCAGGATGGCTCGTTGGCTTGTGGTGCTCTCAGTGCAGTGACCGGGCTGGTCGTGTGTTGGTTCTGTCGGCTCTGCTTTCAGAGGCTTAGCAGACGCCGCGCGAAGTGGACAGGCGTGAAGGCGGCGCGCGTGAGCCCCGGCAACTTTTCGCCAAGATTCTCCGCCGTCGGCAGTCTTCGGGCGCGGCGGTCTCCAACCTTTTGCTGCGTAGGCCTCGTTCTTGATTTCTTTGCGAATCTTCTTGCGAAGTCGTTTGCTCGTTGTTTTCTTGAGAGCGGCAAACGCGTTACCATCGTCATCACTCTCATCTTGACGCTTGCGCTTCTTGGTTTTGGTATTGTTCTGGTTTTCATCATCGGAATCTTCGACAGCTGGAAAAGCTCCGCCGAAAGATGGACTCTCGATCTTATACCCACCAGAGTCAATCAAGCTTTGAAGTCGTTTCGTGAGTCTTTCACCGATTTGGACGAACGTTAGATGTTCTTCTTCTTGCATCCTCTCGATTGTCTGTCGAAATGCTTTGGAAAACATTTTAGGCAGAATGTCGAGGATTGCTCCGCTTTGTTGATCAGCAACAGCCACACCAACTTCCGGCGGGTATACGGTCGGAGATTGGTTCATGACATCTCTAACCTTCGCCAGGAATGTTGGAACGTCTGGAGGAGAATCGCGGTTCGTGAAGTGCATCCCTTCCAACGCTTTAGCAGAGATTCGCTGCTCTGTGCGGTCATTTTGACTGAAACCAGCGTCGCGGAGGTTTGTTACCACTTCGCCAGCGTTCATTACAGTGGTATCCTGATCCTTCATATGTGCTTCGGCTGCACCTTTGAGCGACTTGATGATCACGTTCTTCAAATCTCGCCAATTCTGCTGGAGCTTGCGGTCGTTGTTGTTGGGTTGGTTCGGAACCCCTGCCGCATTGCCGTTCAGCACGTTGCTGAGGTATTGGACTAGGTCCAGGCGGTCTGCTTCTTGCGTTACCGCTCGAAGCCAGTCACGCCAATCAGATTTCTGCCCCAGTTTGGGTGAAATCTCTCCACGACTCATATCGTGCACTTTGTGGCGCAAATAGTGCGACTCTGTTTTCACTACTTCTACAATGAATTGACTAGCAATTTCTTTTAATAAGGTAAGGCTCAAGGGCTTGAAACAGTGTTGGAACACCCGAACACGTCCAAGCGCACTATGAGGCTCTTGAGAGCAAACGAAATGATTATCGTTGCAATGTAACAGAAAGACGATCAGAACGGACGTTCCGAATGATCGCTGACTGTCTAAGGCCCTGAAATGGTATCAGAATGGGTTCAATGTCATTGGGATATCATGAAGGGCCATAGTGCAGTTAAAGATCTGGGAGATCTTGCTGCTGATTCATGTTGGAACTCATTGAGTTCAAACGATGACCATACGAGGAACTAACACGAGTTCAAGACAAGGGACGGCATTGATCATGATCAAGGTGACGAGTGAGAGCAGTCATTTGGCATTGAAATCAGGTTCATTCATTGGATCTTGAGCCAGTGATGACCATTGACCAACAAACTGATAGCCCTAAATAAACACTGCGAAGAGTAATGTTATTAATCTAGAACATTAATCTAAATTATTAACCTACGCTATTAGTCTACGGCGTCTGGTCTTTCATCACTTTCCTTCGTAGTTGTACTGAAGATCAACGCTGTTCAACAGCAACTCCAAGTGCAGTACAATCAACATAAAAATGAACGAGTAGAGCAAAAGCATGGAAGACACAAACATGGTAGCGAGTGCTGGCGTGGGTGCAGCAGGCAGGGTGTCTCCTGTTTCGGCGACCGACAACCCGTCCAACTCCGGCAGCAACCCAAACGGTGCTGGTGCTCTCGTGCTTCACAATAGCAAAGGGAAAGAAATCTCCAGAGTGCACTCGATGGTGGTAGAAAAAACATTCAAGATCATGTACAAGATCCCGCCAGATCGCTGCGCTGGGACAGGTGCAGCAGAGAAACAAGAGCCAGAGCAGCTGGAGGTGGGCAAGTTCAACCTGGTCACCAACTCGCGACAAGGCACGCATTGTTTTCTCACTCTTGATAGAGAAGCAGTTCAAAAGCACTCTGTGCAGATGGAGCAACTAGAACGGATTTGCGACCCCGAAGGGTTGAAGTGCAAGTACGCGAAAACCCCCTTCTTCTTAAAAGACGGCAATACTGAATTCTTTACGAACACGAAGGACGGAAAATTTTTGGGAATCAAGAAGGTCAACGTCTTTGCGTGGAATCGAAAGAAGACACACTCCGACCCTCGAGACTGCAGGTGGTGGAAAGATATCTTGCGGAATGGAGAAAACTTCAGTAAGGGAGCATTCACTAGATCCTGGCTGACCCGCTATACAGAGCAAGTCCAACAAGTCGGAGAAGAAGTCAAAGTAGAGAACAAGCTCATGCTGTATACGCTTGAGAAAAGCGAGGAATTGAAAGATGTGATTGTCGAGTGCGATTTGGTGTTGGTGGAGGAAGCCCCTCCTGCTCCTCGTCCACAATCAAATAAAACGACGAATAAAAAACGTGCTTCTAGTTCTTGTACCACAACAAAGATGAAAAACTCTAGCAGTTCAAGTTCTTCAAAAACCAAGATCAAGAAGACTGCGAACATGAGGCATGCCTCTTTGTCTTCCACCAAAGAGTCTTCGCCAGACGCAGAAAAGGCAATGGCGACGTTAGAAGAATCAGGCTTGAAGTTGAAGCTTCCAGAGCAAGAAGAGGACTTGGCCAACGAGATTCAGAAGTATTTTGCTTTTCGTACTGGACTAGATCCGAAGACGAGCGCGGAGGCGAAGGAAAAATATCTTGCGGTGATTGAGAAGTGTCTACGTCTGAACGCTAGCGGTGACGACCAAGAAAAGGAGAACCCGGCAAAGCTAGAGGAGCAAGATGATGATGCTGAGAAAGATCAGGAGGACGACGAAGCAAGCAAAGATAGTTCTTTTCCATTGGGAGGTAAAGTAGCAGATACAGGTGATCATGGCGCTAGTGGTAGGTGCCAGAAGAGGCAACGGCTGAACTGAAAATGTAGACATGACGAAGTCTTGAAATGAAGTGGGAGCTTCGAATATATTCATGTTCTCTTTTAGCATACCCCCAATTCACATACATCCAAGAGAAGAGAACTCCACCTCTATTCCCAAAGTATTCACTGTCGATGGTCAGAGTTAAAAAATACAAGTTTTTCCACAGATGTTCATAGTCTGCATCTGTTTCTAACAGCATGTACTCCTGTTTCTCCTCGATGAAGGACACAAAAAAACATGAAGCTCAGACCACTTCCCATTCTATTTCCAAGATCAACTCTATCTTCCAAAAAGGCAAACGCAATTTGCCCAAGAAACGCAATTTCCCCACTCGGTCGTGTCGGATGTTAAAAGTAATTAAAGAGGAAAAGTAATTTGTTCACGGCAGCCGGGTGACGATGTGTACAATGTGTCGAACGATTTCTTCTATTTGAAGCTGAGCAAGGCTCTGCTACAGTCCCCTAGGAAGAGACCGCGAAAGGAAATGAGTGACAGATGAGGATCGTGCGTTTGCAATGTCGCACGTGGATCAAATCGCCGCCAGCAGAGAGTATATCATGGTGAGAGAAACGCATATCGGGCTAATCCTTCTAGCAATCGTGTGATACGTTCGACTTGGCCTTGGGCCTCTCCTATCCAACTTCAGGCTCGCACGCCTTCTCACTCACTCTCAGACTGACTCAGCGGGTAGCTCGTCGTCTCCTGTCCAATTCCATGCGCACCAGACCCCTGCTGGGAATACAGGCGTACCTACTGTCACACGTGACCAAATGTTCTTCCTTATCGTTGTCGACGATACATGGCTAATAGAGATGAGGAACCCAACTTGTCCTAGCTAGGGGCGCAGTAAATGGTTCTTGAAATTTGTTTGGTTTTTGTAACACATCTCAAAGCAATGATTTACAGAGGCGTGGTCTTTGCTCAAGTTCAACTATACAAAATGATTTCGTGTCGTGGATCAAATACGTTCGTTTGCATTCTTAGAATCTACTGTGTTTCGAGTGTGCTTATGTTTTTTCATCTTGATATATCTGTTTGCGTGAGTGGTCATAATAACACTTTCCTGATCTTGTGCTGTGAGAGAAAAAAAGAACGGCATACTACTCTTTGTTGTCAAGAAAATTAAGGATCAACTTCAACATAAATTGTACAGACTTCATGGTCCTTGTCACGGATGTCAACATTGTTTACAATTCTATAGTAGCTAGTCACTGCAGTGGTGATACTCACTAGGATATTAAATGTATACATTTCGGTCTCGGTGTTTTCGTTTTCCGCTACCTAGTGTTCGACCAAGCAGATTGATTAGTGTTGTCACTTTTTATCTCTTAATGAGGTTATACTTATACATTTCGAGTTTAATCATAATCTGTTCAGGTCATTCAATCGATCTATTGTGTCGCAGTGAGTTTTCGTTATAATGTGCCTTCATGTCAGACGCCTAAAATTTGTACAGTCATGGTTAAGGAGCATAGGAAGGGATCAATTCGACTCGCTACTCACTCTCAGTTCTTCTGAGGTAGCTTCTCCAGTTGTAAAACGACTCAGTTTCCTTGCTTGGTATCATGTCCGCTTATACGGGCTAGCTACTCTGTACTTCCCTTCCCTTGTTTCATGGCTTTCATTTTGGCTTTGCGAGCTTCCTCTTCTTTTCTCATCAGTTCTTCGGTTTCGTAGCCAAGCTGATCCTTCAACCGTTGAGTGATCTCTTGCTCGTAGCTTGGGAAGTCGCCTATCAAACGCCGCAAAAATGGCCTCTCTACTCGGTTCCACGTTACCCAGGGTACATACGAGCAGCGGTAACAATAGGAAAAACCCCAACCACCTAAGAGTTTGAACACAGTAAAGGTAAAATTTCTTTCGTTCAAATTTCTTACTTTCAATATCGTGCACTTGCTTTGTATCTATGTTTATTGATGATGAATAATCCACAATGATGCTACGGAGGGAGGCGGAGTGAAAAGACAAAGTCAAAATTCAAAGTCAAACAACTACTTTACAGCTGAGTGAAGAGTACCTCGCTGCCTCTCTGTTCCGCACACTTTGCATTTTGGTTCGTTTTGTACTTCCCACAAGTTCACTGCTCGCTCCATGAGGTCCGCCAAAGGTGTTTTCTTGAACTCGGTGAGACTGAACATCTTCCCACTCGACGTTGTCGGTGCTCCCGCGTTCCCTGCTGTGGACATACTTCTGGCGTAGATGCCTCGCTTCGCATCGTTCAACGACTTTTCCAGCTCCTTCTGAGCGACCCACTGCTCATATTCGTACTGCTCCCTCAACCCTTGAAACTTGGCGCGACGATTAGGAACGATAATACCTGTTGTATTTGTGAGTTTTGTCTTTCTTGCTGAGATGATTACTAACTTCCTCTCCTACCTAACTGTGACTTCATCATGTTGTAAAATTGCGAAGCGGCCGTCCCTCTCGCTCCCCACACCTTTAGAACATCCTTCCTGGTTCTTTTTTTACATGTGGACCTCTTCTCGCATGTCCTTGCCTTGGTGGCTGGTCGATCACTCGGCCAAACACCCACGCAAGCGCAACCCAAGGTACTTCGTTAAAGAAAAAGTAGAATTAATACCGTATTGCCTTTCTCGGAAGAAATCACTCGGCCTAGCTTTGTTTTTCTTAATGTCTTTGCCCTTCTTCGCATCCAGTGAGCGTGGATAGTTGTTGAAGTAAACCTGTTTTCGGAGCAAGCGTTTGAAGGGCGGCAAATATTCAGCGTGACGGATCGGATGAAAGTGTTTCTGGGCTATCACTTCAGTGACATCGCCGTCAGCCGGAACCAATTCAGGCGCTTGCTTAGAGATCGTAGCTAATCTATGATGTCATCCTTGTTCTTTTTCTCCGCTCATGTGATCCTTGCCTGTAGTTCTCGCGTGCTTAGGTTTAGCTAGGTTTCAAAGCTCTAGTACTACATCTACTTACATGTGCATCTACTTCTACTACTCCTAGTGAAAAAAAATACATGGTGGAAGCAAAAACACGATGGCTTCGCAGTTCGCTATAACAAGTACAAGTACTTGTGTACAAACCGTTCTTAACATTAGCCGCGATCAACTTCGCGGTTGTAGTCTCCAGCAAGTACTGATGTGCAGATGAAACTCGATCACTGATGTCCGCTTTGAGAGCCGCGTCTGATCGTGCTGAGTACGGAACTTTATTGCCGCCTTCAGTCATTATGGTGCGCGCTGGACTCTGAGACCAAGCAGCAGACTGATGTTCCGGATTCATGTCCAGACCCCCGGTTGTACTGTAGTTGTTGTCCATCAACTTGCCTGACTTAACTCCCTTTGCCTTGCGTGTAATGAACGTGCCGCTGTGAGTCTTCGTCGACCCGACAGCGGACTTCCCAGGCGACGAGATAGGTGTCATGCTCATAATTGACCCGTTATTGTTCGGCGAAAGCGCTAGCGTTGAGGGCGAGGTCCTCGTACCGAAGAAGGACTTGGATGGACTGCCACGCTGTGACGAAGACGCTCCAGTACTCATCATCATCTTGTTCATCGCGGAGGACGGTCCACGACCCTGTTGTGTCGTACCGCCTCCGTCTGTCTGCGCCAGATTGATCCCGAACACGTCTTCGAGCTTCACAATGACTGGATTCTTATCCACAATGGGCACTTCCCCAGTGTTCAATGCCTCGTGCTCGTCTTCCTCCTCGCATCTATCCATATGGTATGAAAGGGTGTAAGTACTTCTGTACATATCATATGCAGTGATATGCAGATGCAGATCATGCTAATCAGAGCAGGGCGCCTCTGCTTCTGCTATCGAGTGGTCTTTTATATCAACTGTAGTAGCGCCTAGTATGACGATGGCCCTCTTCTATGTATCTACTAGATCAGAAAGTTGAAAAAGTCAATCACGATCAGAATCACATCATAGGAGATCCTTCTTCAATTGCCGTCTGTGCTCCTCAATCTGCTCTGTTTCTTCGTCAGTTATTCTGTTGTCATCATCACTATTTTCCTGCGGATCGGCGAATAGCTCTGACGTTTTGCTGCCCATTTCCTGTCGACGCAACTTATACTGGAAAGCGAGATACCTAGAAGTGATTTAGTGGTCGTTTGGGTCATAGGAAAAAGGGTGCTGCACTAGTGTTACAGTGCAATCATAATCACCGTTCGGTGTGGCTGTGAACAGATTAAGAAACGTTGAGATGAGATCATTCAGAAGATAAAACAAAAACGTCACTTCTATCGTCGCTATCCAAAAGCACACACTGAGTACAAACTTGTCCTTGCTGAAAAAAGGAGTACTCGTATAGCCACGTCGGCTTTTGGATCATGCGTTTCTGCATGCCTTCCGTCTCCATCATAAGGTGCCAGATGCCAACCTTGCAGACGCACTCCATGAAAGCATATGAATCAAAGACCACCATAGCTTTTTGGGTTGAGATCTTTGGCTCGTTCATGCGCTCACAAATCTGCAAATACTGCCGTAGATCCGGTCCCGAGAAGGTGGGCATTGCGGTTAGCGGATGAGATTCCTTCCATTTCGCCTCGGCGTCCTACGTGGTAGTGTCGCGTGAGAAGTTGTACGTAGGCATAGATGTAAGTTGCAGATCTAGTATGCAGCTAGAAGTTAGTAGACCTAATTTCCATTATATAGGACTCAGGGCCCTCAAGTCTGTAGGGTACACGCAAACGAGAAGGGGGCAGCCCCTTGGCCCCCTTTTGAGGCCTTCCGCCCCCGGCAGACGCCTCCAAAAGGGGTCCAGGGCGCCCGGGTACATATATATAAAATGAGTTAGAACGAAGGAAAGAAAAACGCCACAGTGTGTTTTTAATCAGCTGACATCGTTTAAAATTGCTCACAAAAAATACTTGTTTTCTCTGCGAAAACGTTCGCGCGTAATTAGCATCTTCCAGAATTTTCTCGAGATCCGCGAAAGTTAACCGTGGTTCCCCAACGGCATCGCGGTGGTTGCCAATAACTCGCCACAAGACCGCTTCTATTTGACCCACGGACTGCAAGACCCGGTCTAGGCCGTACACGTGCAAAACGTCGAAAAACTCTCGTGGGCTCACAGCAATGAAGAGTGACAACTTTGCCCCATATTTTTCTAAAGAAGATGGAGGAGCACACAAACAAGGAAGTAGATGCATCGCGATGATGCGCTAGAATTAGAAACTATGGAGAAAGAGCATCATGATTGAACACGTTGATTTTGATCTTGTTATGTATTTGATTCGTGAATATGATCCGTTGTGAACTTCTTGTTCCTTGCTGATCCCACGACTTACTCAAAAAACAAAGCATCCAAATACACACGGTGCATAAGAGAATCTTGCGCGTGGCAGTAATGTTTCCAGAAGAACGTCGCATTCTTCCCGGTGGATTCCAGCTTATCGAGCAGTGCGAAAAAGACGCCCTGCGCGGATCCTTCAACCTG